AATTGGGGCATCAAAATATCTTTGTCCCAACGCTCCGAGATTCGTCCGTAGAAGTTTCAACTTAGATGGAACGTCTAGCACAGTCGTGGGTGATAAACTCGCAAAAAGGTCAATGTAATCCTCAAATGTCTTCCTCCATTGCAACCACGAGTCCTTTGAGGGTTTCTGGGTGTGCTTCGGCAAGAAAGGTAAACTAAACTAAACTTACACTAGGACGGATGACTACTATTTCATATTACACATGGCCTTCGAGGCCTGCGGCTGCCCCGAATTCACCTACAATGCAACCGTAGTCTTCGGTGAGGTGTGTATATTGCCGACGGCTGACAGCAGCGTGTTGACCATAAGCGGAATATTGTGATTTTTAGCAGGACATTCATAGGCGTTGCCTGTTACCCTTAGGCATACTGAACTGCACGCAAAGTTTGAAAGTGTCGGAACGTTTGTTCAGAAATTTTGAGATATTATCAAAGAAGGAGTAGTGTTAAGCATGTGACGTGCTGATAATTTTGGAATTCTTATTGAAATGCGCCTATTAGGATATGACCTGTGAAATATCATGTAGTTATGGTTTTGATCAGGACCACATGATCGTCGAAATGCGTGGAAGTGCGTTTATTAGCTAAATATCCGCCTTTCGGTTGAACAGCCTCTGATAAGCTTTGGAGTCTCAAATGTCAGTCCTTCAATTCCCCGTGAAATGTCTGTCAGATCAGGGAAATACAATAAACTAGCTAGAATCGAACCTGTCTTAATGGCAGTAATATGATATTTCGCCCTATTAGTCGTTTTGTCTCCAGTTTCCCGTCGCTCGCTTTGAATAAATTGTGGCTGAGGTGTCAAGTCAAAGATTTTAGTATCGTAAAACACACGCACTCGTGTCAATAGTTTTAAGGCATTCCCACGTAATCCTAAGGGCCGTCACAACTGTCCTAAATGTTTCAACTTATGTCTTTCGTTAAGAGCAGCGAAAACGTTCTTAATGAGGCAGTGGGCACTGCTCCCTTAAACTAATGTTAAACAAGACTATGTAGGTTGATGTCCCTATACTCTAATTCTTTTGACTTCCCTCCCGCTGTATGGGTATAACGTGTAGGCAGTAATCCGATTTGGGCTTCTATGCATGCCCTTCGACTGTAAAGGCCAGAGCATAACCAACTGGACAGGCACTACAAAAGGTCGTTCAGTGGCATCTGAATACGTAAATTCAGCTGAAAATTATCTTGTTTATCTTGAATTAATGGGGATGCAATTAGTAGTGTAAGTTTTGGGCCTAGGAAAACCTTGACATTGTGATGTTTACTTCCCATTGATCAGTGCGGACTGTCAAGAGAACATCGACAAAGTGTATTTCTATTCGTTTTTTTGCTAGATGATTAAAAAACAGAAGCTAAACTTCACTTTTTCGATAGTGTTTTTGGAAAAATTTTGAATTTTTTTCTTTACAATATTAGGAATCTTTAAGCGAAAGGGATATTATTGCGGCTGCTGCCGCTGCAGTACCATGGTACTTCCAACCGCCCTCGAGACGTCTGCTTAGTGCTCTAGTTTTCGGCTTGCATTATTTATGAAGACCAATTCTTGCAATAGCATAGTAAGATACTCGACAGTTTGCAGATTCTCGCATAATCAAAGACCGTGGCTGAAATTTTTGCTTTGACTGTGGCCACGAAATAGTTTAAAGGTTTCAAAACCCACATTTGGGGTTCCTGGTTGTTCTTTCGTCCAGACGGTCGCTCGTCGAGGCCGGTAAAATGTCTGCTAGTGCCTCGGCCGGATTAAAATTAGCGCGCCCAATACTTTCAAAGACGCCAGAGGAGGCTAAAAGACGCGTTATGAACCTCTATCGTGCGTGGTATCGCCAGTTACCCTACATAGTAAAGGAGTACGGCTACACAGCTGTGTCTGCAACAGTCCTCCAATTACGGCAAAAACTGAGAGAAGAGTTTCTTAAAAACAAAGACGTGAAAGATATTAGAGTAATTGATCTCCTGGTCCATCGCGTAAGAATTGACCTTCATGTCTAATATTTAGGGTCAAAATGACCTCATTGAGACCGCCCACATATGGCGCTCGGATGCTCACGTGATGGATACCTTTCATCAGACGGCAATCGAAAAACCGAACGATTTCCTTAGCAAATTCCTCCGTGGACAATAGTTTAAATTGGATCTTGTAAATTCCTGTAGATCTGCTACTAGACAACCTTCAATGTTTACTGTCTTTCCACTTCCAAAGGGACGTGGATGGGGCGTATTTTGTGCTGTCGTGGATTTTATCGTTTATAGTTCCTTTGAAGATACGGAGTTCAGTAATTTCTCTTGTTTTCTCGCCTGCACGGTATCCGGCCTGTGCTATTTTTGCCGAGCTGTTTCCACGGGACTCCGTTTACTTCGTTATCTGTGCCAACGCTTAAGAGCAGATGGACGATTCGAGCCTACCTTGTTTTATACTACGGCATTCACCCAGCCAGGGGCGTAGTATCTTTGAAAGTTTATCTCAGCGATATTTCGAAAACCTGGTCCCTTGTATTACGCTTCACAAGAGCCTCGCCGAAGATTTTTCCAACCAGAGCCAGTCAACAGGTAGCTTGCGTAAGCGTGGCTCATTGTATTACTGGTTCTGCCGTATACTGTGGCCTAGTACACAGAGAATCGCTTCAGATAGTTAAATAGACAAATCGTATTTTTAAATTATGTAGAATTGTCGCACCCCTGACCCCTCCTAGACCGCAGTCGTCTTCATTCAGCGGTCCTGTCTGCCCAAACCTGTTAATTCAGGCCTGGCCACACGAATTTCGGGCATTCCCAATAGCGAGACCCGGGCCATACTTCCACGCCTTCTTTAAAATTGCAGGCTCCTTGGACAAGCCATCTTGATCCTCTCGGGCATACAGTTCTTTGCGGCGACGTAGTCACAGACAAAACATGATTACATCTTCCATGCTCGTCCTTAACACCCCTACCTGGGATGAACCAAGGATTTCTTACTCCGCCTTTAGAGTTCTACGATTCAGGTTTCGACTTTGTCACCAATGATTCACATATCAATTGTGTTCGGGCGACTTTCATGATATACTAAGTAAAATTCTAGCGGAACCTTTTTGTCTAGGAAGGCTAACCATAAGGCGCCGACTCACATTCGCTCAGTTAAATCTGTTGCTGTGGACATCAAAGTCCAACTTTGATAACGTTATGAGGAATACCAAAGTTTTCTCTAACTACCTGTCCGTCTGATATATCGCAATTTATTTCAGACCGTTGAATGTCCTGGAGGTTGCAGTGAAATGCCGTTAGAGGATGAGTTTTATTTTGCCGGCCGGGATGAACACGATGGACAGAATACTAAGGATGTCTGCACAATCGGACTCTTGATGAGCCACCGCCACAATGTTTTTCAGTTTCGCAATGACAACCGCTTCTGTTTGAGGGTCATGTCCTGTGTAGTTTAATCCACCACAGTATCGGGAAAAAACTTAGCGCACCTTGATTTTACTTCCACGTAAGATTTCATATCTGAGAATATAAGTTATTTTCCTAACAGGATTTTTGTACGAGGTCACCTGCATTGCGTCAACTTCGAGGTTCGCTCTACGAAAGCTGCCGGTGCGGGTCCTGGTGCCCATTTGTTAATGAAAGTGAACCCTTTGGAATAGAATCTGGGTTATACTAAGGGTGATTGTTCTTATCGATATGTACCCTAGTAGTAGACCTCAAGCGTCCTCGCGCTATCGTGGCCGCTCTACAAGATTGCGCATGAAGCAGCCAAAGCATACTATTTGATCTGGCCTCGTTTGACGTGTGTTTAGACAGTAGACCGATTTTCATGAGACTGTGATGAGGGTTACGCAGCTGGCAGCCCTTAAGAGATGACGGCTACAAGTAGCATGCTGGCTACTTGTCTACCACTCACCTAACGACTATAAATGTGCTACTGATATTGTCTCACTAATATGTTACTGGTACCATTTCATCGCCGAAGATGTGCACGCCCAACCAGTGTGTGTAAAATAGGGTTTTAAAAGGCGCTGCCTACTATCCTGAGGAGCATATTGCAGACCCTGAATTATCACCAGACTTCGGAGGAGATACGTGCGTTTTGCAGGAGGTCCTAGTCTGGTGCTGCACATAGAGGTCAAGGTTAACGAAGGGACAAAGCGGGTCTAATCAAATGACTAAATTTTTACCTTCACACCCTGTAGGAGCAAAACAATGTACCGTCCCTTAGCTGTTCTCCAAGTGTTAAAGTCATTGAAAAGTATGCTCTTCGCGAGGGAAGAACGTCCTTGTTGATGTCAGGCTTCTATAGACGTCCCCTTGGCATAAGCAGGCGAATGTTGTATCCAACTATCAGAGTTGTCTGAGCTTTCGGTAACGGCTTGTTCAAATGCAATTTCCGCCAATGATTAGGCGATTGCAAAGAAACATCTTCGCGACAGGAAGAAAGTTCCGCGCTCGGATGTTTGCATGCTCATTTTCGAGTAACGGTAGACGCACACTGACCTGTTTGGTTCCACAAGGCAGATAAACTGTGAACCTGGTTGGAGGGAGGGATTACGGGGGCCGGCGATAACCTATTATGCCCTATAGCAACTAAACCAGTAATGGCAGTAATAAACGGAAATACGAGTGAAGACTGCAACAACTGCTTCGGTTTTGTCTGTGTTCGACTAATCCGACTACCGCACGCAACCCAGAACACGAGTTTATCAATCACGGTAGCCTACTTCTTAGGCCAAACCACTGGACGGAAGTGCATACGCTTTTCATCTTCAGTCTATCTGAATGGCCGGACCTAGGACATGTTTGTGCTGCTAGAGAGTGTGGCGAGTCTAAGAGGTCATTGGTGGGCCCGCAGCGGCCGTAGTCCCAGCCATCTCTAGCTCTCATTTGTCCACTTCGGCCTTTGTTCGTCTGGCCACTGTGCAGCCTGGTGGGTGGTTGTTCCCTCGTGATTCGAAAGCAGGTTTGGGCATATTCTCGTATGGCTATGTGTTCCATATGCTCTGCAGAGACAAAAAGAGTGGTGAGGCGCTGATTAACTCCGGTCGGATGTCGCCGGCAGCACATTGGTTAGACCTCGCCTGCGGACCATCTGCACAGTGCCGAGGCGTCGAAACGAGTGCCATCGAAGACAAGGGGTACTGGGATGACCGTTTCTTGTTTATTAGCCGTCGCCAGTCAACCTTACTCAAGCCCGGGTTTCCCACACCCGAGGCTCTAATCTGCGTTCCTAGGCCATCCATCTACACTGAGTCCAACGTCCTGCCACTTATCCACGGACCTGTTGGTTGCGATTGGGGATGTTAAGTTTTGACCGGTATAAACGAAAAGGCGAGTCCTAGGAGGCAGTTCAGAAGAGAATGATGTAGTTGATGGGACAGGTTAATTCACCTGATGTTTCGAGCACACACACTCGAACCCATCCTCATAGGTAGTCACCAAGCACAAGAACTGCAGAATTTATAGGAAGTGGTCGCCATGCAACCACATGCGCAGCTCGTACTCATCGCTGTGGCTCATACTTGATGCGATGATTGCCTGACAGTCCGCATAAGAGTCTTTAATTGCCGTAATTTCATTACCGTTGTGGATTCTTGGCATGACGACCACTCGGCGACTCGATCTCCTGTCGCTCGAGCTGTTGGTCGCCCGCGCCCTCCCGCGTGAGTAACTACTCCATCCAGGAGGTGAGAGGTTGTTAATCGACTGCGAGCCGAGAAAAACCGCTAAAGTTGCCCTCGACTTATGCGTTGCCATCTCTCGAGTGAATTCCAGCCTTATCAGACCTGAAGGTGCGCCCGGGTCCTGTCAAATGGACCGCGGCCTGAGAACCAGCGTCCTTTCTCCGCTAAGTCTGCATGTTCGGCAACCTGCATCGAGAGTAATCTCCCAGTTTCTTTGACGTGATTACCTTGTCCACAAGTGCAACAGATCTGGTAGATTATTTCAAGCGTTTCATACTATGGCTGTGGGTCTTTGGTCTCATTGCTCGGCGCCTGACAGTCGCTTCTGGTTTGTGTGTAGTTCCAACGTCAAGCGGTGTAAGGAGGCGACTTATGGTTTCCGAGACGTTCATCGCGTACAGGAGCGCTCGCCAAGATTCTGGATGGGTGCAGATCGGTCTCCTGTCTCGTATGCCTATGCACGTGTTGGCAAGGTTGCGTGGTTTGTCATTTTTTTCTGAGCACATTTCGAAACTATTGTTATTCGGCATCCTAGTCTTCTGGTTCACTGCAGCACGTCTCAACACGCTGTTTATGGCTGATTGGGTGGTTGCTGTTGAAGCCGTTAGTTATGTCATATTTGTCGCTTTCCTGAACACTAATTTTAGGCAACCACAATCTCTGCGGCGGACGGAGACATCAAGGAAGATCGGTTGGTTGTCTTCTTTCTCGTCCATCGTGAATTATACAGTTCGACATTTACGAATGATTACTAATCACTCGTAAACCGGCATCTATATCAATGGATAACAGATTTATGGGGACTGAAAGCCTAGAAGGAATATTAGAGATAATATTACGTTGGTTAGAAACGCCAATCTTTTCAGAAAGAAAATTTGCAGCAGTAATTCGAAGTAAAGAAGGACTCGACACCAAAAGGTGCCATAGTGTCTTCGCAAGAGCTGCCGGTTATAGTATGCAACTGCATCCTCTGTTATCCTTATCTGCAACGGCTTTTGATGACGGTTTAGATTGATAATCCGAAAGGTCAGGCGTATAAACTTGTTTTGACGATTGCGTCTTCTACTGGGTATTAACTTGTGTTGGAAGTACGTCCACCGATCCGGTTAGGGGACATACTCGTCCTATTGTACTTTGGGGTTCAGTGCGGAGCCAGAGCTAGTAGCCGCAGAGCTACCAGGAGACGAGTCTCGAAAAGGTGACTAGGATGGAAATTTTTTGGTTTATTGGCTGTCAGGTTTGTCTCAACTGAGCCCAAAGTTGATCCCTTTTCTCGATCTAGAAATCTGTCAGCTGAGAGCTGTGTCTTTGAGAACTCTCGTCTCTGCGTAAGCTCGCAGATTTTGATTTGTGCCCCTATGGGGGATAGGGGGGGATGAGGCTAATACAGCACATCGGATTCCTCAGGCTCATTATACATTTCACTATGCACTCGCGTCCTTAAAGAAGGCGGGTATTTGCATAGAGTTGCCTCATGGATGCCTGGTCTGTTCGCTCTTCTTATCGCTCTTAGGAATGAAAAAAGTGAAGTCGAATGGTGACTGACTCTTCATTTTCACAAGCCAGAGGAAATTTGCATGATGGGGCACTATAAACGCGTCTCCTGTTATGCAAAAACTGTGGAATTCCAGCATTCACCCAGGCAACTCAGGTATAGTCGAAACCTCGGGTTAAAAAGACGCTCTGATTGACTGAATTTTGCATTCTTTGGCTTAGAGTAATTAAATTCACCAAAGATCTCACGACCGGGGTAAACGCTTTGCCCTCCTGTTCACAGTCAGATACACACCTAGTTACTTCCAAAACACCAGATTGACAACCTGAACAAACCGGTTCAAAGGCTCAGAAACCAAACTTAGCCAAGATGCAACCTTCTGTTAAGATATTGTCCAAAATAAAGCTTTTTGAAACATTTTATTCCCGTCAAAAGTTAGTAGGAAGAATTTATGAGTTAGACAGTACGTTGAACTAAATGTGGGGAGGCACTCGTCTGTAAACCAGTATTCTTTTTGCTGTTATAAACGCGCCCAAGTAGTCCTTCACGTTCAGCGAACGCAATCAATTATTTTAATACGTGATGTTTCATTCCAGGCACGTACTGGATACGTGTCCCAAGCTGTCCCACTGAATTTCGTCCATTCTTATGCGACCCACCCAGAAGACAAGAGACGTCGTATCGAGGATGTGTCCAATTATTTTTGGATTTAAAAACTGAGCACGTTCTTCTAATCACATGCTTGTTTGGAGAAACCCCGGCGAACTGTTAATTAAATACTACCGAAATTGCAGTTGGTCCCCAAAAAGTCAGAAATTACTAAATTCATCCGTCCATAGACAACCATCATGAATGACAACTTGTAGTAATCGCAGTCGGCAAGGACGCGTTTTTAACTATCCACCATTGGATCTCTTCATTGTGCGCTACGGTAGGATAGTGGACGGTGAAAAATAATCAGTGAGTTGGGTGATGTGAACAGAGTTAAGGGCTGTTCTGACACTCTAATTTGGATGGAGGAATTGTGCTCTAGTGCTGTTAAATAGGATTTTTCCAGTTGGTATGACGGTTTGCACGTTGTTGAAGTCAGTCTACTCCCGGGGATCTGTAGCCAACCACCAAAATTGCATCTACGTATGTTACCTAGATTACTTTAGGGCGCTAACAGCTCACAGTCTCTAAACTCGCTAACAAAGGCCTCCGCTGCGGTGCGACCTCAGCCCGATAAAACCTATTTTCAGTGCCACCAAGTAGACGTAAACCACTTCATTCGTGTCATTTGCAATGTACAGGAATCAATTTCAAAATGTGACGTTAGCCCCTTCTCGCAAAGACAGAAATCCTCGGCATAAATTCAGTCAACCCGGCCTTGTGTTCGCAGACGACATTCATTCGAGACCTTGAATTTCCCTCGCCCAAACTGTGCCCCACACGGTCCCACTCGCATAATCCCAGATCGCGTCACAGTGGAGAAGTGCGAACACAATCCGCAGCCACCCTGCCCCGATAGGTCGAGAATATTTTATCCCCGTTCACTAGTTACTTCTCGACTTTCGCTATCCCACTGTGGTTTCTATCTTTGGTAAAGCCTTATTATGGACAGTCAAGGGCATGCGTTTGCCTTTCACACAGACAAAACATTCTGGGTGGGACAACCATTCAAATTTTTTCTCGACTTCGCGGAGATCTCTAAGCTCGTCTTGCATGTGACAGTTTGCGCCACGAAATATATCCATTTGCAAAGAGACGACGGGAGGCTACAGTGTAAGCGCTGCTAAAGTTACTCTCAGCAACGTCAAAACACAAAACTGTTGATAAGACCTCGCTATCGGTGATTAGAACTTAGTCGATCTAAATGAATCGTTCGGCTCATTTGGCATCAAACAAACTGTCAAGGCTAGAGACTTATAGCGTTCGTAAGAATGGTTGAGTGTTTTAAGAGCAGTTTTTCCTCCCTACGTCTACTCCTTAGACCTCCGGCTTCTTTAAACCCACCCTACGGAAGTAGTTTTTCTTAAAAGACCACAATTTCGACCCAGGTGACCAACCTAATGAGAGTTCATACGCAAAAGTGTATCGACCGAGGACGTCAAGGGAAGCACATAACCACGTAACGGAATACCGGAAAGAGATCCTGGCTTGCGTTGATCTGAATACGATTGTCAGTTGTTCACGATACTCATCCGTACATATAGGAAGAAGAAACGACCAGTGGATGAGAAGATACAATGAACAGAAATGTGAATTGGAAGGTGTATAATGATACAGACAGGACGAGTTACAACCATTGACTGACCTGTCTGGGTGGAGAGGCGATACCACCATGCCAGCTAGTAAACCGGTGGGGAACGCAGCGCTGTGGGCAACTGCAGGGAGGGGCCGAGGGGGGCGCGGACGTGGAGAGGAGGATAACGGTGCGAACGTCACGATACGATACGGGGAAGGGGTCGGCGGAAGTGAGGAGAAAGGGCACCGGTCATCTTCACCAGCACGCGGTTACGCCATCTCCATCCTAGGTTCGCGCGCCAAAATGTGTCACAGCACTCAAACAACCCTGCTCAGATTAGGGGACGTCACAAAAGGGATCGTCCTATCCCTGTATTTTTAAACAGTGGAGTAAATAAAAAGTGAGCATACAGGCTTAACATGCCATACTTAACGCTCCTACACTGAACGCTGAGTCCACATCCCACGACCCTCGATGCGATAGGTATGAGTGCGTGTGGGGGCGGTCAGTAGGACATTACGTCAAACGCTTGGACAAATGAGCCCTATATCGTGTCGCGAGACTTTCCAGCCTCGGCTTAGGTCATGTCCGACTGACAGCAAAAAGAAGAGAATTGTAGACACACGCCTCCCAAGCCTGTACATCTGGAGAAACTGAGAGGTCACACGTCCGCAGAATCGCTTGCTGGGATCTGAGTTCCAGTTCGCTGCAGTCATAGTCTTCCTTTCTGGGGGAGACTTTATATTGCGTTTTTCCAGACATGTAAGGAGAGCGTATCCTAGGTTAAGAGATAAAGCATCTAGGTCGAACGTGGTGCGAAACATCTGTGTCCGGAATCTTCACAGACCGACTGTTCTCTCAGCCACCACGGCAAGCTTGCTTGGCATCCGAATTAATCGGCAGTCAGCTTTGCCTCTCCCGCCAACTGAATCTCTCGCTGCGTAAAAGATCATAAGAATTTCATGTTGACATTAGAAAATGCACTGGTGCTTCAGCAAACTTACAATATCCAAGGGATACATGGCCAAGTTTTCAAGCAGACGTCAGAAATCTATGAACGATGGTCTATGAAAATATTCAGACAATTGCGCAAGAATTTAGAAGTTGCCATTGATTTTAGAAGGTTAAATTCCAAACGGCAAAACGCTTGCGAAGACATACTTCTCTGCCATCGAGCCACTCACTCTGGTTCTGTCAGCCGTGGCAGGAAGTACTCCACGTCACTCTTGCAACGTTCGGCGAACTATCCTGAATACAGGGCAGGAAGTGGAATTAAGATTTTTGTCCTAACGCTTCGTTAGACAACCTACTCAGTCCATAGTGAGGTAAAAATATATATATATAGGATGGAAATATGATATGTTCCACACTTCGGGCTTGGGTATGGCTGGCTGACGACGGCTAATAAGCCAGAAGTGGCCATTCCAGTCTCCCTTGTCTTTGTCGGTAATAGAATTCTGCCTATATATATATATTCTACTCACATTCCAAAATTATTTAAAGTCAACTACCCTACCAATAGAGGACTGTCATAAAGTATGCTTACTCTCGCCCCTTTGCTGGAAATTAGGTCAGCAAAATTTTAAAACTCGCTGCAGATCCCGACTTCTAAAGATTTTAGAACAGCACATTTTTGTACGGCCTCCTCATGCTGTTGCAAATACGAATCCAGACATCCATAAGCTACTGAATCGTATCTGAAGTATGCAGTAATTCCCTTCAGACCCGTCGTGAAAACCTCGGAAGTTCAAATTAAAGGCAAAGTCGAACAAACCTATTAAAAGCCTTCTAAATCATATAATTTTATTAAATCGAACAACTAGCCTTCGTTCCTACGCTACATTTTACCAAGACACAATAGGCCAATAGTCAGTCTTTTCCAGTGGAAGGGATAAATACTGCCTACTTAAGGCCTTTCCTCCAATAGAATCTAAAAAAAAGAACCGAAAAAGTTCCCGGCGAAAGGCCAGTTTGTCACTTAATTTAGGCTTCCATTACTAGAAGCCTCCCCTCTAACATGATAGATTTTCGAATGTCCTGTGAATGGTTTTGATGTTAACTAAGGATCTCAACTATGATATGAAAACGGAACTGTCGAAAACAGTTGATTCAGACAGGTTTACGTCTCATGCGATAATATCACTCGGTTTAATCTTTTCAGTTTTGTAAACTTCTCAAGAGCTGATGCGCTAATTTGATGCCAACTCTTCGAAGTAAGGACATTTAAGCTCAGTCCAGAAACTTATATGAATTTGTGAGACAAAATGCATCAGCTTCTGTGGGAGAAGCGCATTCTTTATGCACTGCCATTAAGAGCTCAGTAGTACACATACTTTACATTGGTTTCTAATACACTTAAAAACCGAAACTTTCAGAACCGATACATTTACCAGTAGATACACGGGAACCATGAAAAACCCATCGACGAGCCGAGCCTCTGCAAATGTGTTATTTTGCGGCAACTAAACGCGTGTGGACAAATTAACCTAGTACCTGAGGAATTGTACAAGATTTAGTATGTTCACCCATCATCTGGACTCCTGAAACTAGAGATAACCTGCGGGTTTCGACCGTTTCGTGACCAATTGTAACTCTTCCTTTCTCCTTTCTAAACAACAATAGTTTTGATCATAATCAGAAGCAACGAGTGGTTTAATGTGACAAGAAGTGCCCCGAATTACACGCCTGACCGCCTTTTCCCGTTTCACTGCACATTCAACAGGAGATTAGAGACATCTGTCGCTGATTTATTCTATAACTTGTTCGCTTGCAAATCCTCATTAACGCCATTTGCGCTCTGCTTTCCGATTAATGATATGCCCTTCTGGGACCATCGGATTTTGTCGGCGCCGGGGTTGTTTTCGTTGGCACAACTGACTTTCCGCCAGGGTGTGTTTTTCTGCACAAAGCGACACTTCTGCACCCAAATTACCTTGCCTTGGTTAATTCAGCTTGGCGCCAAAGGCTGCTTTGTAAGTGGACTTAAATCTCACTTGTTTGGCTCGAAAGGAGGTCTCTTCCACCTCCTGGGCAGTTCGACGTGACTAAACTGGAAAGAGGTTTTGAGTGAACGAGCGCCGAAAATTCGTTTCGTGATATCACTGGAAAAATCCCTGGCCGCTGACCAAAGTGAGCAAACGGGGTTCGGTGCAAAAATACCGTCTGCACTGAGCTGTATTAGTAATTAGTATAGACCAAACGCTCCGGTCAATTGAGCTATAATTAGAAGGATTTGTACATCCCCTTGTAACAATTTTGTCCAAAACCACTACAGAATATGAATTCCCTATGATCGTAATGCAAAAAAAGATGAGAAGTTATTCATGGAAGTAAAGGTAAGAAGACTTTTACCTCTTTAGCACGAATGTTTTGAAATACGAGATATCAGAGATATCAAGGGGGGGAATTAGAGCTTTTGAAACATTTCTCTGGGAATTAGTGCAGTCAAGTATTGTCTAGTTTCCTGCATGTTATGCTGGCCTAAGCTCATTCAGCCACAGCCAATTATTTCATGCACTGCAAAGTTTAGCTCAACAGATGCCGAAATAATAATAAAGGTATCGAATTTCGAAAGATCTTTTGAGCGACCTACCTGCAAAATCGTCGGAAAGTCACAATAATGCCTTAAAGATGATAATTTGCCTGCAAAATGTGGGGTGCCTGATGTGCCATAGTAACTCGAAAAACCTGTAAAATAAACGCAACCTCTCCACTCATGGCAGAAGAAAATAATACAAGGTTCGATCTAATAAATCATAGTAGGAACCATTAACCCATCATTGGCGAAAAGTATCAGATTTGGTGGATTCAAGACGTTGCAGTAGGTTGGGCGGGTAACTTGACCCAAATGCGATTAAACTCGCGTCGTCCGGTGGGGCCTCGTAGCTCAAGTGGTTAGAGCGTTGGCTGTACTAAAGCCATCCCTTTACTGCGTGGGTTTAAATCCCTCCGGGGCGCCGAGTTTTTCACATTTGGGTCAATATGAGAAGTAAGAACATAAGTACTGTCGATATTAGTATTTCCTAATAAGACAGACAGTGAAAGATCAATCTGAGGACTGGACAGGAATTTTTAAAGGGCGAAGACTTGCCTGTTTGCAGGAACAGGCATTTGGGGGCCCGATGTGCTTTCGATTATGAAAGTAAAAGTGCACAAAAAAGTACTACAGAACACACCCGTTTCTCCGGCGTTTTAACTATTTACTTGAGGTTGCTGGGTGGGTTCGCTCGATCCATTAGGTTATTGTGTAGATATTGCCAAAAGGTCTCATAATATCTTTGCTTCAGCACGCAGAAAAAACTTTATGTCATGCATTCTTGTCGTTCATCGAACCATCCTACCTGCAGGACAGAAATGGCCGTCTCCGTCCGCCTTCGGATTCCACGGGGGTGATGGCTAATTAGAAGCAATTAATAGTCGAGTGATGGGCTATTATGACAAATAAGATGGAAATAGAAGAAAAAGAAGAAGATGCGATCACGGGAACAAGAAATTTATTGGCCTTGCGTCTGGGATTCTTACTCGAAGCCATACAAATAACTGCCTTTGTCGGTAACGCTTCTGGAATTCTCCCCAGATTGAATAGGGGGGCATTTTGCCGGAAGGAAAACACCAAGAGGTCACTTTCACTCATGAGTATTATTAATTAGGAGGAAGTAAAGTCTGTGGAAGATGCGTCTTCCTACAAAAAGATAAAGCACCGAAGCTGAATCTGGACCAGTGGCTTTAAGAAACTGCAGGGTTCTGCCGCCACAAGTCTTTTTAAATGAAATCTTGAATATGGCTGATAGAAACGAGCAGGCGAGTTCCAGGAAGCAGTTTTTATGACGCTACCCCCATTTTTTATCTCCGATCAACAGGACCTGCCAATAGAGATCGCCGAGTTACTCCTGCGAGACAAATACGATGGAATGGAGAATTGTTTCGGACACGCCCAAATCCTCCAACCTCTGAAATTCTGTCTTAAGGCGTACTTTACTTTTGATGGAACAATTTACGGGTAGATGAAAGGTACGCCAACGGATTCACAGACTCCGGGACGCGTTGCTAAGGTGGTCCTGCAACGTTTGGAGTTGCTGGTCTTCCGACACCGCTGACCGAAATTCTGGGCTCGGCATTTGGATGCTACCATCATCGTCATCGAACGGAATTCAACGAACATCTCAACGCCGTCTTCCCAGACATCTAATTCACGATGGAGGGGAAAAAGTAAGCAGTTAGCTTTGCTCAACGTCCTCTTCTGCCGCAAATATTGTGGTGGACTGAAAACTAAATTGTTCAGGAAAACAACTAATACGACACAGGTACCTAGCTTCAACAGCAACCACCAAATTAACCGCGGGCGGAGTTGCTTAAGAGTACTGTACCGGTGTGTCGAGGTGCACCGCAGTGAACCGGAAGACAAGGTCGCTAAACTACAGCATCTTGGACGGGTGCTTAGAGGCAATGTGTGCCTGTGCAGTTTTGTCAGCCGCTGCATGTATAAACGCAACGAAGAACAAACTTCAGCGGGCGATTTCTAACGCGAAGAACATCTCCGAAACCGTCAGTCGCCTACTCGCACCACTCGGATTTGCAGTTGCACAGAGACCGGAGGCAACCCTCAGACATCAGGCCATAAGGCCTAAAACTACTGCCAGAGCATGAAACATTGGTAGTCGTTTAGGGGATCACGTGCAGTTGCGGACAAGGCAACTACGTCAAAGAAAGTGGGGGACCACTTCGAACGCGAATGACCGAGCATGCAGCAGCAATGAGGAGGAATGACGTTAACTCTCAGATCACTGCTTATTCGACGGGACCCGGCCATATTTTTGAAGTTTCAAGAGACTGGACATTTCTCAAGGGGCGGTCACGGCGTGAACCATGAGCAGCTTGAGTCACAGTTCGCCGGACTGCATTCAGTTAACTAGCGAAATGACCTTCCGCCTCCATATTCTGTGCTGAGAGTCTGCCTGGGCAAAATTACTAACCAGCAGTCACGGTGAGAGCGAGTCGAATTGCCGAGTAATCGTCATGCCAAAGATAAAAAAACGGTGATGACATCACGGAAATCAACGACTATGTTGCGAAACGACGAGCAATCATCGCAACAACTGCAACCCCCGCGATGAACGCGAGTACCCTGCTTTTGTCTTTGATGATGGGTTCGAACAGGCATCCGAAACGTCAGGCTAATAAAGCTCTTATCCAAGCTAGCATGTCTCCTTCTTCACGAACACAAGTACTGCCAGATGTAGTTGGCGTGCGGTTGTTTGGCAACCGCGTCCTAGAAATACTGTTCACCCTGTGCCTCATATTATCCTTTTCTGCGACTGTCTCTGATGACGTATTGGAGTGAGTATCCGAAACTTCAGGCCAAGAAACTCGTTTCAGCGATCGCATCTGCTTCCTTTACCCTGAATATTCATTTTCAGGATGGTGTAAATTCATCTGAACGGCTCATCAGCGCACTGCTTACGATACTAAATCTGGGGCACATTAGCGTGTCACGACATGACATTTGTCGTAGCTTGAAAGGTTGCAAGTCACGGGATAACCCAGTTTTCATGGTGAGCGCAGGGGGAGTGTCCAGTGGATTGAGAATCAGGATGCAACGTCTCCTTCCCAGTGCGGCCTTTAAGGCAATCTCACCTACAGTGACTGACCGATATCATGAAATTTTGGCTGAAATTCTGAAATAGTTTTTCGATTAGGAAGAATTACTTAGGCGCAATTGTAATATTAATTATCTTGTGGCATAATACTATAATATTTCTGACTCGGCTGGACGTCAGCTTTTTGACACATTACTTTTCAATCCCCTGTAGAAAGCGTACTCTGTAAGAAATGACAATGCATTTTTCCCATTGATTTTCGATGGTCTTGCAAATTCAAATAGATCTTATATAAACCATAAACAAAATATGTTTTCTTTCAGTCAGTTAATAGAGAATCACGTCTTCTTTATATTTTATGCTCGAAAAAGGCGTATAATTAGCTTTTAAAAAAGTTTCTAATTATTAGATATTTAAGACCGTGCAATGTGCATTCATACAGCATTGTACCTATCCGTTTACCACTGTGCCTCATGAAATGTACAACATAGCCCGCATCCGTCGTAAATTTTCATGGTCTCTATATAGTACCTTTTTAAAGGCATAGAATAATATGGGATTTTCTTTACGCGGAACTCATTCACCTTATAGACTGAGATCACTAGACGCTAATGCAACGGCTGATTAGGCTCCAACTTATTCGGGTAATATAAAACTTTTTTAAACCTAATTATCCACCTTTTTCGGGTATAAAAAATAAATTCGAAGTGATTCGCTATCACACGACTGAAAGAAAGCATATCTTTGTTTGTGTATTCTACAAAATATATTTGAATTTGCGAGACCATCGAAAATCAGTGTGAAAAATGCATGCTACATAAGTAGTCATTTTTTACCACGTACGGTTTTTACAGGAGATTCAAAAACAGTGCATTCAAAAGCCAACATCCTATAGAGTTTGAATTATTATAGGATTATGTTTCAGGGCAATCAGTATTTGGACTGTGTTTAAGTAATCCTTCCTGATCGAAGACGCATTTCAGATTTTCGGCCAACATTTCATGAGATCGGTCACGCACTGTAGCCGTAGCCTGAAAGGTTGTAAGCTGACGGGATAACCCAGTTTTCATGGAGAGCGGAGGGGAGTGTCCAGAGTCAGGATGCATTGTCTCCTCCTCAATGTGGCCTTTAAGGCATTCTCACCTATGTGAAATCCGAGACGTCCATTCAGTACACTGGTAAACGCAATGAGGACCAGCTAGTGCGGGGCGTGCGTAAACGGATTATTCGGAGCTGTTTCCCATCGCACCTTAGCTCACCTTCGGTCATTTTGAAATTGTTCTATTATCAGTGCGTGAAGGGTGAGGGAAGAAAGAGTACAGTGGACGTTGCACAAGTCCCTCCCTCTATGAACTAATTCGTGCGCAAATCACCGTTACTGCGTCCATTTTATGGGACAAACGACAACGATGCGGACTGTGACGACTGAACTGTCAAGTCCTGCTGACGGTACGTTAAAAATGCGAATAAGAAGACAAAGGAACTTCGACAATGAATAAAAGGCGTATGGGAAAACGACGTAGAGATGTAGATCACGCGGATTTACGTCGAAAACTCGCCATCTGAGCTATTCAACCGACGTATATGCAGTAGGTGGACTAGTTCACGAAATGTCAGCCGAAATTCTGAAATGCATTTTCGTTTCGAAAAGCTTAGTTGCGAAGAGTTGTAAAACTAATCATCGTGCAGCATAATTTGATAGTACTTCAGTTACCTCGGCATGCCGGCCTTTGAACGAACTTCTTATCGGAAGCATGATAACATAAACAGCATGCATTCTGCTCATTGATTATCGACGTTCTTAAAAATTCAATTCTATTTATTGGAAAGCATACATACAAAATATTCATTCTCTAACTCATTCGGTAGGCAATGACATCTTCTTCCAAGTTTACACTCGAACGAAGGGTATAATTCGGTTTTAAAATGTTTCTAATTGTGAGACTTTTTATTACCGTAAAATGACCGTTCATAAAACGTCATGTTTCCGCGTTTACCAATGTGGCTTATAAAATTAACAATATGGATCAAATCCAATGTTAAATTTTATGAACCCTACATGGTCTCTTCTTAATACCATAGAATGATGTGTGGTTTTCCGTACGCGGAAACTACATCGCTTGTTGTTTTGAAACTCTGAGTGCAAGTGTAACGGCAGATTGGGTTCAAAATTATTCAAGAATAGGAAAAGTTCCTGAAAACCGTATCGTACTCTTAAAATGAGCATAGAATTGAAAGAAGACATTATTTTCTAATGAATAAGCAAGAAAATAAGTATTTTATGCATGTTTTCCATGAAATATAAGGGAATTTTTGAGGACAGCGGAAATCAATGAGAAAAATGCATCCTACATAACTAGTCCTTTTTTACTGAGTAAGGTTTTTTCATGCAGCTGAAAGGAAGCTCGTTCGAAAGCCGGCATGTTGAGGTAACTGAGTTATTATAGAATAATGTTGCAGGCTGGCTAGTTTTACAGCCCTACTTTATTAATCTTTTCGAGACGAAATTTAATTTCGGGATTTCGATTGACATTTCATGAGTTAGTCCGCCTACTGAAAACAGAACAAATCAATGAAAATATCGCTTCTTCCAGCTTACAGGTCGCCGATCGATTTTTAGCTGATAATGCATTTCAAAGCTTTCCCGTGAATGCAACAAAAAGTATTTATAATCCTTCGCTTGAGTAAACGCAATAAACAAAGGAACTCCTGCCTTTTTGTACTTTTAATAGCGGTCAAAAGTCTTTTTACTGTGTTTAAAAATAATATCTTAGACAAAGTGCTCTCATCTACTAAAAATGCTTTTGGTTTAGAAAATAAGAAAATAAATTAGTGGAGAAAACGTTTAAGATATCCGCACATAGCATCTTCTCACTTAAGTTTCTGAGGTGTTTGTTAACGCGCTGCGTGCTATTACGGGCTGCATACCTTGAAGGAATAAGGCGTAGCCAAGTTTCTGCACTTGGTGACATTGTTTGCTTACCTGAACCATGATGGTACTCATTGTATAAGCGTGAGGAGATAACACTTTTCGTAACTGTCCTACTTTGTGCTTAGACGAAGCTGCCTAAAATGAGCAAAAGCCAGTCCGCGCAGAAATTGGCCTCTGATAGTATCTCAGTTTATAGCATCCATTCGGTTTAAAAATTAATGCCCCCGAAAGACATTAAATCGTCTTAGTCGCCTCTGTAACTCACACGCAAGATGCTGCACTGGCGAACTTAGCCGTGAAGGTCTTCTAAGAAACAGGAGCGATGGCAACGCTTTTTGCAAATATAAAAATCCGAATAGGACTTAATGGTCAACGCGGAAGATTTTCAGGCGAGCTCTCCCCTTTAAAACTATGTTTACTATGGGCATTGATAACAAAACCTTTTTTCAGTAATTTTTACCCTTATAGATTTATGTATGACAAAATTCTGGGACATCCCTCAGATTCTACCCGTTTCCGTTCATTTTCTTCTAACTGCAGATGATTATTTAGTCAGAGTTTGCAATGGGAATGCATAGGTTCTTAAGACTTCGTACTTTCTGGCTAACACGATCAAGAGCTCGGTTAATATCTGTCTTCAGAAATTTATCCCATTCGATAAGAGATCTCTCTAATTAATTAATTCATCGTCGTACTTTAACGGCTAGCATACTGGGCATGCCTTCATCTCGACAATCAGGGCCAAATCGTGACCAGCAGAAGAGCACGATAAAACCTACACGGACAAGTTTATTGCCAGCGGACAGAAGCTTTGCTGTCCCGAGCTATAAAAACGAGTGACCTTGATGTGGTAGGGCGTGCTTGCGTGGGATCGCGAGCTACAACAACAAAGGACGATGCCATATGCCGGGATTTTGTTACCATATCAGATGTTTTTACGGATAGCCCTCGACAATATCACATTCAATTTGTCAGATTAATAATCAGGCAAAAGTAGAAACTCGAGTTAACGTAGTTTCGCCAGAAAAACACCAAATAGTTGCTCGAACTTCTTGGACAGTGACCTAGATAGTGTCAAATCTTTCGTGAAATAATTATGGTTAATTGTGAAATCTGTGGGCAGTATTTTAAAAATACCAGGGTATCGAAAACACATATCTTCCTTAATATGAAGAATGTTTTAGATAAACAGTGTTCTCGCACGTTGGAATACTTTAGTGGCTTGTGATGTACTTCCTATTGCCAACTATACTATTTTTTCATGGATAAAAAGAAGTTGGCTATTTAAAAGCATTAATAATCCTCCTTATATGTTAGTATCGTTGTCACTTTCGAATTTAGCCTTACAGGTTCCTAAACTCTGCTGATTTTATAAGCGGGAAAACAACAAAAGGGTTTTGCCTGTGCATATCCAAGTGCTTATGTTTCCTCTGATTCGACGATAAAATCCTGTTATCCAGTGGTTCTCACTCAGTAGACTTGTAATGTTGACTAAACCCTTTGACGATCCGCAATTCCAACTTCATGCGAATCACTGTTGCGTGGGAGTATGCAAATTATATGAGATTAATTGGATTATTGTAACGGGAGTTTTCTCAGCACCAAATGCGAGTTCCCTACCCAATCATTTTTCCTTCAACTGATAAGCCGAGGTCATACCGTCAAGGGATAAGTCTGGATGTACCAGCTGATCATATATCTTTCCCCATCTCTAGACTGTCACAAAAGTGAAAAAAAGCGGACTGCATTTATGCAGACGTCAAATCGGTAAGTTGCCATATGGCCATAGGCAGGACGGGGTGTCAATTTCGAGTACATAATTACCCAATCAAATGGTTGTACTGAGAATCACAACAAGTAAGCCTCTTTGGGGGCAGAATAGCATGTCAACATTTCTGTAATGCGAGATCTCGGACAGGCTCGGCCGCACTGTCTAATCCATCTGCCTTTGTGTTCCACTAGCAAGGCCTAGTTAGACATAATGAGGCTCGACGCGGTGGCAGAGGTTGATCGGGCAATTGCCTGCTGCTTTGCTGATTCAAACGAATATAACTGCACCGGAATATTCACGCAGGTTAAACTTTCCGCCTTTTTTAGATCAAATTCTTCCACTTCATTCATTTTCGTGCGTCATAATGAACTATTGTTGTCCCCAGTATAAGACATTCTCTTGTTTAGGAAGAGTTTGTAAACTTACTTGGCTTGTCTTTAGTCCTTTCTGAAAAATTGACAAAGCCAATTAAGAGCAAACATTAGTTTACTCACGGTTCGGATTTTGCAGCTTAAATGTCCTGCGGGAGGTAGTGGATAATGCGGGGTGGATGCGTTTTAATTCTTTTATTTTAAATATCCCTCAGTATTTTGTGAAGTTGAGGGTAATTTTTTATTTTCTATCGCAAACAGGCGATGTACTTTGGATGTTTTAATGCCGCTTTCATGATATTTGGAAAAATTTATTTTTTCTAAACGCACACTTTTAATTTTTTTGAGTGCTTATAAAATAGAGCTGCCATTTTGCATCACTTTTTTCTTTTAATTTCCCGAAAATGATTTCAAAATTAGCATTAAAAGTAGTTTGACTTCTGGCTAACACATCCTTAAAGGGCAATCTGCTAATATCAATACAATTGTCTATATTTGGAATACTGTTAAGTTGGGTCTCCTGTCTCAAGTGGTGGTAAAATGGAGTCAATTAATTTTATCGAATTGTTTATGAGCTTGTAAATTGGGCTGCAAAAACGAACAGAAACACAGCATCTTAATTCAAGTCTAGTTATCCTATAGAATTCATATAAAGGCCCGTAATTGGACTCATACGCTCCTTCTGATACGATCAGTTAAAAGCAATTATATTTCTTCATATGGAATTAGCATATCGTCTTCCAAAAAGTTCCTGGGAAAGATTTGTATCTATTACCGTCAGCACATTACGGTCATTATTTAAGAGTAATCTATTCCTCACAGGAATGGGACTCGCCTTCTCATACAAGGCCCTTTAAGTAAGAATTAGAGCAGTCTTTAAAAATAAGTGTGCAAGGCCAATTTTGGTAACCTATCGATAGCATCAACTGCCAGTCACAAGAGATCGCATTCGCAAATATCCTGTAAGCCAATATAAGACCTACAGGCCATCAGAACGTGTAAATCAGTTTGCTCTATTGACAGCCAATCAGAGGCGGTCACGGCTCATGGCTTTAAGTACTCGCAAACAGATATTTTAGCAGACTATTTTAACATCGTCCGGAAATCTCTCTAGGAGCAGAAATTCTCTTCACCGTCCTATAAAAGGTGAGCGATTTTTAACCTATTGTTTTAGACACATTGTCAGGCAGCAAAATGTAATTTATCATAGAGCAAAATGTTTAAAAACTTATAATGTATGGGCATCCTTGTCGATGGAATAAATTGTCGTTTGCATATATGGAAGTGGACGTTTGATGACCTTCTGTCTTCTAATAGATTTTAAACTGGATACTAACAGCGTATGGCCGCTCTTTTCTTCAGCTTTCCTGCACTTCGAGAAGACAGTTCGTGCAGGATTTTTGAATTTATTTTGTTATATTCCCCTAACGACAGTGTTAAAGTTAAATTATTTCCAGGAATTATAGTCAATGACAACCAAGTAAACACACTGATTTAAATAATTTACAAGTAAAGTTATCCCATTTTTTTCAAGCTACGGAGTATGTGAGCATCTTCTTCGCTTTACGTTTCTTAATCAGACAAATCCTTGGCTTGTGTTAAATAAATTGGAAAATAAGGCCCCATGGTAGATAGTACCTTCTGTTTTGCGGTAAATCAGACGGTCCCAAAGTTATTACGCATTTTCGAGTCGTGACTTGCTAACTAACGTGGTGACTTGATCCTTCTCAAGACCGCGAGTTAGGCTGCAATAGCTCGCTCAAACTGCAATCACTTACGTGACCTCCGAGGCTCCTTTAATCTTGGAGAGAAAATCAAGTCGCAGAGGAGCTTTCCAGGTTTTTCAACCCCGCATCCATCCTCACCTTCGGTCGGTGTAATTTTGTCTTGCCTTCAAAGCAGGATAGATAAGTCATTCGAGTGAGACAGAGCTGCGAAATTTAGCCTTATTAAAAACTAATTCATGTTCAAGTTCCCAATGTTGGGCTTACCTTCTGTAAAGGTTGTGAACGTCCTTCCTGCAAAGGTGTTACTATAACAATACTTGTTTTGTAATAAAGTGAGCATATGCACATAATACTTTTGTTATTAGGCAAAAGATCTTTACATGGACAATAATTATGTGCATGTAAACGGAGCAAGGTTTCAGTGACAGTAAGGGCACATAGAAGGAAGGAAAACAGGGGGCGGGCCTGCTTTCTTCAAATAAACTGTTTGTTTTCGAGTAAAAATGCGAGCCAACAGATAACGCAATTATTAAGGCAACATCTGGCCCCGCGATTTTTCATTTTTGTTTGATTCATACTTTGCACTTCAGCCTAGCTTTCACCATGTGAGAAAGATTCCAGCAGTTTGGACACGCAGGAGCCGACATACGAAGATTGATTTGCTTAAGGCGTAAATATCTACCTGATACCCGCTAAGACTAGTTTTATTGCAAAAACAAATACATTTTTCTTCAGTTTAATGCTACATAGCAAAGCTAGTTTTCCTTTGATCTATTAAAAACCCCAAGTGAAGAATAACTCATACTTTAACCTATTTTGATAAAATATAATGGTTTGGCTGATCTTCTTACTACAGGCAGCATTGTCCCAAAGTGTGCAAAAATGGACAAGACCACCACAGACAAACCTCTCTTCACTGAATTATTTCGGCTGGCTAGAACGGCCGATTGTTTACCCCCTCAAAAACTGCCGCATGAAGTCGAAGGCCTGGTAAACGAGTACTGCTGGAAGGAGGTTGCGCGATATGTGCTCTACGAAGAGATATTTGATGATTTCCTCAATGAATTCACGCCACCACAGATACCAGTCATCAACTACAAGTGTTTTACCCACTTGCAGAAGAGTATAAGAAGAAGTGAGTTATTATTTAGTTTGCTTTAACTGCTGTGGTAAGTGCCAGAATTATATTAATTGAACAGGCTAAGGTGGACGCAGAAAGACCGCCTCACTAGAATAAGCGTTCCTTCTGATTCGATGTTTTCCTCCCTGTTATCAAGGAGAACAATAGTTATAGTTTAGGGTATATCATTTAATTTGAACCAGAAACTTAAAGGAATTATTGCTAACTTAAAATAAACTCAAAGGTATAAAAAGCGGCCATTCTGTTCTCGCCTACAAAGGTCAAGAATCTTCTAGTCATTTGTGAAAACAGCCCAGTAGCCGTAGATAGCACGTCCCCCTTTTTTGTGGGAGCGAAAAAGATAGTATTCAGCGTAACTAGTAACATATGCCTAAATTGATGAAAATTTTCCAATCAATCAGAAACGAGCCTGAATGCACGAACTAAAACTAAAAAACAACCATGGATGGAATTCGGTTACGTAAAAGCGAAAAGGAAATGTGAGATATAGCATTTTTCTGGCCAGAGATAATAACTTTTCGGAAGGGTGAAGATGTTCTCAGCATCGAAAAATAGGCCAAATGGATTAACTCCACATATAAAACTTGATTTTCTTATAAAACTTGTAAATCCACATAAGTGGGTAAATAAGATAGCATAAATAGAATATGATTCACGATTTCCTTTTTATGCCTTTTACGCTCAGACATCACACAAGAAATCGTGTATCATGCAGTATGGCAGTCAGTTAACGGCCTAATGTTTGTTCATGTTTCAAAACGGTTTTAAGAGAATCTAAAGCAACTTCCCCGCATTGTATAGCTTGCGCTGCGTTTGACTGAATGAAATGAGATTTCGCCCTATTTTGCGATGAGTACACTACAGAAATCAACATTTTCATAAGACCACCTACTGAGGGGGCCATTCGGCAACTGAATAATAAGAACTGAATTATCGGATACCATCTTAATTATACCGATTTCGGCGTACAAAAGACACTTTTTCCCGTAAAATTATTGTGTGGATTCACCAACGTTGACATCTGCTGAGCTACAGGGTGCCTTGGAAATGTACTTGAATATTTTATGGCTTTCGGTGTTCTCAATTAATTGATCAAAATGAGAGGTTCTGCAATTGTGTTCAAAAAAACCTTTTAAATAGTTTGTGAATGCATGTATTTATCTATTGCATTTTGGGCGTTTTTATGAAGATGGCGGTTAAGGTAATAGTTGTGAATCGACTACGAATGCTAGTTGTAGCGGTAAAAGAAATCAAACACTCACAGTCAAGACCTGTTATGAATACGCTCATAATCCGTTGGGAAAAGTGTCCTTTGTTGTTAACACTATAGAAGGTACTTTAACCATTTATAAAGCAAAATCAGGAAAACTACTGGCGCTCTCGGTGGTCTTGTAAGCTTACCGGAAATCTACAAACTACGTTTCTGTCGCTGACGAGAGAAAATGTTTCTCATTACTTATAAACAGACCAAGTTAATTACCCGTGTTTCAGTTAGGGCCGCATTCCACGATTATAAATAAAGCATGGAGTGGTCATATACATAATAAAGTAATGCCGTTCATAATTAATTTGTGGAAGCTTTTCGCATACAGCGGGCTGCATCACGTGCTCAAACGTCATAATTTCCGTTAAAGGTTGGGTTCTTGTACTTCCTTATGGATTGCCCTAATATCCCCGGAAGATAGGCATGCCTCGGAAATAAAAGCATTTGGAGTACAGTACGGCTTTTAAGAACACAAATTCACTTACGTTTATGAGTCTGTATTTTTAAATACGATTAAATTTCCGTTTTTCTGGAAACAACTTACATATTTACATTCTCCTTAAATTGCCTTACGGGGCTCTGAAAGTAATTTTCAAGACAACCAATGTTGTTTTGGTAATTTTTTCTTTTGATTCAAGGACACAAGGATATAAAAGTGTGATTTATGAAGACTGTTATCGAGTAGATTGTTTTATAATAAAGTTAAGTTAAGCCCCGACCATGTCAGTGTGCGCTCGACTCCACAAAATATTCAAATAAATCCGAACTTAAAACATATTTTTTAACAATATCTGTCGCAATGACCATTAACCATAAGTAAAATCAATTTAATGTAAACAAAATAAAAAAGCCAAAAATAGTATTTCTGAAAACCAAAATGACAAAAATAAAAATATATACAAAATTTTTAAATTTGGTTTGAGGCATTGCATTATACCTGTCAAGTTAAGCTGCTTATGAAATAAACCAACATAGGTACGAACATACAAGAGCTTTCTCGGTAATTCTCGAATAGAACCCAGGACTTAGTGCATCGGCCGATAAACTTATGGAATTTATAAGAAATATATTTTGTCTGCCTTGCAGGAGCTGCGGCATATTTTAAAAGTAGCCCTTTTCGAGTGTATAAGTGTGGTTGTCAATGAGATTAGCGTTTTCTTAAGTTCACCCTTTGAGAGACTGGTCAGAAACAAAGAAGTTAGAAAGTGCTTCGCTAATGCAGTGGTATGAATGCAAATTCTATTTTATTAGCGATAATGATCGCTCGAAAAGCGTCATCATAGTCTTTGATGATAATGGATAGTTTGTGTTTTTGGTGTCCTAATTGAATTTGATGCACAAGGTGGTTGCTTTAATTTGTGTTTATTAAAGCCCTTTAATTGAGAAATACTTAAAGTCTCTTATATGTACGTCAATCCTAAGAAAGCCGGTTTGATGTAGCTTTATATATGACTCCTAGAAGTTAAAAATAAGCACCAAAGTACATTTGAGCACTTGACAAAAGCTTTCTGATAAACGTGATACAAACTGCCGTATTCCTGAGAATTTTTCGAGTTGCCCCCTGTGCCACTGAAAGTGTTTCAAAAATTCAACGAGAAAACGTTTCGTCTTTTCACGTTTATTCTTTTTTGATTTCGATTATGGGTCTACAGCAGACACATACTCCTGTCCATTTTTATCCCGGAGCCGGTTTCTCCCTGTTTGCTAAATGCAATAAATAAATACAGATGCAATGAAGCGCGGGCATGAGAATTTTAAAATATATGTTATACTACTACCGGCGTGTCCGTGCCTGCTTTAAATAGCGGAGTTCCTCAATCCAGTCTGCACAATGGACTTCTTGTCGCCTGTTCAACAATTCGGACAAGGAGTTTAGCAGAGTAAATTTCTAAGGTTTATTTGATAGGATTTATAGGTGCTAGTGATGGAATTGGTAAAAACCATTCGCCTATCGACATTGTTTTTCCCCTTTGATTTCAAAATTAAGCTCAATAAATCAAAACAATCTCCCCTTTCTGAAAATACCATCACTATTTATAATTTGCCTTACCTGATTAACTCAAAATAAACAGTGAAGTTTAGTGGGACCGAATTGCTGCAGTAAATCTTTTTTTATTTAAATCCATACACATTACTCAAAAGGCGCAATGATAAGCATACATAAAACAGGACATCTTTTAGCACAGAATGGTACCTTAATTAAAAGATGGGTCGATTTTCGAATAAAATAAGTCCATTTTAATAATGGAGTAATTTGGAAACATAATGAGTACGAAGATTTGCCTTGCAAGGCCTTAGTCTAACAAATAAAATGTACAGTACTTCAGATATGTTACAATTACCATTTGGACTTCGACCATCGTAATTCGTAAGTCCAATCCCCTTCTGTATTGCTATAAATGACCAAGAACGACACTAAATGTTTTAACCGATGTAAAACAAGCTGTTTAAATGACCTGATTTTCGTTTTGGTAAACAAGTGAAGGAGTACTCCCGGCTCTAAGTGATTCAGATTTACACCGCAAAATCAGAGAAAAAACGCCTCATTTACTATTACAAACCGCAAACAAAGCGAATATAATACAATTCTAGAGCAACTCAATTTTAACAGGACATGTTTCATCTGTAACAGCATACTTGTCATTAGGGCATTTTTTACCGTCTTTTTGTATCTAATTCTCTAAAATGTCTTTTTGGACCTCCAATATATATATTTATGAAGGGTTTTCACTGGGGAAATACGCCGGTCTGGCGTGAGGGTCATCAAACGTTTTAAAATCCAAAACCATAAAAATACGTTTTTCGAATGTTTTGGTTGAAGTGGATACTATGTACAGTAGGTGTGCGAACTCATGAAATGTCAACCAAAATTCCAAAATGCGTTTTCGTTTCAAAAAGCTTAATAAAGTAGTGTTGTAAAACTAATCATCATGCAGCATAGTTCTGTAGTAATTCAGCTGCTCAAGTATGCCGACTTTCGAAAGAACTTCTTTCTAACTGCATGCAAAAACTATACTCTGTAAAATTGACTACTTATCTGGCATGCATTGTTCTCAATGGTTTCCGACGCCCTTAAAACTTTAATTTTATTTCATGCATAAATATATTCATTCTTTAGCTCATTCGGTAGAAAATCACGTTTTTTCCTATCTTATGCTCGATAAAGGGTATATTCCGGTTTTAAAAACGTTTTTAAATGTGAGATTTTTTATACCGTGAAATGCCTCTTCATACATCGTCATGTCTCTGCATTTTCGAATGCGGCTTGTGAAGTTAACCATATGGCTCAAAGCGCTGCTAAATTTTGCGAAACACATTCGGTCGCCTTTTAATATCGTAGAGGAATGTATGGTTTTCCGTTCGCGGAAAATTTATGGCTTGTAGGTTTAAAACCCTGAATGCATGTGTACCGGCAGGCCGGGTTCAAAATTTTTCGAGAATCGAAAAAGTTTTTCAAGATCAAATTATACTCTTCTTTCGAGTACAAAACTGAAAGAAAACGTAATTGGCTACCAAATGAGCTAAAGAATGCATATTTTTATGAATGTTTTTCATGAAATGTAGTTGAACGTCTAAGAGATTCAAAAACCAGTGGGAAAAATGCATGCCACTTAATAGTCATTTTTTGCTGAGAATAGTTTTTGTATGCAGCCGAAAAAGAGTTCGTTCGAAAGCCAACATCCTGCAGTTACTGAATTATTATAAATTAGGCTGCTGGATCATTGACTTTACAACCCTACCTAGTTAATCCCTTCAAAACAAAAACGCATTTCGGAACCTCGGTCGATATTTCATCAGTTAGCCCACCTACTTCATATGAAAGCATATGGCGATAGATGTCCATCCGAAGGTGTTTACCAGAATAGGCCTGATTAGGTGGCTTTTCCGCCTACGTAGATGGCTAGATCAGACACGTGATTTTGCATATTTTCCTTATAATCCTGTTCTTTTATTGCCATACATTGAGGGGACACCTAGATGTTCAATCTCAGGGTGTTGGCATTAGAGATTTCAGTGATATTTATCTGTACGCTAGTCAAATGCGGATTATAACCGATAAACCTTTGGGGATACATTTACATTTATGTTTTCCATTGTTAAAGATCGTTTAAAGAATCACCATTGTGGTACTAGAAATGACGCAGTAGCAAAGCATTTTCCGGCCGCGCTGGTGATGAATGTGATCATTGCGAGCACCAACGACCACTGAAAGACCTTTTTCTTTATCATAGGTTTTAGCATATTGACGTGCGAGCAAAAAACGGTATCCGGAGTCTTGAATTTTATCGCAGAACAAGTTTACCTGAACGCCATGAAACCGTCCAAGGAAGCGAAAGGAGAATTTGCGGAAATATTGATGGCTAACCGATGGCATCCAGAGGCTTCTCGCTCACGCTATTCACGCAAACAAAGCATGGGGAACATGTGTAAGTTACAGCTGATAAATCTTTTGAATGCATACTAGAAGTAACTCGACCCTCAAAAACAGATTTTATACTTTTTGCCAACTGCGGAAGAAACCATGTTATTTGGTTATTGCTCGCCACCGCAAGTGTTTTATATATCAGTTTACAAGCTCGCAGGCCAGTGCTGTTCGACAGTTTCAAGATAAGTGGGTTTTTCATATGGTATGAAGGCCACTTCACTGAGCGCCTATTGTCTTCTAACATTTTAATCAGGCGTTAAAATAGTAGTTACATTTTAACTGGCCGAAAGCAAATGTAACTTTTTTTAAATGCTAAAATGCGTTGTAAGCAACCAGACGTTTGTTTGACAATCAAGTCTATTCTGACTGACTGGCGTTTAGCGTAGTTAGACAACTAGCCAGTAGATACCAGAAAGTCACTGCCTACAGTTTTAATTCCTTAATATGCTAAATCAGACTGCGGTATTGAAGGATTGATAGTCTTTGTTTAATGAATGTAATTCGGACTTTATGCGATCTTTCGATGTTGGGAATGGACTAGAGGCCCGCACCGCTTATCGCACTCCTCACTTCATATTGGCAGTTATTTTATTCATATCTTAACGGTTCGTTTCAAAAACAAATAGTAGAATTTACTTATTTAGCCTTTGCAGAACTACTGACATGACATGAATGACCAAGTGTATTCTTGCATGTGTAGTTAACGCCTCTATATCATGTATAAAACGGCATGCGCTGATTTCCATTTTACGGCCGTGACGGTCAAAATCAATATTTTTGTTTTGAATGTCCTATAATAAAAGATGGCGAAGAGACGGTATGGCATTTTTTCACAAGTATGAAATACACCTTCCCGTCAGATTTCTTATCACAGACGCAATTTAATTTAATTTTAGTAACAAAATAAAAAATAGCCGGGTAATTTGGATATATGCTTACTAGAATTTGTATATTATATATTTTATACAACACTTTAGGAACGTAAATTCATTTCAACCTAAGATTATCTTGTCTTGCTCGGACATATAGCTACCATCGTTTTTGACTGAATTCATGTCAAACAAAATGTTCCTTTACATTTAAAATACTTCCTTGCCTGAACAAGGTAGACGTCTAGGCTGCATTCATTATGTGACGGAGCTCTATTAAACTACATACGTTGAATGAAAACCCTGACCTGGAACAGCTAAACCACGCATAGTTGATTCACTTAGGGGGTTTTTCGTAAATGTTTCGGCAGATTTTCGATGCATAGGAATACAGAGTTGTCTGGCTCGAGGGAACTTTATTGACGCTGAAGAGTGACCACAAATGCGTCAGCGAATAAAGAGTTTTCTTTATTAGGCTCCTCAAGCTGACAGTAGACAGTCTGGAAAACATCGCGAAAGGTGGCGCAGTTACTTAAATCTCTCGTGGGGAGAAACATGCACGTCGATTGCTTGCGTCTGGCCAAAATATGTTTTTACCTAGACTTCTCCAGGGGTTTACTTGCAAACGTCCTCTATTTAGACAGTTCTCGGCGGTTCAGATTTATTTGCATTTCACGGTATAAAAAATCTCACACTTCAAAATGTTTTTAAAACCGAAATATACCCTTTTTCGAGCATAAGATAGGAAAAACGTGATTTTCTACCGAAGGAGCTAAAGAATGAATATATTTGCCGTAACGGCTCCAAAAATGAAGCAAAGTGTGAAGCGTCTAACCGTGATGGCTGGCTGCCCAGAGAGAAGTGTGTGGGTTGTGTTGAAGAATCCGTAGTTGGTGATATACCTGTAAAGATGGAAAAATTGGACAACCTCATTTCTAGAGAAGGAGATATGCAGTCGATTATCACAAAAATTGAACTGATGGACGGAAGAAGGGAGAATCCTAATTAAGGATTTTGTAAGGTAAAGAATTGAGCGAGATTTCTAGGCAGGAAACGTCAGTCTGAAGACTGACGATGTACATGCATGAAGTCAATTCTACTTAATCTAACTTTGAGCAAAAAGCCTTTTGTGACCCTCTTGCAAAACGTTCTAAATCTGCCGGTTTTGAGGAGATTACAGTGATTACCAGCAGGGCAAAATCAGTTGCAATTTCCGAAATCACTACGAATTCTTCAAGTGAGTGTTGCCAGTGTGCATACTTTGAAATTTCTGCGCCATCTATGTTGGCAAACGGATGTCAGAATTCGGTGCATATTATGCGATACGGACTACTGCATCATAAATTGCGTTTCTGTATCTTCTTGTAGATGGTAAAAACTTGGTCCCAAATAATGCATTCATGGTTATTGCCCTCTGGACGCCGGCTTCGCACATCAGTCTACAGCGACAGGCCGGCAACCGATCAAGTGACTTAAGGATCCTCTGCCAAAATGGGAAACATACAACATTGCCCATGGGTTTCGGTAATCTCTTGTCGAGCAAATTATGTCGAGAAGAGTGGCACTAGACTACGACCACCATAAGAAATTTGAAGCGATGGGCCATTTGTTTCTAGTAGTTGAACTGGAAACGTGCGGAGCACCGCGGAGGACGAAGTTGGTAACAGATGAGAGGAACCGCGGATAAGCAAACTTTGCAGGATTAGGGCATTCACTGCTGGCTTTTGGGCCCGAGTTGTGGCTCATTAGATCCCACTGAAGCACCGTTTCTCGATCTGTTCCTCAGCAACACCTATTCCCGGCTAGTGTACTAATCCAGCCTTGTGCGTGTCATCTCTACTGTGAATATGTAGCTTCGTTAAAACAGACCCACTGGACGACACCAATTACATCTCAGTTTTACGATGGAGCGGAATCATTGCATACTTATCGCTTTCCCATTCGCAGATGTCGGCTGAAAAGATGGAGAAGGAAGAAGACAGGTGTAGACCCGTTGCCACCTATCGGACATCCTTGAGTCTAGCGGGTGTTCGCATTTGCGCGCTGTTGAAAAACCGAAGACTGGATTAGATTCCCTTAAACTGCAGTCAGATCAGGCAGCTTCCTTTCCAGTTTGAATATAAAGTCTAATAACCACAAGACATAGCGTGCAAATTGAGGTTGTAGTAGCCGGCCTTAGTTACCAATGTCGCTTAGATACTTGTCTCGTGCAATATTTTATTGCGATAGCAAGATGGTAGTGAGACATCCCGTTTTGCCTTGGAGTTGCTGTTTACGTATCACGTAGGTGGTCGCAGATCACCCAGCAACTAACAGTCAGGGAATTTTCAAGAGGGAAAGCCAAAGGCACCGGAAGAGCCATTTTTGATACCCAAGCCTCAAGCATCCCACCCGATGGCTGAATTGGGGGAGGGGGTTTGACATCAAGAGGCGCATCCATCATCACACTATGGTATCAGGTTCTGTCGACATGGGGGGTCGGAAAAACTCAGTCTCGCGTGCACAGCTTGTGGCCTGGGTACTACTGACAAATGACTGAAAATAAACCAGAAATATGCATCTGTCTTTTTCGGTTAATATCTTGGTAAGATGTGGTTATGTAGCCCAGCCTGATGGACTAAATGCTGTTCGGGTTTGGGTTAGGGGTTAGGGCAAATATTTCTCAACCACTCAAAGTGCAACCGCGCATTCCCAATGACTTTTCTTTTGCATGCAATTACTTTACCTCGTCGCCTCTGTGTTCCCCGGTCCCACCTGCAAAAACTCCTATTACCACCGGTCCCGTATTACAGATGACTGGGATTTGTTTACTTCAGGTGATGCTACATAACCACATCTAACCAATATCCTCTTGGATAACGATAACCTTATGCAGATGTGAAATGCCTTGACTCGTTATAGAGCAGCTGCTGGGAAAGATGGTGTAGTAATTTGCATGACTTGACCCTTTTTCAGCCTATGTAATTTCTCAGCATATAGACGTGGACGTAGTTTAGGAAATATTGGCGGAAATCTCGAACCCGACCGCCGTTGCACCTACGCTTATGGTTTCTCAATCACAAGCTGTAAATATCGACGGAAGGAAAGCGAAAACTCCTCTATAGAACTTGCAGTGGATGCGGACTATGTCGTATACTTCATAAGAAGCATGAATAACCAGAAAAATATGAAGCAATTAAAATGGGCATTTGATTATCCTAGAAATCTCATAATCGGCACTTCTTTATTTGAGTAGAAATTTGGAGTAGACCAAATTCACTGTCAAATAAGCATAGGAAAGAATATTCTGATGCATTTTTCCCGAAAAATGTTTGGACTTTTGTGGCCGGTAGAAGTAATTGTCAACGATGCCTACTATTTAAGTCGCCATTTGTTAAAAAGGGCCAGTACTGAATGCGGCCGGAAGGAATCACATTCTATAGCCGACATCCTATGGTGACTGAAATGTCTTGGGAGTCGGCTGCCAATCACTCACCAGTTCGACGTCTCTAAGGTATCTTTTCTAACCGAAAACATATTCCACAACTTTGGCTAACGTTTGTTTAGATAAGTCACCTACTATAACTTTCGCCTCTTATGAATCCTCTTTACTCCTGATACCTTTTATTCCTCTTCGGAATTTTTGATCAATCAGGACTTAATCGTTTTTTCGCTCTGCGACTTTTGAAACGATTCTTTTGTGTAATGCAAGCAATTCAGGCTTTTAATGTTCTCTGCCGCTGTTCCTGTTGACCACTTCCTACTAGCCATTTGGTTTTTCTGGACCGGCAACTCAAAGGTTCTCTGAGTGGCCTGCAATGAGAATCAAATGAACTGCACCGGCGACTATCTTCCGATTATATTTGCACAATGGTATTAGTTCGTCAGTTTCATGTACTCCAATGCATCACATGCAAGCGCAAGCGGGAAAATGATCAGGTGCCCCTGGAACCATAAAGCAAACAAGAAACAGAACAAGAAGTGATAAAAAGTATGCACATGAAAACCTTGGTTGCATCATGTTCTGATTTCGGCACAATGTCCTCTCCGGTTAATAGGTCTAAACTGAGACGTCCTGAGTGGCTTTGGCGGCCGCTGGCAGAGATTCTGACTGGTTCTTCGTAAGCGAATATTAACCGGATTCTACACGAAAGGGAAAATCTCCGGCCACTTTCCAGATACGAAAACTCCAGCATTTGAAGAATTTGAAAGACTGGGAAACGGGAAATAAGCTAAATGATGCCTTAAATCTTGCTCTAATACTGTTTTTCTTTGGGGTCCATTAAAACTTATATAAGGCAATTGTATTGTATCACTGGGTACACTGCGTGTTGAATTTTAGTCTCATAACATTTGTCGCTGTCATTTCTGTCAATATATCTTAATTGACTGTTACAACGTAGTTAAACATCACTTAAATTAACGTCTTTTTCGGTTGATAAGCAAAATAACTTTGAGTTTTTGAGTATTTCGTGTTAAACAGCGTTAAACACAATTTTATTTTCCTTACAGACACCCTTGGGGAACCAACTAGTGTAAGCACTCTTTTGGCTTATTTTGGTATGCGTTAGGAAGTTTTGCCTATCTTTGTTGTTTTCGTTGTGCACATGGGAGGTGCATGATACAACAGCGCTTTCTAATATCACGTTTTCCAACTAACAAAGATGCGAGCAGTTTACAGCGTCCTTTGTAGGTCCGGTTTTAGAGTATTTGTGCTGATTGGAAGAAAAGATAAATTTAGGCAGCACTTCATTTCGGCTCCGCCGGCAATGAAATGTGTGGCGACTGGAGAACGCAAGCACAGGTGAATTTTGTAAAGCGCGCTTGCCGACAAACATTCCTGTATTTTAGTTGTTGGACATATGCACTGTTTAAACGACCAACAAATTGTTCCTCCGTTTGAAATGACATAATCTAGACAAACTATACTTCTCCCACGTTCAGCTGAGCAGTCTAAAAATGTAGGCCGGGATAAATACCGAGAGGCAGTTAATGGGAACACTCTTCAGCCAGTGGTAATTAACCTGTTTTACACCAGCTGGGTGTTTTACGCAACTTATTATGGACTTAAATGACATGATATCATTTCAAAAATGGGTAAAGCGGTCGAGAATCACGTGTGAAAAGCGGTTTATAAATGTTGAATAAGATCTTACAGAGGAATTGAAGGCTAGATCGCAGTTGGTAGCCAGGCCCCGTATTACAGGTGGCTGGGGGGTTTGTTTACTTGGGCTATTTTGTGGGGCTCCATAATCACATCTGACCCATTTGCTTTCCGTTTTACGTTTGAGGTTAGGATTAGGGTACCGGTTAATTATTACTGATTTTCGGGTTAGGGTTATGCTTTTAGGCTTAGGTTTACGGGTTACGATTGGGGTTTGTATGTACGATTAGGTTTCATTATTAGGGTTAGGTTTTTCAGTTACGGCTGTGCCTATGAGCTATGGTTACGTTTATGATTTCGGTTAGGGTTGCCGTTAAGGTTAACGTTTAAGGTTGAGGTTAGGGTTAGAGTTAGGATTAGGGTTAAGGTCGCCGTCCGCTTCCCCATTCCTGGCTACCAACTGCGATCTAGCCGAATTGAAAACTCAAAACGATGAAAGGAGGCATTAATGGTTACAATGTACAGGGAAATAACCATATTTGTGGCCGCATCTAAAAACGGATATGCAGTAAGCACATTTGCAATACTTTCAAACTTTCGCTTGCTAGTGTTGAGTATTTCGTGACCATCGTTCTCCGAAAACGGATTCATCCTTCTTATGGCTTTCAGATATGTTGCTCTAAACATGTGCCACGGTTCGGCTCGTTCATGTGCTAACTGGTGCTCGTCTTCCGGTAGCTGGACGTTTGTTCGTTAACAAAACAGTTCCATTCCAATGGTAGGGGGCGCTCACCGATCGTTCTTACGGATCTCATTCGTTCCGTTGTGTCTTAAAGGCTCTCTCTTGATCCCAACCAGCATTAACACAGCGGCGCATGATGTAGACAGTATGTTATTACCGACAAAGACAAGGGAGACTGGAATGGCCATTTCTGGCTTATTAGCTGTCGTCGGCCAGTCATACCCAACCCCGACGGCTAATTAGCCAGAAATTGCCATTCCAGTCTCCCTTGTCTTTGTCGTTAATGCCATTCTGCCTAGTTCCATTCCAGACAGGTGGAGCTATAAGTAGGGACAATATTTTAGCCTCCGTAAATGATTACCGCAGTAAATTTAGTACTCATCAAATAATAATACCAAATTTGCAAATATTGTAAGTGGACGTGTGCACAGAAGGTGTTGATATGGTGGTGCTCTACTCTCCTATTCGTTTGATTGCTTTACTCTGTCACAGTTCGCTCTGTTAGGGGAATTATCCTCGGACACCTGGTTATCCTCTTTCAAGTGACTGACTTTCATGCACATAACGCGGGCATTACGAAGGAAAGAGGGGAACTAAGTAGTAAAAACTGCATACTGTTTGCAACGGGTTCCCATAGGCCACCATATGTTCTGCGTGGCCGATAGTCGAGGGAAGCAAGTTAGCTTGCACTTACCTTGCATTCTGCCATGAATTGGAGTTTTGCTTTTAAGAAGTAGATAAATTTCTCCCATCTTTACCATAAGCCCGCAAAAATGGTCTGTGCCTGCCCATTTTCCACATCTGATAGGCTGCGTAATTCTCAGTTGGCCTTTGTTGAAGGCTCATTCCAGTATTCGCCCTGAATTTAGGCCTGGTTTGTGGCATCATTTCCATTTTTATGTCATTTAGGCATTCCCACTTCTATTTCGTTTACTGTATCGATCAGCGTTCATTTCAAAAGCACAGCAAATTATAATATAGGCCTTTTTACTCAACGTGGGCACTGAGGTTTGACTACTCTTCTCTTCAGCTTCACATGAAGCGCACAAATATGCATCTGAATGCCTGTCTCCCAGAAGGCACCGAATCTTGTTGCGTACTCACGGGGTATGTCCAAGAATTGCGGCACCACGTTTACGTGTTGACGAGACTGAAGACTGCCATCGATGGTCTTGGGATGGTGGAAGTTAATAATCCACTGCGTTTCATCGTGCTCTTCCTGACAAGTGACCGTTCGCAGGTAGAAGCCACTAACGAACTCGGACGTTGCTTCGCTGTGCTCATGGAGGACCCGGTGAGTAGTGATCGTGTGCGTCTGCTATGCCATGATTCAGAATACAGTGAATGACCGATCTCGTGAAATGTTGACTGAAATTCTGAAATGCGTTTTCGATTTGGAAGGGTTACTTGGTCGCGGTTATAGGACTGATTTTCTTGCTACATAATCTTATAACATTTCGAACTCGGCAGGATGTCAGCTTTTGAATACAATGCTTTTCAATCTCCTGTGGAAACCGTACTCTGTAAAAAATATGACTACATAAGCAGCATGCATTTTCCCATTGATTTTCGATGGTCTTGCAAATTCAAATATATCTTATAGAAACCATGGACGAAAATATGTTTTCTTTTAGTCAATCAATGGAGAATCACGTCTTCTTCATATTTTATGCTCAAAGAAGGAGTATTATTAGGTTTTAAAAAAGTTTTGTCATTCTCGAATAATTCGGAGCCTGATCAGGCGTTGCATTAGCGCTTAGTGGTTTCAGTCTACAAGGTGCATGCGTTCCGCGTAAATAAAATCACATATTTTTCTATGCCATTAAAAAGATATCATATAGAGTCTATAAAATTTTACAATGGATGCGCACTATGTTATACGCTTCATGAGGAGCTGTGGTAAACGGCCAGGTACGATGATATGTGAATGGACATTGCACGGTCTTAAAAAATCTCATCGAAAATCAATGGGAAAAATGTATGCTACTTAAGTAGTCATTTTGTACTTAGTACGGTTTCTACAGGAGAGTGAAAAGCAGTGTATTCAAAAGCTAACATCCTGCCGAGTCCGAAATTTTATAAGATTATGCCGTAAGCAAATCAGTATTACAACCGCGACCAAGTAATCCTTTCAAATCGAAACGCATTTCAGAATTTCAGTCAACATTTCATGAGATCGGTCACTCACTGTGCATTGGTCCTCGCAGCCTGGTTTGCGGTGGCAGTTCTCTGGCACCTGGTTCCCCCGGGTGGTGGACACCTATGTGCCCCCGCTGAGTATACAGGCCGTATGCATGTTTGCCCTGTGACTTGTATCATTCACCTCTTTCTGAGCCCGTTTTTTGGTTAAAATCCTGGTCATGCGTTTGTTGTGGATCAGCGGGTGTGGTTGTACGGCTAGGTGTGAGTCTGGCCGTGCTAGTCACCTGCCACCTCGCCCACCTTCGGTTTTCTTGACTACGTTTTGACATCGTGCCCAGACGGGGGAGGAGGAAAGAGCTCAAGTCACCGTGCTTTCTCTGAACTTGCTCTGGAGCCCATGATGGATATCGTCGGCTACGACGGTCGAACTGTTAAGTGTTGATCGTATTGATTTTCTTCTGAAATTTTTTAATACAGATGCTTAGTCAGAGTCGAATTCAAATGTTTCATTTTTCGTCTCATCTCAAAAGATCTAACATATTGGTCCTATGTTCCTGTGATATGTTAGAAGGGGACTCGAACGGTCACTTTATTCGATTCAAAAACCTTGAGTTAGTATGACAGTTCTGATGACCGGCTCATGTTTTTCTGTTATGCAAACCGAGTTTATTGATCAAGCTGTTGCGGCTAAGCGATGGGAGTGTGAACTCAGAACGCTGCACTTACTAGACCGAATCCCACCTTCCAAGGAAAAGACGGAAAACCCCAGAATCAAAGGTTTAATGCATACAAAACACGCGGTTGTCCTATCAAGAGACAGTGGCCACCGGCGAAGCCAGGGCTGGTGTTGACTGCGTCCAGTCATGCCTGGAAGTCCCCGAGAGAATAGTGACGACTTTTTTTGTAGGTTTGTGGGGCAGTCTGAAGGGGCGTCAGTTGTTGCGTTGCATTTGTCCTCGGTATTTATAAGGCCTCCAGTCGATGCGGGTAGATTTAATGTGTACACCAATAGGTAAGAGTAGGATAACACGGATAATTAGCCTCTAGGGTGGTCGAGGCCGCCAGCGGCCATATATGGCAGTCTTGCAACGTTCAATAGGACCAAAGTTGAGAGGTGGCTAGCGCGGCGCCGTGGTGCAGGGTCCAGCATGACTAAGTAGAAATCAGACAAACTGTATCTACATTGTCAATAGAAGAGAAGAGACAAGCCCTAGGTAGCAGTCGTGTCTACACCCCTACACACGGACAGCTGCGACCTTATGGATGCGCTCGCGTCTGAATTGAAGTCGGTCGAGTCGCTGCTGGTCGGCGAGTATGGAACCCCTCGCTGCAAGGGGCGAATGACCTTGAGGCCGCGAGACCTTGAAAAATGACGCCAGACTGGCCATGATGGTTGCCCCCAACAAGGTAATGCTGTAACGCGCTGAGGCCCAATCTAGAGCACTCGCAGGTACTCACACTGCGACCAGTAATAAGACAGGAAGGAGGGCCGACAAAGACTGGATATGCCATTTTTGGCTCCATTTTGGGTCAGTATAAATTATTCCAAACCTGCCAAAACATCTATGAAATACGTTGAGCGTGGTAGTCATCTGGTGGATTCCAGGTAAATTACTTAGGAAATCCTGCCTGGGCAGTCAGCTTAGTGTATCAGACTTGGTGGATTCCAGACGTTGCAGTAGGTTGGGCGGGTAACCTGACCCACATGTGATTAAACTCGCGTTGTCCGACGGGGCCTCGTTGCTCAAGTGGTTAGAGCGTTGGCTGCACTAAAGCCTTTTCCTTACTGCGTGGGTTCGAATCCCACCGAGGCGTCGAGTTTTTCACAGTTGGGTCAATATGAATTATTCAAAAATCTGTCAAAACATCTATGAATTATTGGTCGTTGTCAGTCAGCCATACCCAACCCCAGGTTCGCAGGACTTAAAATTTTGAACGGCTGATGTTTGGCTGCTGAACGTTAACTAGTCTAAGGCTCTGCCGTTGGGTCACGTACCTATTGTCCTGTCGTTTTTAACCGGAATTATTCACTATCTTAGTATGTCCGTTCACCGAGCACATGCACGCCCAAGGTCATCCAGGCCCGGAGTTGGCTATGGATGTCTGATGACATCTCATAAGCCAAAAGAAGCTGTGTGAAGACGCTCTTCAAACGCGTCCAAACTCACTGCAGCAAACCGGAGGACAGAACACGTGAGGTCCGTTATCTCCGCGACCAGTTTGTGCAGAATGGCTATCCGAAGGTATTCATAAGTCGCTGCCTACGCAGTCGCCACCAGAGAACTCGAACATCAACGCCATCGACGATATGGCATTCTCTGACATGCATCAAGGGTGTTTCAGAAGCGACCCAGCGCACTGCTGCGGAAATAGGTGTTGGAATTACACACCGCCCCAAAGCCAGCATGCGCAATAGGGTCATGAAAAGAAAAGACCGGTTAAAGCCTGGAAAGCAATCTGGAGTAGTGTATCGCATACCGCGTCAAAATTGTCCTTATAACTACAGACTGGGCAGACTGTGCGCATGCTCGGATCGTGTATACACGAACGTAAGCTGGCTGTGCGACGAGGCGACACATTATCACAAGTGGCCGCTCACACATAGGAAATGGGTCACGAGTTTAACTTCTCAGCCACTAAAATATTCGTCCACGCCTGAAAAAAAACAGGCCGAGAATTGATTGAAGCCTGGGCCTCGGATGAGAACTCGGTCAGTCGATTTATCTATCTGGATCCGGCGTACAGAACCCTGCGTAGCCACCTCCAGTCTTGCGCCGTCGGCCAATGATTAAACTACATGCCTTATAACTGTCGCTTGTTCTGTTGCTACTACTATCTCTGACGATGGACTCCCGTACGAGTCTGAATGCTCAGGACAATAAAAAAAGTGTTCCACTGCCCGACTATTCTTCTTCACTTCCCTCTCAATCCCTCGTAGTCTCCCTTGTCTTTGTTAGTAATCCATTATGCATCAAATCGCTCTATTCACCTTCACCACCCACAACCGCTTGAATTAGAAGTTTTGCTGTGCAATGACATGATATATTTTCAGTTTGTACCACTCTGCCATTGTGCAGGGTATGAAGAATTTGTGGTAGTCCAGAGTTATGATTCGAAAGGGTGTGCAACTTCGGTGGAAGCTGGTTTTTTTCATGTAAAACACATCGAGAACTCGGCGATCGAGCATGATTTTCGGTTTAAAACTCAAATAGTGCACCATAGATACCTAAATCTCAGATTGTGTTGGGTTCACCTTCGTGTACCTGGTTACAACAGGTTAACGTTCGACTGCGAATTTAATGTTCGAATCGATGACTTGCATTCATCCTGTGGCGCAATCCTCTTAGACTTTACGCCTGCTGCGTTAGACTACGATGCAAATACCTTTACAATTTCGGCGGAAGTAAGTATGCGAAGCTGGAGTAAAGTCAATGGAACAGAATGTGGTGGAAGCAAACTGCACGAACATTGCTGGGACCAACTGAATGGCCTGATCCGCACAGCTGCCGCGTGTAGCTTGAGTAGCAAAAGATGGATAAAACATGTGCCTTTGTCTTTGGTCGATGTCTAGTTTGAAATTATGACTGAGCAAACGTAAGTGTAAGGCACTCACTGCTGCTTACTAAACTATCTACAGTTCACTTTAAGCTTACCCCCCCCCCAATCCTGATGTTTAGGCGTTCCGCATGACAGCATATGCGGCCCCCGATGCCAATGTTATCATTCAGGCGATGGAAACCTACCTACAAACGACTGTGGTGCTACCGAGGTCTGCAATTAAGTCAGCAATCGTTGGAGAAACTGGGTTGGCTCTTCCACAACCGGATCCAGTTCAGTTCGAGCGAGAAGATCTGGGCAAGTCCGAACTGCTCAAAAATGTTTGCATTTGTCCCTTTTGAATTAATATTCTATGTTATCCGACGGCAGCCATAGTTGTGTTGAATAGTGTGCCTAGACAAACATTTACTTTAAAAGACGCAAGTGTCCATTTTTTCACAAAACTATTCAACTTTATGCACTGGGGTTGAACGAATGATTATACTTTGAGTTAACCTGATTTCAATGATCCGAGTTTGCTATCGTGAGAACTTACGGGAATAAATAACTGCGCCCAGCAATCGACTCTCGAGCTTTACCGTATTTCCAGACACTATAAGTAATATCTAAGTTAGAGGGTATAGTTCCTATGACATATTTCACCAGCCAAGCATGTTTTACTCCAACTTTCTCACTTGGAAATCCACCTTGGCTCAATAGCAACCCGGGAAAACTCATAGAGAAAGAGAATATCGACAGAGACTAGGGATACTTGGAGAACAATTTCTGGCGTATCAGTCGTTATCAAGCAGTCTTACCCGAAATCAGGTTTGTGGGACCTTTGTGTCGAACTCGCGTTCTTTGGTCTCCGAGCGTTCCAACGCTCTACCACTGAGCCACAGTCCCATTGTCCTGTTAGTTGTGATCGGGGAAATAAAACGACGTTTGGGAGTTTTCGATGATGAAACTTTGTTCAGGCGGCCCACGTTTTCGAAAAAATTGTCGAAATCCCATGTTTGTCCTCGGCTCTGGACATCCGTTCCCCTAAGTCACCACTGTAGCCAAACTATCTGTGTTGGTTGCGTTCTCAGGTTATTTCGGTTTGGATGATACGTAGGGATTATAGATTGTGACTTAGTTCTAGACGCTTGGCGCATTCTGTGTTTCGACTTAAAAGCTTTAATTAAGGCTTAAATAAATGTCATGAAATAAATCCGTACGTGGCGATTTAATTTTGGAGCCCTGTAAAGCTGGCTGAAGTTATTTTCCCAGAGGATGATAGACAGACTTGCCGAGTCAAACGAAGACGTGGACGACACACAAAGGAACGACGCAATCATTTCCGCCATCTGAACGATAAAAACAGATAATTTTCTCCGATGTGTTTGTCTTCGTTCTTTTGGATTAGTTTTCCAACACTGGATTAAATTATCTACGAGCTGCTCCAAAATTGACTTACGGTGCATGACCGATCTCATGAAATGTTGGCCGAAACTCTGGAATGCGTTTTCGATTAGGGAGGATTACTTAGATTGGCAAAGTTGAGAGATCCGGGTTGATTATTTAAAGAAGATGGGCTCACCAGAACAGGTTTATTTAGATGCTGACGTTTCGAAGAGCTTGGTCGGCTCTCCATTGTCAAAGCGTAAAATGCACTTAGACGACCAGAAAACCCAAGTGGCGTGTCACGTTGGTCGGCCTCGTGCTGATCGATTTTTCTCTCACCTCGCTGCCACGGCCTCTCGGGGGGATGGTTGACGGGCCTTTTTTCTGCGTGCTTTGTGAGTCACCACTCCGTCGGGGGAGGTCCTTGAACCACTGTCAGGTGGTAGGTCAGGCGTATGGCCTTCTTAAGTCCGGTGTGGTTGTTATAACCTGCCAGAGTAGGCATAGCTCACCGACCCCAGGCAACAATTCGACGTCGTCTGATGCAACCTAAGGACCCGTTGCTACCAGTCGAAACCTCAGCAGTTAGCTACAAAATAAATTGCAATGAGGGCGATTGCAACTATGTGGGAGAAACGGGGCGACAATTGCAAACTCGCCTAGAATAGCACAAATCGGTTACACGGAGGTTAGACACAAACTCTCAATTAGCAACACATGTTGGAGAAAGTGGGCATACTTTCGATCTCCAGCGAGCTACCATCTTAGGCCGGCGCAACACAAGAGCAGAACGGCTAGCTCTCGAGGCGTGTTTATCCGATGCCCACTCCATCAACAGGCATCTGGAACTTCCTGCAGCTTACAGAGTCCTACATCATCACAATCATAGAGCTCAGGGCCAAACAACCACACCGGACTTAAGAAGGCCGTACGGAGATAGCCTGACGCTGAGTTTACTCGGTGAGGAAAAACAAGAACCGCCAGACCGACCACCCGACACTGGTCCAGTCACCTCCCCCCGGCGATGTGGTGACTCACAAAGCACACAGGCAAACCGCCCGTCCACCACCGCCCGCGAGGCCGAGGCAGCGAGGTGAGAGAAAAATCGATCAGCACGAGGCCGACCAACGTGACACGCCACTTGGGATTTTTGGTCGTCTAAGTGCATTTTACGCTTTGACAATGGAGAGCCGACCAAGCTCTTCGAAACGTCAGCATCTAAATAAACCTGTTCCGGTGAGCCTTTCTTCTTCTTCTTCTTCTTCTTCTTCTTCTTCTTCTTCTTCTTCTTCTTCTTCTTCTTCTTCTTCTTCTTCTTCTTCTTCTTCTTCTTCTTCTTCTTCTTCTTCTTCTTCTTCTTCTTCTTCTTCTTCTTCTTCTTCTTCTTCTTCTTCTTCTTCTTCCTCTTCTTCCTCTTCTTCCTCTTCTTCCTCTTCTTCCTCTTCTTCTTCTTCCTCTTCTACTTCCTCTTCTTCCTCTTCTTCTTCATCTCCTTCTTCTTCCTCTTCTTCTTCTTCTTCTTCTTCTTCTTCTTCTTCTTCTTCCAAGGATTACTTAGGTGGTGTTATAATGTTGATCAGTCTGCGTCATAATCCTATAGCATCTCGGACTTACCACGATGTCATCTTTTAGCTGTACTTCTTTTTGACATCCTTCAGAAACCCAACTCGGTAAAAAATGACTAATTAAGTAGCATGCATTTTTCACATTGATTTTCGGTGGTCTTATAAATTCAGATACATTTTATAGAAAACATGCACAAAAGTATGCTTTCTTTTACTCCTTTGGCAGAAAATCACGTTCTCTTCATATTTTATACCTGGAGGAAGCGTATATTTGGGTTCTAAAAAGTTTCTAATTATGGGATTTTTAAGACCGTGCGATGCCCATGCATACAGGACCGCACATGTCCATTTACCAAAGATCCTCATAAAATGTACAACACAGTTCGGGTCCATCGCAAAATTTTATGAACTCTACGTAGTATCCTCTTGAAAGCATAGGGGAATATATGATTTTCCTTACGCGGAAAGCATGCACCTTGTAGACTGAACTTGCTCAACGCTGATGCAATGGCAGATCAGACTGAAAATTATTCGGGAATTGGGAGGCTTTTTTTAAAACCTAAATATACATGTTCTTCGGGTATGTGATTTTCTACCAAAGGAGTAAAAGAAAGCATATTTTGTGCATGTTTTCTATAGAATGTACTTTAATTTATAAAACCACCGAAAATCAATAGGAAAAATGCGTACTATTTAAGTAGTCATTTTTGGCGTGTGTTCTTTCTACAGGATGTTAAAAAGAAGTACATTTGACGCTATGGGATTATGCTGCATGTTAATCAGTATTACAACTCCACTAAAGTAATCCTTCCAAATCGAAAACGCATTCCAGAATTTCGGCCAACATTTCATGATATCGGTCACGCACTGCATACTCAGATCATCATCAGATCTAAAGGTTCATTTACTTAGCAGCATCACGAAGATTGCTACATCTCACAATCGCGTTTGGCAGGACGTCGCAGTCGCTGTTAAATAGAAATATCTTTGGTAGGAGGCGCTCACCGATCGTTCTTACGGAACTTACTCATTCCGTTGTGCCTTACGGGATCTCTCTCGAGTCCAACCAGCAGCCGCACAGCGGCGCATGATATAATCAGTACGTTATCACCGACAAAGACAAGGCAGACTGGAATGGTCCTTTCTGGCCTATTAGCTGTCATCAGTCAGTCGTACCCAACTCGAGGCCCAGGATAGATTTTATTGCAAGAAGGTTAGAACTCTGTCGTCGGATTTTAACTCCCTTGCTTCTGCACACACACAACCTCTGTTGGCAATATCATAAAGGTAACCTGTTAGCTCTATTCGGTAGCTACGTGGAATCATAGAATGACGCCTGGACTATGTACAAGCAAGTATAACAACTCTCACATTAGAATTATAACAGCTGGCGGATGATAAAGGAGCAATTGATCAAAAAACCAAGATTTAATGACGCAGCAGGTTTCGAAGCTGCCTACGATCAGACCTGCCCATGTATGTCATTTTTATTTAGCTGAGATTGCCGTTGGAAACAACCAAATTTGTGCGCAATTACTAACGGCAATTTTCTTATTTTTCCCTTGTAGTTTTTGATGACTTTCAAGCTGACCTAGCCGGTCGTGAAGGACGCCATTCGGTCGTGTCCGGGTTTGCCCAGCAAATTGCTACCATACCCAGAATAAGCACAAAGAATTTGAAAAAGTTCTGTCCCCCATTCAAACAACTTTTGCTCGGTTGCAGGATGTGGATCCATCGGTATTGTAGTGATTTCAAGGACGCCTTCGCGAAGGATAACATCTCCACTGTCCTCAGTAGCATTCCATTTGTGTTTTTTGTCGTCTTCGGACCGACCATAACCATCGGAAATCTTTACCGTGAGTTTGGCATCTTTCGAATTATGTTTATTCTTTGGAATGGCCGAAACGTGATAATAATTTTACTTTCTGCGCGACTTCTAATGCATAAACATATAAATAGTTCGTGCACATAATCTCGATGCGTTATCAACTAAGATAAGGGAGATCGGAATGAAGATTTCTGGTTTATTTTGTCGTCAGCAATCAATCGTGCCCCAAAAGAAAGTCATGGGGAGACCTGGGATTTGAACCCTGGAGTGCTGACCATAGAGAATTTGAGTCAAACGGCCTGTCGGTTGAACCACTGAAAAACTCATCCAGGTTAAAATCCGGGATCCTCCGTGGCCCGCGCCCAGGACATGAAATACCTACTGGCTGCACTGGAAACTGGGTTTAATTAAGAGACCCAGAAGAAAAACAGTTTCACGAAAAATTTCATATACTGAGGATGGGAGGGGTCTCAGAAATATTTGTTTAATTTCCGACGTTTTGGAAGTATACAAGTATTTACGGTCGGTAGATGCGGTAACAACAAGCTCCACAGTTTATGGCTGCACTGACAGATGGCTAATAAAAGGTTATCCACACACGCCTGCAGGCCGGTGAAAGTCATAGACGCGATGGTTCTTCCTGATCTGGCATGCGTTTCGGTTACGACCGTCGGGAGGTGGGTTGGCAATTATACAGGCGACTGTCAAATTGTGTCCTGACAGTACGACCGTCGAGTGCTCCACAACAGGATGAGAGCAGGGTCAGCGACTTGCGCGTGAATTAGTTTATGCAGATAGTAGACTTGCGCATTACCTACCTCTATCTCCCCTCCTCTCCCACTTACGCCTGGTGTCTAGACATAGTCAAGAAGGTCGGAGTGGGAGGGGACGCAGGTGGCAGGCAAAGCCGCACATAGGCGTGCTGCCACACCGGACCCGGACCCCACGGAGTGGGAATGGTATAGAGACCACACTGACAGGGCGTCATTTCAGCCTGCTTTTCAGTCCAATAGTTCGACCGTCGATTTCGACGATGTCCACCGTATGTCCCACCGCAGCAGTGGTGGGAGCAGGGACGGTGACTTGCGCAGGGGTTTATAGTACGAGTAGACTTGCGCTGCATCTACCACACTCTCTCTGCCTTCCCCGCCTGAGCCCAGTATCAAGACAGAGTCAAGAAGACTGGAGACGAGGGAGGCCGCAGGTGGATGTCTCGGACGGATACTCGCCTTGGCGTTCCACCACACCCCTTGGTCCACACAACAAAAAACCAGGATTTTCATCAACATAACAGAGCTTGAGGCTGGAAACGGCTGAAGCAGCCGCACCTAGGCGTGCCGCCAACGCCTGGCTCGGATCCCACACAGTGGGAGTGCCATAAAGGCCACATTAAAAAGGAGCCATTGCGGCCTGACTCTCAGACCACAACCAATCGAGGAGGTCTAAGTTATCCCGTCAGTTGGCAACCTTCCAGGCTCACCGTGATAGCTTCAAGCGCGTCAGATTGTTTGTAGTGAGACGAAAATGCGCTGAGTCGTCGACCTCACCCTCCCTTCCCATTTCACACCCCGGCCGCTGTCCGAGCCGGTCAGCAGACTGGAGTGGGGAATGGGCGCGGTGGCTGGCATGGTTGTCTGACCATGACTGCGCACGCCACGAGCACGACCTGGCCCCCCAGATGCACATACACCAGGATTTCGAACAACGGGGGTTGAACGGGGTGTCTCTCACTTGCGTGGGAGGGCCGTGGAAGGGGCTGCTTCGGCCCGTCTCCCAGCTACTCCACACACACACACCACGGGACGGACTGCGTGGACCGAGTGGGGACGTCAATTGGCAGCCTTCCTATCCACGGCGCTTGACGTGTCGGGATAGTCTCAGACTCGAGTCGCCCGTACAGCCGAAGCTGCATGGGGACCGAGTCGAGGTGGCAGTTGGGTGCTTACGATGGATAAGTGCTGATGTGTGGTGGGGTGGTGTTAGTGGTGGTCCACCATTTCACACAAGCACATACTGTGCTGCCTGTGAGATCCGAGTTACCCCTTCAGTTGGCAACCTTCCGAGCCGCGGCTTTTTGCACACCGTGATAGCTTCATGTTCGTCAGATTATTTATTAGTGGGGAAGATGCGCTGAGTCGTCGACCTCGCTCGTCCTTTCCATTCCCTACGCGTCAGCCACTGTCCGAGGTGGTCAAACGCCTGGTACGGTAAATGGGCGCAGTGGCTGACAGAGCCAGAGAGCTCGTCCGCGCGCCGCGTTCTCAACAAGGCCCTCCAAACGCACACACCAAACGAAAGGGGGTCGGGTTGCACAACATACTCACTGTCCACATTTGTGCTGAGGCGAAGTGATGAGCCACCGCCCTACTTGCTACCACCATCCGCATCTGTGGAATGTTTTATCTGACCGCCCAGATGAATGGCAAGGTGGATAAAACGGAAGGAAGGCCATGCAACGATTAGTGGGTGTTCTGTAGGTATGCCAGGCCTCCAATGATCGCCTTGGCGGTTGATTCCATCCGCCAGAGAAGTCAACCCTTTCATAAGCGGACCCCAGACTGTGCGCTACTTGACATTGGGATAAGTCATAGATATTTTGGCAGATTTTGAATGATTCATATTGACGTAACCGTGAAAAAAGCGGCGCCTCGGTGGGATTCGAACGCACGCAGTAAGGGGTAGGCTCCTAGATGAATTACTTAGGAAGTCCTGCTTGGGCAGTCAAGTTACTGTATCAGATTTGGTGGATTTCAGACATTGCAGTAGGTTGGGCGGGTAACTTGACCCACATTTGATTAAGCTCGAGTCGTCCGGCGGGGCCTCGTAGCTCAAGTGGTTAGAGCGTTGGCTGTACTAAAGCCTTACTGCGTGGGTTCGAATCCCACCGAGGAGCCGAGTTTTTCACAGTTGGGTCAATATGAATGAATTGGGATAAGCGTCCCCAAATCTCATGATCGGTTTTCGGACTAAGTTTGTCAATCAGTGAGCGATGTAACTCCACCAGAGGGCACAGAACACGGGCGACGACCCGGATACGCTGTTCTGAACTAAGTTACTACGGTATGCAAAAATGTGAAAACACGGTGCATAACGTCAGTTATAAGCATGTCATTCTATTGACTGACAGAATTCCTCTGAACTGTCGCCGATGAAAGTAGAAGACCTTTCAGCCTAAAGTGTGCAGACGGGCAACACTTTCTTGGGGCATCCTAGAGGAGTTTGTAGTTTTTGAGGAGACGAGAATGAACTTTCTTCATAAAGAGAAGAATAGACAGCTCTGTTGTCATGTTGTGGTTTACTTTTCTCCAAAGTGCAATTCTTGGCTGCGTACTCAACTTCCTACTTTAGTAATTCCTTGATCTATCTATAAGTTCAACTTTCTTCCATGAAATTTGACTATCTCTCTTGCGCTGCAGAAAAGGAGGTTAGCCCTCTTTTCAACCTCGAATTGTGTATCATCGCCTGCGGTTTCTTCACTGCGACCTACGCCCTTCTCTGTGGACAGCCTGCCGCCACTGTTGGACCCTCGGGACCCTGTTTCATATTTGAAGGCATAACCTCTCAGGTGAGAGTTAATTGCTGTCTTGTCAATCGGTTCTAAAGCGATACCTCCCAGAATTTAAGTGAATTACGGTTAGGTATTTATAGTACTATATCCGTAGGCATTAAGCGTACGATTATAGAAAACTTGGAGGTGGTTTTGTGGTTGGCTAACTCATGAAATGTCAGCTAAAATTTAGAAATGCGTTCCCGTTTCGAAAGAATTAATTAATTAGGGTTGTAAAACTAATCACCATCCAGCATAATTTTATAACAATCCAGTTACCTCAGGGTGTAGGCTCACGAAAAAAAGTACAGTCTCCAAAAAATGACTACATATGTAGCATGCAATTTTCTCATTGACCTTCGATGGCCTTAAAAATTCAATACTATTTCTTGAAAAACATAAATAAAAGTATTCATTTTTTCACTTTTTTGATAGAAAATTATGTCTTCTTCCAACTTTAAACTCGACGTAATAGTTGAATTAGGTTTTTACAACCTTTTTCAATTCCCGAATAGTTTTGAACGCGACCTGCCGTTACACTTGCATTCAGGGTTTGCAAACTACAAGCCGTATATTTTCCGCGTATGGAAAACCGTACATTGCTCTACAGTATTAGGAGAAGGCCATGTGTAGTTCATAAAATTAAGCAGTGGATTTAAGCCATATTGTTACCTTAACAAGTCACATTGGTAAACGCAGAGACATGACTTTTTATGAATGGCCATTTCATGGTATTAAAAAATCGCACAATTAGAAACTTTTTAAAACTAAATTCTATCCTTCCTTTAAGTATAAAATTGGAAAAAGACGCCAATTTCTACCGAAAGAGTGAAAGAATGAATATTTTCATGCCTGTTTTCCAAGAAATAGAATTGAATTTTGAAGGGCATCGAAGATCAATGAGAACATTGCATGCTACTTATGTAGTCAGTTTTTGTAGAGTGCAGTTATTTCATGTAGTCGGAAAGAAGTTCATTCGAAAGCCTACACCCTGAGGTAACTGGATTATTACAGAATTATGTTACATGGTGATTAGTTTTGCAACCCTATTTAATTAATCTTTACGAAACGGGAACGCATTTCAAAATTTTGGCTGACATTTTACGAGTTAGCCCACCAACTGTAGACAGAGGCGGTTCTGAAGGATAAACAAAGGACTTTTACTTCATCTGATTTACTCATGCTACAAAACTACCTTCTCTGTGGCTGTGGTCTGTATCCCAGTCAAAGGCTTGTTTCCTCGGGAGAAAAAACAGAAACGGCGAGGATTGTTCATACGACTGCGAGTAAACCTCTGGGGAAATCTGACCAAAATTATGTTTACCCGGAGACAGGTAATCGCCGCACATGGTAATCCCCACGCGAATTCTGAATAGGTGCATCGCTACTCTCAGTTCTTTCCAGACTGCCCATCCTTTGTTAGGTTGTCCAGTTAAGGTAGCTCCCTTTCCACCGACGTGTTGTTATCCGCTCACATGCGCAATTAGTGTTCAATCCCGCAGGATAACTGCGTTTTATATCCGAAAGCTGCTGAAACACATGCAGAACGCTCGTTAGCAAATCAAATTTGTGAGGTTTTGTCGATCTGGGCCAAGATTTCCATCCAGTGCGTATGGTCAAATAGCACATCGTCATCTGAAAAATGCAGTTCAACGGTCTGCCTTTGTGTACCAGAAAATATTGCCTACTCGATAAATAAATTAACTGGGTTATGTGATGCGCCCATATTTACTAAATTCACGCTTTCTTAAAAACTGTTCTTGAATAGCATAAAAACAGATTTGTAGGGGACACCCGATTAATTTGTTCCTCAAGAGTCAGTTCGGGTTCAGTAGTTGAGTGTTAAGCTCGGAATAGTTATAAATATACCTACAGACTGGGCTTGGGTTTGTTCAAAACCAATGAACGCGTCCCTAACTACAGTAGGTGGGCTAACTCATGAAGTGTCAACCAGAATTCCGAAATGTGTCTTCGTTTCGAAAAGACTGATTAAGCAGGGTTGTCCAATTAATCATAATGTAGCACAATTCTATAACAATTCAATTCTATCAGAATAGCGGCTTTCGAATGAATGTCTTTCCAATTGCATGGGAAAACCACATACTTTAAAAAAATGACTACTTAAGTAGAAGGCATTTTTCTCATGGATTTTCGATGTTCTTAAATATTCAATTATATTTCTTGGAAAAAATGCATCACAATGTTCACTCTCTTGCTCATTCGGTAGAAAGCGGCGTTCTCTTCTAATTTTATGCTCAAAGTAAGGGTATAATTCGGTTTTAAAAAAGTTTCTAATTTTGAGATTTATTTAATACCTTGAAATGGCTTTTCATAAAATGCCATGCCTCTGCATTTACCAATATGGCTTATAAAGTTAAAAAAGTGGCTCAAATCCACTGCTAAATGTTATGAACCCCATACAGTCTACTCTTAATAACGTACAGAAATGTATAGTTTCCTGTACACGAAAAATATACGGTTTGTAGTGTAAAAAACCCTGAATGCGAGTGTAGCGGCAGATCGGGTTCAAAGTTATTCGTCATTTGGAGAAGTTTTTGAAAAGCAAATTATACCCTTCCTTTGAGCATAAAATTGGAAGAAAACGCCGTTTTCTGCTGAATGAGCTGAAGAATGAATATTTTTATGCATTTTTTCCATGAAATATAATTGAGTATTTAAGAGCATCGAAAATCAATGAGAAAAATGCATGCTACTTAAGTAGTCATTTTTAAAGAATGACTTTTTTGCATGCAGCCGGAAAGATATTCATTCGAAAGCCGGCATTTTGATATAATTTAATTATTTTAGAATTATATTACATGAATATAATGAAGTCACAAAATTTCGTGACCTCTTATTCAACTGCACACGATTACTGAGTATTTACAGGACAAGGTAAGCTCTTCAATCAGAGATCGACCTACATGAATGAAAAGTGATAGGTAAAATGAACGATATAAAATTAGTCTTTAACGAAAATATTAGAAACTCGGTAGGTACAAGGATACACTCAAAACGCGGTTTGGAAATCTGGGAGAAGAAACGAAACTGTAAACTACATAGGAACTAATGTACAACAAAACAGATAAGCGGAAAAATGCTGAAGATTGGACTTATTGGATCGACGGCCGCCGGTGATGGACACGCGTGATTAGTCCTCACGATCGATCTACAAAAGAGTGATCACGATCAAAACAAAGGGGTTTCTGTCCGTCAGTTCTGCTGGGGTGCTACAACTGAGCATTTATTAGACAAGTTAAGCTGTTCAATCAGAGATCGATCTAGTTGAATGATAAGTGATAGGTAAAATGAAACATGGACTGTTGGTCTGATGTGCGGGTGCGCATGGCGAGGGGAGGGAAGTCATGTAAGCAAGCGAGTTCAGATTACAGTGAAGACTTGTTGGACGTGATTAAAACTGCAACGCGCGGGACAGCCGTCATGTTGGGGAGACGGGGGGGGGGTGGGGAGGAAATGAGAAGACGGGTTATGAGAATGAGGTTACGCCCATTATGGATCCTTACAATGGCAGTGCGGGGTTGATCACGTGACTGTTGGACAAAAATGATCTGGCGTCGCGGCAATGTCACTGCCAGCAAAACGAAAACAATGTATTTACTACAAACGTCGGGCTATTGTATTTACAAAAAACTCCACACCAAGTTATTTCCTCTTTCTGATCCGGAAATATAGGATTTATAAAAAAGATGCGATATAAAAAGGTAAGAAGAATATATCGAACTTTTAGCTGCTTCGGAAAATGCTGTGTGAATTTGGGATATTTTATTAGAGAACAAACACCAAGTTAGGACCGAACGTTGGTACAAAGTTTTTGGGCTGTGATTTATCGCTTTTAGCGAATCAACCGCCTAAGGTTTGAATTTTGTTAACGGGCAGTCAGTACTATATAAATAGTAACTTATTTGACATATTTCTAGCAGGGCCGCGGACCAACATCTCAGACACTTTTATAGCTAGTTTTGCGTCGCTGCATGACGTTACCGCAGGGGGGCCGGATCGACAATCAATTTCCCAGCGTTTTTCATGTGATTTCCGGTGTATGATCCCATGTTCAATGCTTTGATTTTACTTCATTAAGGAATCAGTACTTGAACTTGAAGCAATTCTTTTGGGACACATATTTTAGACTCGGTCCGAAAGTTTATATGAAGATTTAAATGCACGTCTCTACCAACAAGTACATGGAGAACGCTGACAGACCCACTAATGAGTCAAACCGCCCTCAGCTGCAATATGTAGCGGCACAAAATCAGCTATGCAGGTTTCTGGGCTTCCAATCAGTACCTACGCGGGATGTCTTGGCAAACAAACCGGCATCCACATACTACTGACTGTCTATTAACAGGGTGTTAATACAACATAATCAGTCCACTGAAGTGGATGTATACAAGTCGAAGGATACCCACAAACCTTCGGACTGAGTCTGAGAATTTATATTCCCTGAATAATTTACCCAAACTTCGAATTAATTCCTGATGAAATCAAAAAACCTATATAGGCAGAGGTATCAGAAATAAGATAACTACAGTGACCGACCGATCTAATGAAATGTTGGCTGAAATTCTGAAATGCGTTTTCGATTAGGAAGGATTACTTAGGCGCGGTTGTAATACGGATTATCTTGGGACATAATCCTATAATATTTCGGACTCGGCAGGATGTCAGCACTTGAATACACTGCTTTTGAATATCCCGTAGAAACCGTACTGGGTAAAAAATGACTGCTTATGTAGCATGCATTTTTCCCGTTGATTTTCTATGGTCTTGCAAATTCAAATATATCTTATAGAAACCATAAACAAAAGTATGCACTCTTTCAGTCAATTAATAGAGAATCACTAATTGCCGAATAATTTGGAGCCTGATCAGTCGTTGCATTAGTACTTAGTGATTTCAGTCTACAAGGTGCATGCGTTCCGCGAAAAGGAAATCACATATTTTTCTACGCCATTATAACGATATCATACAAAGTCCATGAAATTTTGCAATGGATGCGGACTATGTTGCACATTTTATGAGGAGCTGTGGTAAACGGCAAGGTACGATACTATGTTAATGAACATTGCGCATTCTTAAAAAATCTCATAATTAGAAACTTTCATAAAATAAAATATAAAGTAGGCGTGCTTCTCTATTTAGTAACAGAAAAAAAGCATATTTTTGTTTATGGTTTCTATAAGATATATTTGAATTTACAAGACCATCGAAAAGCAGCCGGAAAATGCATGCTACATAAGTAATCATTTCTTACCTAGTACGGTTTCTACGGGATATTCAAGCAGTGTATTCAAGTGCTGACCTCTTGCCGAGTCCGAAATATTATAGGATTATGCCGTAAGATAATCAGCATTATAACCGTGCCTAAGTAATCCTTCCTAATCGAAACGCGTTTCAGAATTTCAGTCAACATTTCATGAGATCGGTCACTCACTGTACTTTAGAAACGTAGAAACGCTTAACATGCCAAATTTATTTGCGGATTCTGCGCATTGTCATCTAACAGATGTGCAACATGATAGGCCAGCTAATTTTTTAACTCCGCCAAGTTAAGCATTATTGTAGATTAAAGAATGAGCCGATACGCGTCTCCTGCACCCCGCCATCTAGTTAGGATTGGCTGTGTTTGGCTCCACTTGTTCTTGATTATTTTGTATTTTTACCCCAATTAGTATGCTTACTGGTGAAGTTCTTATCTGAATGCACTGCCTTAAGCAGTTCGCAGCCACATTTTGTTGTGTGAACGCCTGTAATGCAGCGGTATGCCGTGTAAATGCATATCCCTCGTCCAGTGTGAGCGTAAATACCTGAGGTAGTTTATTCAGTCTTCTCGCACTCATCCAGGGTTCGTGTGCATAGATGGAGGCAGAGTTCCCACTTTGGCTACAGCAGACTGCATCGAAACTGGTGCAAGAGAATTTCATAGGCGATTCGCTTCTAGCAAAACAGCTTACCCTGTCATTAGGATGCAGAGGCTGGGTGCGCGAAGTAGTCACAAGTTTTTTGCACTATATGGCTCTAACACGTCTGTAACTTGAATGAATTGTTTTCACATGGGAATGAGCCCGATAGGCAACTGACTATGGTGCCTGGGAGGTCGTAGCGTTAGATTTACCTCTTTCGGAATATATTCATCTTATATATCCACTGCCAAGGCGACAATCGTTTCAATAGTACGACTGGTAATGGCACAGTATAAGCCGCTGTCATATACATATATATTTTCCGAATGAAAGAGAACGCGCTAGGTCTGGGAATTTAAATAAAATACGGGGAGCGATCTCCGGGACCAGCAGTCTTTTCCTTCCATGTTCGAAACAATCACGTGGGTCCATCGTCAAAGAATAAAGGAACTATACAACTCACTCCATATTTAACTCACCTCCACCGAGGACGACCTTCAGCTGTGCTATTTCTTTGTCGCGCAACGCCTGATAGGCGGGTGGGAGATCGATGTTTCTATTGATTGAGTGCTCAGTCGAGTGCCAGACTACCTACGGCAGAGGCAAATCTCGGTCATTTGGCTTACGCAAGACTTTCACACATTCGAAGTTGAAGTTTTGTTCGACGAGGATGAGTAAGCACTTACAAAGGTAAGTTTATCTTTCTGTTTCACAACCAGCTCATGTTCGTGCAAACTCGCGTAAATCCATTTACTTGTTTCTCAATTAAACTTTGTTTGACAGAACTTACATTCTATCCAATAAATTACACCAGATTTCTGATTGATGGGTGTTGAGTCTTCAAGATACATGAATTTCCCACAGATTGTGGTTTCGGGTGTGTTTATGTGGTTCCAATCTCAAATCCGCTCGTCCATCTAACGAGGCTTCTGGCACACCAGCAATGCAGTTTTGGCTGTCCTGGGTTGTCGAATACCTTCGTCGGCAAAACTGCCAAGGTATTTGTTAAGTGTGAAGAGTTTCCGTTAAACGTGAACTTCGGCCTTCTTGCCAACTGGCTCTGTGCGATGTATTTTTGCACGGTTTTCACGCAATTGCTTTTGTGCGAGAGGCGTGGTTGCTATAAAAAAGGAGGTTCGACAGACACAAGGGAGACTGAGATGGACACTTCTGGCTTATTAGCCGTCGGCAGTCAGCATTACCCAAATTCAGGTTGATTTCGCCCCGGAACATGTGTTCTTCGGCCATTCGTTCTATCAGTCATTATTGCCATTAGTATGTTAGAAGTCCGTTGCCCTATCGGGTTGCGGTACACGCTCGTCCTGTTGAGGCCCACTGTGCACCCCTTTCAGATATTCATATAATGACCCGGAATATGCACTGAAAGGAGTTTCGACAAGGACAACGGTAACTTCCAGGGAGCGGCGGCGATGTTAATTTTGGTTCATGGTCGTCATCAGCCGTCCTTATCTAAACCTAGGTTTCTGCCGTACCTGAGTCTCGAACGCGGTTTCTTTAGCGATCGAACGCTCTAACCTATCTTTTTTAATAACACACAAAAATATAGAAAATGCGGTTGTCCATCGGTCGCCGTTTCAAAATTAGATATTTACCTGGATGGGTGGAGTTAGGACTACTATGAATTAAGTCCATCTGATCGTCTTTGATGTATTATCGGCGAAGTCGCAAATTCCTGGAACCAGTTTTATATTTTTGACTAGTCACAAGATCTTTTAGGGAATATGTTATTACCAACAAAGACAAGGGAAACTGGAATGGCCATTTCTGGCTTATTAGCCGTCGTCACCCAGTCATACCCAACCCCGAAGTGTGGAACACCTGAGACCCGAACTCGCGACCTGTTTTTTGGAAGTCCACGCCTCTAATCACTGGGCCACGAGCCCCTTGCCCTGTCGGTTTTCGATCGGGAAAATGCAATGGTGGAGGGGCGATCACCGATCATTTTTACGGAACTCACTCGTTCCGTTGTGCCTTACGGGCTCTCTCTCTCTCAAGTCCAAACAGCAGCCGCACAGTGCCGCGTGATAAAGGCAGTATGTTGAGCTCGAGAGACAGCCCGTAAGGCACAACGGAACGAGTGACTTCCGTAAGAACGATCGGTGAGCGCCCCCTACCAACGTGATCTTCTGTTTGGCATTATTGAAAGTCTGCTGCAGCTGTGATAATAGTCGTACACCAACCACCACAATTTTGCTACAGGGTTCCGTTTAGGCGAAGTAGCAGAACAGCAACAGGAATCATTTACTCTGCACAATTACTTGGTGCCAGTCTGAGCGCTTCACGCGCGAGCGGCTCTAGGATTGCTTGAGCGTCACTCCATAAGCGTGATCAAGAGAACTGCCACTTATAGTGCGGCTATGTACTATAAATACCGCACTCCTTGTGCTTTCACTACCCTTATCTGCGGCTGTCTCTGTTGATGCGTTCGAGTGGAAATCCGAGACGTTAGGCCATTAAACTTTTTGCTCCAGTGACCGCATATTATTCTTCCGGACTCGCCTCTGCGCTTCTATCGACAGTGAGCTTATCGGCCTACGCTAGGCCTGCGCAAGCCCCATTCACGCTGTCGTAACTGCGTGAAACAGATCACAGGCGGAGACTTCCAAGGCTCGTCAGCCGCTGTGCCTACTATCACTTTCAATAGGGCAGTGGTGAAAAGGAAAGGGAAAGATGCGTGAGACTGATGTTGCGCAGGAATCCCTCCCTACTGCAAATCAATGAATTCTTCAGTAGAGACAAGCACATACGCATTACAACCATCAAGACGTGCTTTCGATAGTGGCCTGAGAGGCTACTAACTGATGCGATTACTAAGGGTTCCTTTAAACGTGGGGCAGACTGAGGCTCATTTCCTATGTGGCCTTCATGGCACCACCCACTTTTATGAGACCTAAGACACCCCTAAAATGGAGTCCAATGTGTGTAAAGTTATGCACCATGTCATGTGAGGCGAACGTAGGCGGGCTGCTTAACTTTGTACGTCAATTCACCCGCTCCCAACTACAGTCATCTGGACTTCGTCTTGTCATCGGAAGACGATGAGTAGATTCGAAAGTATTAATAAAGTAGTCACACATAGGAGAAGCTGTATCCCTATAGCCATATTCACTCGGCGGCCGTTGTTGGGCCTATCTTGTTGGACATTGGTGAACCTCACCGTTTGCAACAGCTAAACTGTCGTGTATTTCTCAGCTGAAAGTCTGCCAGCGTCGGACTTGTCAGTTTATTGGATGAATCTAGAGGTGTGAACGCCTGTGGCTGATTATCTTTGGAGATGTATGTTCGCATACTGTACTTATACGAAAGAAATACTCTAGTGATTTATATAGTGACATATGCGTTAGAGGCAGATGCAGCATACGCACAGGAGGCACTTACGAATAAAATGTTTTTACAGGTCACTGTCTCTGAAGAGGATCTGTAGAATCAGTCTAAAAGTCTGCACGATAAGCATGTTTTCCTCTTCAAATAACACGAAGTATTCCCGACCAAGTTTCTCGGGATATATGTTTTTTAGCATAGATGGAGACGGCTGATAAGTCAGAAGTGACCATCGCGGTCACTCGTGTCTTTGTGGATACCCTTTCTGCATAATTGCAAGTCGGCAAGCGACTGCCTGCAAGAATCAAAAGGCAAAGTGACGAGCTAACGTTGCTTTCGATAGCTTCTCTTCAGGCCAGTACAGTTATGTGGGTACGGAGTACAGTGGTTGAAAAAATCGATAAAAGTCAGTTTTAAAATACTGGCTAGGCAATAGCGGAAGGGCGCAGGAAGTTATATGTAGTTAATCAGCCTTTGGCCACGGTAAGCGCGGAGCCTGAACGTGGTTCTTCTGTGCGCATAAGATTGGCTTTCGTAACCTGATGGCGACCACATCTGCTGTTTCTAACAGACGCTGGCCCAGTAGCTTAGGGTAGCTCGATGGGACCTTATAGATCACACGAAATGCTTCAGAGGGGTTCACACGATGGCCTGAATCCACTGCACAAGGATGGCGTTGTCTATTCTCCTAGTTTTACCCTTTGCTAGTCATACGTGGAGGTGCTCTCGTATTCTTTTGGAAAGTCACCGACTCTACGACCAAATATAACCTGCTCTAGGGGAGCATGAGGATGAGTAGATGCACATTGAGGTGGTCTGAGGTGACAGCCTATTCATGCCTTCTTCGCGTAAAATGGGGTTAGTAGAGAATGATATGCGAACCCTTGCTGCTGGGAAGGTTCTTGAAACAGCATGATCAAGGCGTCTTCTTAGGAGTTCACTCGCAGCCTCTCCTTAAAAAGGGACTTTGAGGAACAAAGTTTTCTTTTCGGCGGTCAGTGTTGTGGGTTTTGCGGGTCGTTCGGCAATGTTTTTTGCAGTGAACCTGCCAGAATACCCGTTTTTGCAAAGCAAGTCCTGGATTTTTCTAAGCTCCTCCTCGATACCATCAGCTGAACCAATTTTTTTCATTCTTTGTGCCAAACACCTGACTAGATTTCGTTTTAGTTGGAGGAGTACGAAACTAGCAACGCTCGTGTATTGTCCAGACCAAGTTTGTTATCGAAAGGCGCTCCTTCAGATGCTTCCGTCGGGTCTCCTGTTTAGACGGTCATCTAAGCAAGGAAGCGAGGCGGCCGATTCCATCTGCAACGTGAATTTAATCGACGAAAGTGCTCGAGTTATTCAATATTAGGTATAAAAGCACAACTGGATGATCACATTCCTCAACCTCACCAGTGAGCCATATTCACTCGGCGGCCGCTGCTGGGCCTATTTTGTTGGGCATTGGTGAACCTCAGCGTTCGCAACAGCCAAACTATGCATGTCAGATATCCAAATCAATTTTTTTACAGTGTCATCTATATGGGTTAAGTAGTCATCCGGCTGGCCGGACGGAGAGCGTGCCCGGCGTCAGCCAACCCGTACAGCTTTGCACTGTGGGTAAAAAGTCGTGTCTTTGGATTCATTTTGACAACTCTGTCTCATGAGCAAAGCTAAATTGGAGGACGAATTGTAGTCTAACATCACAAGCAACTTACAGAACTGTATTTCTTCTGTTACATTTAGCTTTCACGCAGTCTGCAGATCCCCTTCTCTAACTTTCGGTTCTGGATCGGAGTCTACACGTCAATGTATGGTCTTATCTTCATCGGGTTAAATTTCTCCAACCTGGCAAAATATGCTAGAAGATCGTTGGAAGAACTCTTCAGTAGTTTTGTTGCATTCTACTTCATTCTGAAGGCACTGTTTGCCCTGTTTAAGGTAAGCAAGTGTACATGCGAAGTAAATAGCATCAATAGTCAGTCCAGGATTTTGTCTAACGTAGTTTATAAATGAACAGATTAAATTCACCTCGTATTTACATACAATGCAAAATTCGCACTAGTCTGTTCGCGGTCCTCCGAATTTCGGCTGAGGGTTTCTCACACAAACCCTGTGGTAGTACGAATTTAAATCTCATCTCGGATTTCAGCTGAAGTAGATGAGTGCCCAAAGGGACGTTGGTAACAACTGAAATGTTTGAATCAGAAACTGCAATGTCCTACAACTCCTTTGATGTCTACTTTATTAGTAAGACGTCGACAGTTATTTGGGGAACGTCAAGTTCCTCCTAATTTGCCTTTGAGGGCCAGGTGTGAAGGAATAATCTAAAAATTCATTTTTCAGTTTCCTCCTCAACTTCCTCCAAAGTTGCCTGGGAGACTACGTTTAAAGTGAACCGAAAAGTTGTTCCTCCTTATTGTTCCGGTAAACTCTAGTGGCCGGGCTTTTTATTCCCCAGCATGTTGTTTGGGACATTGTGTGCGTGGTTTCTTTATTAAAAAAGTTATCAAGTTTGTTCTACCTTTACGCAGTAGGCATGAAACGCCTTTACGCGATCATAAGGAGAAAGGATCGCTCAGCAGAGTTTTGTTATATTGAATCATGCGATAAATCATTTCAGGAGACGGATTATAATTTGACAGGCTTCTAGCCGCCTTGTCGAATTATTAATAAAAAACACTACATGAATTGTATTTGTCTAGGTAACAATCAGGAGAAGGCACCAAAGTATCCGTTGCTTAGAAATAATATCTACTATACCTATTTGAGTAGGTTATAATCATGCATATTTGTTTCATTCTAAAGCCTCTCCTTGGACCCCAGTCCTGAGGAAATTGGCAGACTAGCAATTCCTTACGCTGAATTTGCTGGGATTTAGGTTGGCCGATAATGGGGATGTTTTGTGCGGAATTCACTTTCAGGTCATTCCTTACACAGAAGAGGCTTTCGTAAATGGGACCTCCACGAATATACCGTCAACGGCTGCAGCAAACATGTGTCTTGCCTTCTGGATGGTCATCTTTTGTAGTTACATCGCTAGCTTCAAACGCAGCCACTACATTCGACGAACGGCAAGTCAATTTATCTTACTTCTGTTCTTTTTTCAGTACAAATGTTATTTAAGCATCTAACCCCCGAATGCGCACACCCAGTGGTTAAATTTTCAACGTTCTGATTTTTCCAGCGAAGGATTTCTACATCTAGATTGAGGTACTGACATCAGAAGGTAGAGGACAAGCGCCGACGGCGCGGACATTCTGGTATTTTGTTCCAATTCTGGTCGCATCCTCCAGTCACACATTGAGATTCTCGCATAGACCAAAAGACTGACTGTCACCTTTAACTTCGTTCAACAATCGTCATGTCCTCCTAACATGTTCAAATGTTTCTGAAACACGAGATGCGTCATTGGCCTATCCGCTCGCCTACTCGACTGGTAAACTAAATCGGCAGCCATTAATCGAGCAATAAACTCTGGCGAAGTTGACTGCAGTTTACTACATCGTTCAACCTGTTGGGTGGGATATAGGACCCCCTCAATCACTGTAGTGAATCGCATCTCACGAAATGTATCGTATTCACAGCATTCGTCGCAGTCATGGTCCCCATCCATACAAGGTGCAGGCAAGATGAAAAACTCCCTAAACGAAATGCTTGTCTTTCTTTAAGACTACGATCCTCTGCGGCTTCCGTTAAGCGTGCTCAATGATACTTTGTTTGTACGACTCCTGCTCACCTTAATCTGTTTACAAACTGAATCATTCTTTATTACCGTGGGTGGTAACTCACAGCATCCAAATGTAGTCCATTTTCTGACGGGACACTTTACACAACACTGATGGGCATAGATGGCTGAACACCTTCCTGGGGAAATTTAGCGACCGAAGATGAATAATTTAAACTATATATAGAAAACGAGGACACCACTTGATGATCAGTGCGCATGGTTGTTAGTCACCATGTCTCAAGGAGCCATTGTTTTTGGATATATCCATAGATATTTGAATGATCGAGATGAGTTTTCAGCGACTTACTAGAATATCACAAACTTTAAGGTTTTGTATTGGCTTGATTCTGGTGCCTGCCAAAAATTCACAATGCCAATATCCCGCCAAAGTTATTGATGCCGTGATAGGCAACCACAACTTTACTCTGGTTAAATGGTTTTCCGGACATCCCCTAATCTTCGTCGAGGGCCCGACTTCACTCTAAAATCTGCAATCTAAGTCCTTTCGGATCAACAACAGCAAACCATGCTTACGAATGTGGTCTTAACGTTAGTTGCTATAATATACACGCCAGCATCGCCGCAATCTGCTTGGGCCGCTCTGACGTATCTGTGGAATGACACGTAGGATGGGCTGAATACATTCTCGGTATCGGAGATCTGGAGGACATATGTAGTCTACACGGTGTGTCCAACACTTCGCGGCCGCAAACTGTTTTAGTTGCCGCACACCTCGCTGATCTCATCTGCTACGGCTCTTACCCCAGAAGCCACAGGTATCGCGAATGAGGGTTTGTCCAGTTCGTATCATCGCAAGCTGGAAGGCAGAAGAAGAAGACGTCGAGAATGTTTTGGTATTTACGTGCCTGTTATAGAAGGCTATTGCCATCGCAGGTACCTACTCCATAACGGCCTAGCGCCGCCCCCATATGACCTACTCTGCCTGCATGGAGATTAAAGTCATGGAGGACGATCGTTTTTAATAGCCTTCGGCCCAAACACGATAAGGGCCTGCGGATCTTTCTAGAACTCCCCATTTGCATCGTCATGGCCGACATCTGGGAGCGTAGGCAACGATGCTTGTGGATAATTTCGTTCGGTAGATTGGGAACCTCATGTTTTTGAGACAATAGCTAATTGCCAAATACATGCAAAGATACGAGCCCCTGGAAGCAGTCGTTAACACGGACACACGATCGCTGTGAAAAGAACTTTATTTGCCTGACGTTTCGGATTCCTGCTCGAAACAATCATCAGATACAAAAGCACATACGGGTAGTTCATGCACAAGGGACTCCAGTATTTATAGGGTACAGTCGCCATTCTACCGTATACATATGAATATTCACGGCTCACCCCCCCCCCTTCATCAGGGATCGTGGCACTTGGTGTGATGACTGTTTGCTGGTCGGCAATCGCGTTGTTAATCCCTGCAATTTCATCACGTGTGTTGGATGTTGGTGTGATGATTGCTCGACCATCTGACACACCAAACTTGGAGTTGGGAACAGTGTTCACATGTGCGCTCCCCGCGTGGCTAATTCCTCTGCCTAGGTGAAGTCGCAGCATCGAGTATGGTAGGGAAAGGTTGTTGCACTTTTTGATGGACTGGGGGCCAGTGAACCATGATTCAAGCAATTCGCGGCTCACGCAGTTGTCGCCTTGGCCAGAATTTCGGCCTCGTCGAATATGAATGTGTGGCCATACTCGGTGCTGAGACTTCACCTAGACAAAGTAATTAGCCACTCGGGAAGCGCACAGGGGAACACTGTTCCCAACTCCAAGGTTGGTGCGTCAGATGGTCGAACAATCATCACACCAACATCCAACACACGTGATGAAATTGCAGCAGTTAACGACGCGAATGTCGGCCATCAAACAGTCATCACACCACGTGCAACGATCCCTGATGAATGGGGAGGTGGAGCTGTAAATATATATAGGTGTGCGATAGCATGGCGACTGTATCCTATAAATACGGCAGCCCCTTGTGCGTGAACAACCAGTATATGCTATTGTCTCTGATGATGGGTTCAAGCAGGCATCCGAAGCGTCAGGCGAATAAAGCTTTTGTCCCAGCGGTCGTGTCTCCTTCTTCACAATAGCTTATGTTCTGTGGGAGGCAGGATATTCGTTTCACAATTTCTATCTTGAAGACGAAAGAAAAATAAGCGTTCCACCACGTCCCCTCTAGAGTTCGCTCCAGGGGATATATATCACACCCACTGAGTCTGATTGTCTTCCTTTCAAAAGCGCGCCTCGCTGAGACCTACTGTGTCAAATTTGCATAGACCGAACTCTCTTGTAACTAAAGCTATTTTGTCTGGTGAGTTCGCCATTCAATAGGAATGGGGAATTGCTTCTGCTTGTTTCCGCTGCGTGCATTAGTCTAACGGTCACAATCAGATGAACCAGCACTTCTTCGGGACATATAATCCAACTTCGTTAGCAGTATGTCCCGGAAGACGACCGGTAAGAGGGATGGCTGTCAAACTCCACTGTGACTCACAGTTTGTATAGTGGGAAAATGGTCCGAATTGACTTGGGTCGTTTCTACGCCTGCAAGTCATTATCTTTATTTGGATTCTCTTAGAGGAGAAGAAGACTGGGACAAATGGGGGTGAGAAACTAACTACCGGATGTGAAAACAAGCATTCACCGAATACATTGATCTGCCGTAATCCGTTCGTCAAGATTAGTTAGGACGTTGAGACTTCTACAAAAGCACAGCGTTGTATAGTCACAGAGGGAAGGTCGGCGTCGAGTACAGTCGAAAAATCCGTCAGTGAGTTCAGCAGGATCTCATATCTATTGGCGTAACCGTACAGTATATGCGCTAACTCATGTAATGTCGACCAAAATTTCGAAATGCGTTCTCGTTTCGAAAAGATAAATTAAGTAGTGCTGTAAAACCAATCATGATGCAGCATAAATCTATAATGATCCTGTTACCTCAGGGTGTTGGCTTTCGAAAAAACTTATTTTCGGCTGCATGCAAGATCGATACTCTGCAAAAAATGACTACTTATGTAGTATGCAATTTTCTCATTGATTTTCGCTGCCCTTGAAAATTCAATTATATTTCATGGAAATCATGCATAACAATATTCATTCTTTTACTTATTCGGTAGAAAATCACGTCTTCTTCCAATTTCATACTCAATAGAAGGGTATAAATCGGTTTTAAAAAAAACTTTTCTGATTCCCGAATAATTTTGAATCCGACCTGCTGTTACACTTGCATTCAGGGTTTCAAAACTATAAGCTGTATATTTTCCATGTACGGAAAACCATGCATTTCTCCACAGTGTTAAGAGGAGACCATATGAGGTTCATAAAATTAAGCAGTGGATTTGAGCAATATTGTTAACTTTACAAGCCACATTCGTAAATGCAGATACATGACGTTTCATGAACGTCCATTTAACGGTATTAAAAAATCTCACAATTAGAAACTTTTTAAAGACCGAATTATAGTCTTCTTTTGAGTATGAAATTGGAAGAAGACGTGATTTTCTACCGAATAATTAAAAGAATGAATATTTTCATGCATGTTTTCTATGAAATATAATTGAATTTTTAAGAGCATCGAAAATCAATAAGAAAATGGCATGTTACTTAAATAGTCATTTTTTGCAGAGTATAGATCTTGCATGCAGCCGAAAATAAGTTCTTTCGAAAGCCAACAACCCGAGGTAACTGGACCATTATAGATTTATGCTGCATCATGATTAGTTTTACAACGCTACTTAATTTATCTTTTCGAAACGAGAACGCATTTAGAAATTTTGGTTGACATTTCATGAGTTAGCACATCTACTGTACAACCTTGATGTGAGTGACACGTTCCCACACCAGAATAACATTCATTTGACTGCAAAAGCAGACTTTCCCCAATCCTTTCATGGGTCTCATCTCCCCCATCAGACCAGTTATAGCTCACATGATATGTCGGTAGGGAAAATGCCACCACCATATGACCCGAATATCGCCGATCGCGGCCAGTAATATGTGAACTAGTAGCTGAAGTGATAGTGTTTGAAATACGTACCCGTCAACTAACTAATCTGACTTTAAATTGCGAGTCTATCAGCATCTGGAATTGGCTGGCTGGTTTGTGAGGGCGAATAGACCATAAATAGACGTTTCAGGATCTATCCCCTTTGTCAGTAAGACTTCCTGTCCGATCACTTGGCTATAATCACACAAAATCTAGCCGGTCAATTTCTTAATTCACCGGAAGTCTAAATGGTTCTTTTTCTTCAAATTGACTAATGAAGCAATCTAGCAGCGCCTTTTCTCTTGCAGGCCCGGTACTGGGTTGGGGCTTTCAATGTACCCCTGGGCATGATTTTTGTGACTGTTATGGAACGCATCTTCTTCCGCAACTACCAGCTACCGACGTTGAACATACCAAAATTCAACGACATATCAGTCTCCTCATGGATAAGAATTGCGAACTTGTCCGCAGTAAATGACTTCGGTGCCATCTCAGCGCCTGCATTCCACGGTCTTTCGGCCGTCATCGGACTCTTCTTTACGCTGCTAATTTTTTGCGAAACAATGCTTAACAGGTTCGTCAAAGTCTATTCTCGTCTACTACTTAAATACTTGGTCTTCATGCCGCCATTTTTTGTTTTCAATGCAAGAAAGCAGTAATTACAACAAATATTTATTTGCATTTGTGATGGCAAGGGAGGCTCTAGCGTTATGCAGTCTGACTACCTTTTCCATCTCCAAAGTTTAGAAACGCGACATTTTCCAGCCTAATCCTATTCTCCGTGCGGCGGAGAGTTTGTCCGCCAGGTGACGAAGGAAATTACCGAAAATATGGGGAATTGAATGATCAACCACTTTCCTTTTACAGTCTGACCAGCGGCTGAGGCGAACCAAACTCTGCCTATCAAGCCACGAAATTACAGGTCTATACTTGCTGATGGATACTGGAGTAACGACGTTGTTTTCGAGAGGAGACAGCCGCCTACTTCTTTGATTTTGCCAAGTCACACGACGATCCTGACCTAAATTAAACGGCTTTACAGATTGAAGATAACAAAAGCCTCAGTTTTAGTTGAAGATAATCAGTCAGTAAATCCCAGAAAAACCACACGACGAGCCCGCACCGATTCAGGCGCTTGCCCCAGCCATGAGATAGATGTTATATTGGTCCAAGAATGAGTACATTAAGGTTACAGCTTTGCATTTAGTCTGCCTGGAAAACCATTCATAGAACCGGAAATGAATTCGCAATCACTTACTATTGGACGCTTGCAGTGGAAAAAAGTACAGTAAAAACCAATAAACTGTCTGCTGGCTCCATAACGGACCGGGTGACGGCCCCTAAGCATCTGAAGCCTATAAAGAATACCTACTATACGCATTAAAGTAGGTATTAACCCGGCATTATTATTCCGGTTTATTGTTTCACCTGTAGACCGTTTGCACAGATAGGAGCTCAGAGAGTTGAGAAGTGAACGGTGTAGACGGTCTGACGTTTCATCTGCAATACCCTTCGCCCAAAGAGTCGAGAAGCGATCGCTGTGGACGCCTGATGCATTATCTACAATGACCTTAACTCAGAGAGTTGACAAACGACCGCTGTAGACTGTCTGGTGCTTTATCTACAATAATTTTACCTCAGAGAGTTGAGATGCGATCACTTTAGACACGATCATTGCCAAAGTTTGACTGAATTTCTTGATATTTCCTCGTAATTGACGGGTGGCAAATATCCTGTATTTGATCTTGCACTTACTTCAGAATCCCCTATGAGTTTTGGGAGAAGACCTTGCACCGGGTTAGGGTTCAGTCGATTATGTAAGTAATTGGGCGGGGATTTTGCCTGCAAAGTTGTGGACGGATATACGCCTGTGATTATCACAGAATTGCAGTTTCCACTTGTGCTTACATAACTAGCGGTAGTGGCGTGATCAAAGACGGAGGGAATTGTTTTGGTGTAAAAATATCCTGAAATACTGAGAATGAGTTTTCTATGTGTTGAGGGTCTTCATACTCAGAGATTGTAGTGGACAGCCATAATGGCTACGTCGCGCCTCTCGCTAGCGCCTGCACCTACGTCCTAGCGACAGCCTGCTATGGCACGCACGTCAGCCCGGCTTCGATTTGTCTCTTTTCAATTCACGGTCTGCACCACGCGAGGCTTGCCACTACCTTCGCGTGGGCTCGAAGCCAATCAAGGCAACTCCTATTGCTGATTGGTAAGACAGGCGCGAACAGTCCAGAACAATAGACGCAGCGACCTTCGGCGACACAGGGCTCGTCGATCTCGCGGACGCCGCCTCCGCGGCGCCGGACGCATCCTCGTCCGGTTGCCAACTTTCTCCTTCACTATTCTGTACAGAATAAAGTGTCCTAACCAAATGGCGTCCTGCCTCTAAAGACTTGGGATATGGCCTGAAGTTGTGGCGTACTGAGCGTACACCATTACCGCTTAGCCGCTACAAGATTAGAGATGGAAGTGAGGCAACGCCTGGTACTTTTCACTGGACATCTGTTGGATGACTTTAATAGTCCCAACAGGAGGGGGGGGGGGGGTGGTCGGAGTCTGTTTTTTGACCATTTGAGGGAGTACGCAGGTGGCTTTGTCGGATATGGTGGACGGACATTTTGTGAACCTTCTGAAATGCATGGGCGAGCGTCCAGAATTTGAGATTTTACCGCCCGGACACTTGTTCTGTCGAAACAGTGAAGTGACGCAATTTGCATGACTTGGAGACCACAGGCAGTACTGCTGGACGTGGTCTGCGTACTCTTGAGTTTAATCAACCCTGCAGGGCGGCCAGGCATTTTGCATCTTTCTCAAACTCTGCTAGGTAAAATGTGGCCATATAACCCCACATGATGGACACAGTACTGCTGGGGTTGGTGTTAATGATTGGGGTTAGGGGTTATGGTTAGGGCAACTATTTGTCCACCACTTAAAGAACAGCTGCGCATTCCCAATAGCTTTTTCTTTTGCGTACAACTGCTTGACCTCGTCACCTGTGCGCTCCGCGACCCCACCTGCAAACCCCTATTACTACCGGCCCCGTATTGCAGGTGGCTGAAGTTAGTCTACCTCAGGCGTGGCTACGCAACCACATCTGACCCTCTGCTGTACTAGGCTCCTGCCTCCACTTTGTGCTGTTTGATTTGCGTCGTTACTTGTTGTTGTTGACACAGGTCTGCTGCAACCTGTTTTATTCAGAGGGCAGATGGCGGACTTTCCAGGCATCGTCATCAAACCAGTCCCAGTACTGACGACTTGGGCGAACAAAAGCTTTTAGAACGATGGAGTAGACAACACCAATCTATTTTTTCTATGACGTCTCAGTAGTTGCGAAAATTCCCATTGTAAAATTCAAAAGGCAATTTGGCGAGCATACGTTTGCTTTCGATAAATTCTCTTCAGGCCTGTACATTTATATGGCTATTGAAGTAATGAATGCAAAAGATACGGGTAGATAGGGGAGGGCAGGGGAGGGGGAGGGTGAGACACCATAATTCCAGTCGGCGCCAGGGGGAAGGTGGGTCCCGGCGAATGCAGTTACATGCGGGTGTCTGGCTTGGTGGCTTTGGCCCATGGTAACTGTGGGGCCTGCACGAAATTCTTCTGCGCCCATAGGACCGGCCGGCGTAGCCTAATTGCAGCCGCCTCTGCCGTTGCCAACAAGCGTTGCCCAAGCAGTTTTGGATAGCTTGATGGGACCTTGTAGATCACTCTGAAGGCCTCTGTGGCGTCTACACGGTGGCCTGTGTCCACCATGTGCGCGAGGGTCGAGCTGTTGATGTTCTTAATTTGTCCCTTTCCTAACCATGCTGGGAGATGTTCTTTCATTCTTTTGGATAAACGCCGGCTCGTGCGACCAATATATTCTGCCCCACAGGAGCAGGTGAAGGAGTAGATACACATAGAGGTGGTCTGAGCTGGTAGTTTGTCCTTGCCCTCTCCGTATAGAATGGGACTGGTGGTAGTTGTATTATCTTTGACAGTTTGCCTTCGTTTCACGTTGAGATTCATACGATTGCTAAACAGCCGAGTATGGGTCCAGTATGGGCCACGACAATGAGTTGAGCCTCTTACGGAATCGCCGTCGTTGAATTCGTAGGGGGTTTTGGTTTTGCGGATAGCAGGGGAGTCAGTCGAGGCGCTTACCTGCACGTGATCACTGAACAAAGCGCAATTTCGCGTGGTCATGGGCGAGAGTTGGATGCCATCTAAGGGCAGTGCGGACCAACCCCTGCACGACCTAGGCTCACGGAATGACCTGTTTTTTTACACGGTGTACCTCTACCTGAACACCCACTTACACACAAAACGTGAATTGATACTAAACACGCGCCCTGGCCTCGACAGTGACTAGTACTGCCTAAGTCAGCCTCTCAGGCTTCTCTTTGGAATAAGCACCTCCAACTGGTTACTGATGAAACTTACCAAAAATGACTGATGCTTCAATGGTGGCTTTGGTTTGCTATTCGGCTTCTGTGGCATTTACTGTCTCATAACACTAACTGATTACAGATTAGCTGAGTTCTCCGTGGATATCGTAATGACAGGAAACTTGCTGCACAAAAATGTTGACACCTGACAGAGGTTCCGTTACAAACTGACCTACGCGAACGAGTTTACTCATTTAAGTTATTACTGATGAAGGGACAACAAGAATGCTAGAAGACTGTTTCATCTACTCTGTAATGATGTGGGTTCCTGTAACGAGTTCAAGTATTAAAAAATGGTCATTTATTAACGATTATCGACACAAAGTGCAGTCCATACATGTGTTTTACGAGTGTATTTCGGTCGTTTGCTTAGCATGGGTGGTTCTTTTGGTTCTGCGTAAGCAGAATGTGGGAAATTTTTTTAATTAACTTAACGATTCTTGTATTAAAGCATCACCGCCTTGAAGCCCAAAGCCAAGAAACCCAGTCCCGTTATCATGGATCACATTCTGACCAATGTTGCCTTTCCGCTCATTTCCGTCTTCCTTGGGTGGCCATTCATGTCTGGAGTGCCGGTTCGTACCATTGCAAACACGATGGCCCTCGTCAAACTGGAACCACACCCGCCGCCAGGAAAACCAGCGCAGTAAGTTTTGTTCCAACAGATTTTCCACCTTTACACTGTGAATGAATTTTTCGGAGAAAAATATCAGTCAGCGATTTTTGTCGAAATAGTGCGCTGAGATTTGCGGTTGCCAAACTGGAAATCGAGATGTAGGCTTGAAGTTCAATATAAGCTTCAGTATTTAAAGCCGACTTTCTGCGACAATGGATTCTTCACTATTGGCTACCCTCCCTCTAACGATTTCTTTTCCTACACACCAGTTCATTTTCTAAGGTTGTCAGGCTAATGGTGATGAGATTGGAGGCAGAGGCTGGCGTGACGTCTGCCTCTATCAAACTCGCGTCATGTGCAGACGGAGCGCTGTCAGACGGAGCGCTGTCAGACGGAGCAGACAATAAGCCAGTATGGCTCGTTTAGAGGTGCTGTGTTTGTGTCTCTGTACAGTGCGGTCGTGCAAAGGATTCATGGGCTACGATGTATTACAGTGAGTTTCTTTTGCACGTTCAGGGTCCAAAATTCGCATGTGGTTTCCGACAGCCCTGGATCAGTGTGAGCAGGGAAGGTGTTCGTATTCAGAAGACGAAGATGCGACCATTGGAACAAGAAATTTATTGGCCTGGCGTTTCGGATTCTCACTCGAACCCATTATCAGGAACAGTCGCAGATAACGTGTTCAGGAAAGCGACAAATACGACGCAAATACTGAACTTCTATAGCAACCACCCGATCAGTCACAGACGCAGTTGCGTGAGGGCGCTATACCGGCGCGTTGAGACGCAGTGCTGTGAAATGGAAGACAATGTTGCTTAAATGAAATATCTTCGACGGATAATGAGAGCCAATAGCCACCCGCGCAACTTTGCCAACCAGTGCATACGAAAACGACACCAGAGACCAAATCCAACTGGCCCCAAATTTTGGCAGGCTCTTCCGTACGTGAAGAACGTCTCGGAAGCCGTCAGTCGTCTCCTCACTCCATTTGGAGTTGGGGTTGCATACAGGCCGGAAGCAACCATTAGGCGTCAAGTCATGAGGCCGAAAGACCCACTGCCACGATAGAAAACGTCTAGAGTCGTTTACCGGATCTGGTGTAGTTGCGGACAAAGCAACTACGTCGGAGAAACTGGGAGATTACTCTGTACGCTAATTGCCGAACAAGCAGCAGCAGCAATGAGGCGGGGAGACGGTAGCTCTCAGGTGGCGGCACATTCGACGATACCCGGCCATCTTTTCAAATTAGAAGAGGCCGAAATCCTCGCAAGGGGTGACGACAGCGTGAGCCGCGAGCTGCTCGAGTAATGCTTCTCAGACCCGCAATCCATCAACAAGCGCAATGACCTCCCGGTGCCATATTCCGTGCTGAGATTTTCTCTGGGCAGGGGAATCAGTCACGTAAGGAGGGCGCGGGCGAACGATTATTCCAGTGACAGTAAGCCATTTTGCCGAGCAATCGTCACACCAGCATCCAGCACGGATGACGAAATCACGGCCATTAACGACTCGGACTCGGACTGACAAGCCACTACCGCATCAATTACGACCCCAGTGTTGATTGAGAGAGCTGTTAATTACAGTGCGCGTATGATCCCACAGCCGCCACGTGCTATAACTACTGCACTCCTTGTGCCACCATCACCTTTACTTGCGACTGTCTCTGATGATGGATTTGAGTAAGAACCCGAAACGTCAGGCCAATAAATTTCTTGTTCCAGTGGTCGTATCTTCGTCTTCTGAACTGCTACCTGGAACTCGCCTGTTCGCTTCTGTCAGCGGTGTTCGTATTGTCAGTTGATCGGAGTCCAAACACTAGTTCAACGTCCGCAATCTGATGGATCCGCAAGTGACCAACCAGAGCAAACCCGTTTGCCGTTTCCATGACCTGAATGTCGGGTATCCTCTCCTCCCATTCAAACTTAGTTGTGATTGGAGGTAACTAAGATAAAGGTTATTTGGTTTCTGGGCATTCGTACTTGGCTCTCGTGCGCTATCCTCCTACACGCCCCTTAAAAAAGAGTCTTACATCCTCAGTTTCATGTTGGGGAGGTTGCCGCAGCGACTTTAAAAACGATGCTGCTAATAAGTGAATGTATGGTTGTCTTTGCAGTTGCGACTGGCAAATGCGTTGTAGATTCTGATATTTCCTGAGTTTGTGCTCCAAACATTCGCGAATTTATCTACGGCTGTGAGATACGTTATATTGGCACATTGTACCCGGGAGCCGTTTCACTTTTAGCTGGTGCCGATTAACAGACCATCACTGTTCTCCCCATATTAATGATCAGTCCTAAGTCTCAGTAGTCAGATTCAAAGAGTTTCGTGCTTCATTGAACGTCGGTATCTGCCGTAGCTTTCAGCACTTCGTCATCCTTGAATAAAGGTTACCGGACAATGACGATGGACGCCCTTGTCGTCATCCGAATACGTCGGATGTTAAGTAGTTATTCTTCGGTTCGGCATTTGATGTTGATTTCAGGCTCTCCACGCTGAAGTCATCAATCAATATGACGAAAATCATGAGGCTAAATGAGACAGAAACAAATACATAAATCTACGTCATAAATCTAAATCTCACTACAAACGCTTTCGTACTGACCCAGTGTCAGTGAATGTGCAATCGGCCCATCTCCCAACTATCTGGCCATTTGCATATGCCGTTCTGTAAATCTGAATTCTAACATTATTTTGAAGGTTCCATGGCTGTTTATTATATCGATTAATGTTGTGGAAATCCCCATAGCTATATTCAGAAGAAAAAGTGACGAGCGAACGTTGTTTTCGATAACTTCTCGTCAGTTATATGGGACGGGATACAGTAAGTGAAAAAAATCGATAAAACCTTCAAATTTTAGGTTAACAGAAGGGTAACATTTGGTTTTGAAAAAGTTTCTGATTATGACAATTTTGAAGACCGTGAAACGTCCATTCATAAAATATCGTTCCTCTACATTACCTAAATTTGCACGTTAAGTTTAGAATATGGCTCCAATCCATTACTAAATTTTACGAACCTCATACAGTCTTCTTGGAATAGACTATAGAAATGTATGACTTTCCGTACACGGGAAATATAGAGCTAGTAGTTTGGAAACCCCGAATGCATGTGCAACGGCAGGTCGGGATCAAATTTATTTGCGAATTGAAAAGTTTTTTAAAACCCAATTACACCCTTCTTTCAAGTATGAAATTTGAAGAAGACGTAATTTTCCACTAAATAAGTAAAAGGATGAATATTTCTACTCGTTTTTTTCTGTAAAATATATTTATGAAGGCATTGAAAATCGATGAAAAAACTCATACTACATAAGTACTGTAGGTGGGCTAACTCATGAAATGTCAACCGAAATTCCGAAATTCGTCTTAATTTCGGGAAGATTAATTAAGCAGATTTGGATAACTAATCATCAAGCAGCATAATCGTATAATCGTAATAATTCAGTTACCTCAGGACGACGGCTTTTGAAAGAACTTCTTTTCGGTAGCATGCAAAAGCTATACGTCGTAAAAGATGACTACGTAAGTAGCATACATTTTTTCCACTGACTTTCGATGCCCTTAAAAATTAAATTATATTTCATGGAAACCATGCACAAAAATATTCATTTTTTCGCTCATTCGGCAGAAAATTACGTTAGCTTCCAATTCTTTTACTCGATGAAAGGGAAAAATTTGGCTTTCGAGAAGTTTCTAATTGTGAAACTTTTTAATACCCTGAAATGCGCGCTCATGAAACACCGTGTCTCTGCATTTACGAATGTGGCTCGTAAAGTTAACAACATGGTTCAAATTTACTGCTGAATTTTATGAATCCCATATGGAGTCCAGTTAAAACCGTAGAAAATACGTACGGTTTTCCGTACGTGGAAAATATATGCTTTTTAGTTTGGAAACCCTGAACGTGAGTGTAACGGCAGGTTGGGTTCGAAATTATTCGGAAATTGGAAAAGTTTTGAAACCCGAATATACCATTCCTTCGAGTATAAAATTAGAAGAAGACGTAATTTTCTGCCGAATTAGCGAAAAAATGAGTACTTCTATGCATGTTTTCCATGAAATATAATTGAATTGTTAACGGCATCGAAAATAAGTGAGAAGAATGCAAACTAATTAAGTTGTCATTTTTTACTGCGTATAGCTTTTGCATGCGTCCGAAAAAAGTTCGTCCAAAAGCCGGCATCCTGTGGTAACTGGATTGTTATAGAATTATGCTGTAGTTCTACAACTCTGCTCAATTAATCTTTTCGAAACGAAAACGCATTTCGGAATTTCGGTTGACATTTCATGAGTTAGCCCACCTACTGTAGTCATTTTTTAACGGAGTGTAGTTTTTGCAGGAGGCCGGAAAGAATTTCGTTCAAAAACTGGCATCCTGTAGTAAATGAACTAGCTTGAGATTATGCTGCTAGTTGATTAGTATTACAACCCTACACATGTACCCTTTTCGGGCGGAAAACGCATTTCATAATTTCGGTCAACATTTCACTAGTTAGCACATCTGCTGTACCTTTGATCGGCCTCTAGCGATATTTAAGTCGTTTATTTGGCTACCTATTTTGTTTGAGTAGGTGGGTGTTTGTCCATCCCAGGGGATAAAGTGCTCCCTCATGAAGTCCGCCAGTAATGTGGACAAACACCATGGGGACAGAATTTGCGCAAAGAAAAACTTAGCAAAAAAGGCACGCGGACGTTCTGGAATGCACAAATGGCGTTGTGTATATACCAGTTCAAGTGCCTTGGCTCTCACCTCCGATTTGATGAATAAAAGCGATATGAATTATAAAATTTCCCTGGCGCGACAGATAACGTCCGACTTCAGACCGCATCATAGCCCTCGGTCTGGAGTGGGCGACAGTGACGTTCGTGTTGATCAGGGTTTGGTTTAAAGAAAGACCTTTTCATTTATGCGATTGCACCTTCGCGGAATGCAGAAATAATATGAAGTTTAAGATTAAGGCAAGGGCTGTCTTATTTTTATGTATAAGTGGAAGTTAGACATCAGGACAACGTTTTGCCTCTCTCCTTCTCTTTGTGTTGTACAGTTACGGAAATGGCTAGTTTTTAGGTTAAGCTTGTGTCTGACTCTCGGCGAATGGTGGAAACGAGGTTTAGAGTTAACTTAAACTCAGTTTTGGTTTTGGCTTACAACTAGAGTTATACGTAGTCTTGGGGTAGAGGGTAGCTTTACAGATCGATACCGCTATTAAATTAGTGTCAGGAAAAGGATTTAGTTTATGTCCACGACTGTGGTGAGGGTTCGTTTTGAGTTCAGGTGTAGTTTTGGATGAAGTTTAGTATTGAGATTTAGACTAGGTTTGATATTGATTTCACTTACAGGGCTAGACATTAAGCAAAGAGTCTAGATTATAGGTAAGATAACATTCTTTTTTAACCTCAGATTTAAGCTTTTTATGAATTATTATGATTAGTGATTGCTGATGCTCGTGTCTTATTTTATCACATTTATTCTTTTGTCCTCCACCTTTATACGCTCTTGTCTCAATTTCCTTGTAAACAGTACTAACAGTGCGCACACGATCGGCGTACATTTAGGTCTTCGAAATTATCGACCAATGGGTGATCCCAATATAAATAATGGAATAATCACTCAACCTCCTACAACGTGCAATAACGCAATTTTATTTCCACTTCCAACCTCTATCAGACATGGAATCCCTGTGTAGACCGTGTTTATGGGGTGGTTAAAGGTTCATCAGACCAGCTAGACTGTGACATTGATGGTGGCCACCACTTTGTGGAGATTATAGAAAGTCCTGAAAAGAGCAGCTTGGGACGAGCACGAATGTTGCACGCGTAAAAGGAGAAATTCTCACCGCGCCGGACACCGCGGCCGCGCGACATTTTTGTCGCCTTGATTTTGCCACACGACCACAACATAGTCTCTCCTGTGGATAGTAAGGCTAGGTGAGTGCATCCTAATTATAAACAGATTCATGTGCAAGTTACAAATGCGCACATGTCACCAGCGCCATTCCAACTATCGTGTAGATATGTACGTTAGTCCACGTAGACATTAGGCAACGCGGACGCGGATACATCATTCATCCCGAAGGCCAGTGACAGGTCACATCATGGCAAGCGACCCTGACGACAATTAGTGCTGGCACAAGGGCTAGAGGCGTTTATTGGCAGACGGATCAGCTGGAGTAAAATGACAACTTACCTGGTCGTCAGAGGTTACGTTTAGTACGGAGGGGTTGAAATAACTCACGTATGCTTAACTTTTCACATTAATAGTAGTGAAAACGTGATTCCCGGGTGGCATATCAGAAGAAGAAGAGGCGTTCAGCGGGAGAGGTTTATCGGAAGTCTGGCATTTCCAGTAGTTACTTCGTCTACCCATCTTTAGAGACTAGGATGTGATGCGCACAGGTCTCCTCATATGACACACTTTGTTTGATGTGTGGCTGCATCTGACCCGCATGTCACCGTGACCTGAATCGTCCCCCCCGCCCTTGTCGGCAGCGGAGATAGTAGGCGGCCCCGACTGTTCCGCGCCGTGACTGTCCCCCGTCAAGAAGGTTCGAAAAGGCAGATAGGGGGGGGGAGGCTATTTGATGTGGCGGTTGACAGAGCAGTCGGTGAACATCCAGGCCTCTTGCATCTGCCTTGCCGTATGACCATCGCCCTGACCCACAATCTCAACGACGTCAAAGTTGAAGATGTGCACCAGATGTGCGGCCTGGGTTGTTACCTCCGACTTTGGGTACAATCTTCGCACGACCATCGGTCGGTTTCCCCAATGTAGTTGCAACTACGGCAGCTGAACTGAGGACGGTGGACGACGGCTGGCATCTCCCGCTTACAAATAAGCTCCTTTGGCTGCATCACCTGTCGTCGGACTGTTGAGTTAGGCATGTGAGCAACTTCTATTCCGAGTGTCCGAGGCATCTAGCTACGGCCGAAGGTTACAACCCAGGCCGCACATATGGGGCAACTACATTGGGGAAATCGACCGATGGTCGTGCGAAGGTTGGACCCAAAGTCGGAGGTAGCAACTCAGGCCGCACATATTTGGCATATCTTCAACTTTGACGTCGTTGAGATTGTGGGCCGGGGCGATGATCATACGGCAAGGCAGATGCAAGTGGCCTCGATGTCCACCAACTGCTCTGTCAACCGCCACATTAGTCTTCCTCCCCCCTATCTGCCTTTTGCAAACCTTCTTGACAGGGGCAGTCGGGGCCGTCGGCTATTTCCGCCGCCGACGAGGGCGGGGGGACGATTCAGGTCACGGTGACATGCGGGTCAGATGCAACCACACAGGCGGCATTGGCGGGCCGCACATCAAAGAAAGTGTGTCATATAAGGAGAGCTGTGCGCACCACTTCCTAGTCTCTGAAAACGTCTGGAAACGTCAGACCTCTGATAAACTTCTCCCACTGAGCGCCCTCTCGTCTTTTGCTTAAATTTCCGTTCCAGCACTTTCAGCATACTTTGCATCTTTGGCGTCTTAATGCTGTAGCATGTTTGGGGAAGGAAATCCTTTTTGGCATAGTCATGATTCCTGGACGCACCTAATCCTAACGCACAGGCAGTTGCCTTCCAGACTTCGAAAAAAAATCGGGTGGGCCATTGCTTGTTGAACTTCAATTATGTAGGCGGCATGGTTGAGGGATTCGAGGGTGACCATCTTCCCCGACATTTTCAGCAGGGCAGTTTAAGTTTCCGTAAGATCTAAAACAATGAAGTTTGATGTGTGCTTCTAAACATCTCATTTATATGGATGACTTTTCAGGCCTAAAAACAGCTGGAGACAAACATGAGTAATCATAATTTTTAACTTCTTTAATATACATACCCTCTATCTGTCAGTTCACTGTGGTCTGCCAGCTCCAAATAACAGGCCATTTAAGCTGTAGTTTTACGTTATAAACTGCATTAACTCCATTAAGTCAAAGCCTGAAGACTCTTAAATTGGATTCCGTTGACCCACAAACATTTATCTCAATGCTGTGGCGCGTTGGACATATCGGCATTACTGGTTGCCTATCTAGCAAGACAGTTACCACCCTACTGCTTGATAATGTAGGTCGGAAGAGTGACACCAGTCGCCGGATAAAAAAATGCTAACACACGGACAATTTTTCTGTGCTTACCCATGTCGTTATCATAGGCCGGGCCCTCAGGCGGCTTTGGACTTGCCTTATTACCGGTTTACACTATTGTTTTTGTGTGCACAGGGTCAAATTCCTGACTTAACTCTAGGGTTTGTACTGTGACATGCGCTAGCCGGTCACTCAATTCGCCCTGCTTATTTCAAATGAGCTTATGCGCTGCTCTGAAAATCCTCCTTCGAACATCCCTTCTTCACGGGAACTTCTAATACCTGCTTCGTCTCTCCTCTACAAAATGATCTGCAAGTCAGTAGTCACACAATTTGGTCGCGTTTGAATGCCCACAATGTTCCGTTTAATCCCTGATCCAGGGAATGCACGTAAAGTGCGTGACCGATCTCATGAAATTTTGGCCGAAATTTTGGAATGCGTGATTGATTTAGAAGGATTACTTAGGTGGACTTGTAATACTGATTAGAATGCAGCATAATCCTATAGCATTTCAGACTCACCAGGATGTCGGCTTTTGAATGCACTTCTCTTTGATCGCCTGCAAAAACCACACCTGGTAAAAAATGACTACTTAAGTAGCATGCATTTATCCTATTAATTTTCGGTGGTCCTATAAATGCAAGTACATTTTATAGAAAATATGTACAAAAATATGCTTTCTTTTACACCTTTGGTGGAAACTCACATTACCTTCATATTTTACACCCGATGAAAGTGTATATTTAGGTTTAGAAAAAAGCTTCTCAATTCCCGAATAATTTTGAGCCTGATCTACCATTTCATTAGCGTTTAACTATTTCAGACTGCAAGGTGCATCCTTTCCGCAGAAGGTAAATCACATATTCCTTTATGTTTTCAAGAAGATACTATATAGAGTTCATAAAGTTTTGCGATGGATCCGGATTGTGTTGTACATTTTTTGAGGAGCCTTGGTAAACGGAAATGTACAGTCCTGTATGCATGGACATCGCACTATCTTAGAAATTCCATAATAAGAAACATTTTGAAAACCTAAATATAAACTTTCTTTGGGCATAAAATATGAAGATAATGTGAATAAAAGAAAGCATATTTTTGCACGTTTCCTATAAAAAGTATCGGAATTTATAAGACCACCGAAAATCAATTTGAAAAATGCGTGCTACATAAGTAGTCATTTTTTACTGAGTGTGGTTTCTGCAGGAGATCGAAAAGAAGTGCATTCAAAAGCCGACATCCTGGTGAGTTTGCAATGCTATAGGACTATGCTGAAGGCTAATCAGTATTACAAGTCCACCTAAGTAATCCTTCCAAATCGAACACGCATTCCAGAATTTCGGCCAGCATTTCCTGAGATCGGTCACGCACTGTACATGCGTGCAGTTAAGTCTTCACAGCATATGCTTGTCCTCTAACGGGACTGTTAACACTGGTTAAATACGGTACCACATAATCAAGCCCGCGCACAGTGCTTGCCGTTAGTCTCTGGTCGTCATTAACCGTAGTTAAGCTCACCGACATGGAGACGGACAACATGACACTGGCGATAACAGCGGAGGTGAAATACAATAGCCCTATTTTTTACGCGCCGCCGTGTTGTACGTAGCTGTATATGGATTCCAGAAAAGACTGCAGTTGTTAAAGTAGCATTTGCATAATTTGAGACTTTCTGTTCATCTTTGTGCAACCCGAACGTTTTGAGGGCAGAAGAATTCAGAAACGACGTAACGGCTGAGCCTATAGACCTTGAATAAAATGATCTACTCCAAGATCGTGATTTGTTTCTGAGGGAATTAAAAAGCGACAATTCCTAAATTGCAGTATCTACCAGAAAACAAACAGAGAACGCTGGGGGACCCAATAACGAGCCGAACCCCTCGCAGCTGCGCCACACAGCAGCAGAATATCGGCAAAACACGCGTGTATGGGCCTTTGGTTAGTATCTGTGCTGTTAGTATAGTATCACCTTATCCTAAAGGAACATTTAACCCATTTTTCTTAAGATCATAAATACTATGAAGTAGAAAACACTGTATAATTTGTACCTCATCTGGTCTCACAGTCGAGACCTGCGGTCTGACCATCGATGCAGCACTGACGGGAAAGTCTGTGAACGCAGTCCAAGCACATTGTCCAAGCCCACAGCGTTAAGACACCTTGAGTGCAAACGGGTATAATCTTAGTGGTGATCTTCTTTTCTATCCATTCCAGCTACTTTTGTCACCAACGAGTTTTCAGGCAGTTTCCAATCTAGCTAAGATGCCGCCTGGACCATGAAACAAGCACAGCAAAGTACTCATGGACAGTTTGCATTAACAAGTGTTTACAATATCGTCCGTTTTGTAACAACTTAAACAAGATTGGGGAAGATGAGGTCAAGAGTTCATGGCAATTACACTGTATCTTCGGACCGTAGCCTGCTTCAGCTGCTTCACAAGTTTGGATCGGCCGTTGAAAATCTTGTACTTCACGTATCTCCAAAGGAGAAACCAAGTGGAATAAGATCTAGAGGCTCAGGTGGCCACCCTACAGGTCCATCCTGGTCATTCCATCGGCCACTGCAGCACGGCCATTTTATGGAGGGGCTCCCTCATTTTGAAATCACATTTGTTGATGTACTCCAGGATACCACTGGTTGTTCCAAAAGCTGACAATTGGACTGTCCTAAACAGGGCAAAAATGAGTTGTTCGCGAGGGCAGTCTCAACTGTTTCTAAAGAATAATAGCCAGATTAATTTGCTTCCCACCATAGCAACCTAAGCAATGACCTTCCGGTCAGTTTACCTTCGACTCGGAACAAAATTTGGCTTTTGATCATTCGGTTTAGACGGATTATGGCTTTAACAGGGGTGGGTCTCCTAAATTCCATTTACTGGCATAAATGCTGAAAAGAATTTCTCTCAGAGGTTCGAAGCATCCAGCCGAATCCTCTGCAATCCAGCATCACGGTCCTGCGCAATCCTTAAATCCTCTTGTTAGTGACAAGTCCTTTCAGGGCGACTTTTCTTCATACCCCAAACCGTCCTTATCGTCATTATACAAGATCAGAACGGGGCCGTGTTGAAGCCAGTTACAGTAGGTGGGCTAACTTATGAAATTTCAACCGAAATTCCGAAATGCTATTTCGTTTAGAAAAAATTAGTTAAGTAGGGTTGTAAATCTAATCAGCCTGCAACATAATTCTATAATATTTCGGTTACCTCAGGATGCCGGCTTTCGAATGAACTTCGGCTGCATGCAAAACCCACATTCTGTGAAAAATGGCTACTTACGTAGTATGTACTTTTCTCATTGATTTTCGAAGCCTCGAAAAGTCCAGTTATATTTCATGGAAAACATGCATAAAAATATACATTAGTTAGCTCATTCGGTAGACAATGACGTCTTCTCCTAATTTTATGCTCGAAGGAAGGAGAGAATTCGGTTTTCAAAAACTTTTCCAATTCCCGAATACTTTTGAACCCGCTCTACCGTTGCACTTGGATTCAGGGTTTCTAAATTACAAGCCGTTTATTTTCCGCGTACGGAAATCCACACATTTCTCTACGGTAATAAAGGACGACCATATAGGGTTCATAAAATTTAGCAGTAGATTTGATCCATATTGTTAACTTTACAAGCCACATTGGTAAATGCGGTGACATGACGATTTATGAACGGTCATTTCACGGTATTTAAAAGTCCCGCAACTAGAAACTGTTTTAAAACCGAAATATGTCCCTCCTTGAAGTATAACTTTAAAAGAATACGTAATTATTTACCGAATGAGTAAAATAATGAATATGTTTATGCATGTTTTTCATGAAGTATAATTGGAATTTTAAGGGCTTTGAAAATCAATGAGGAAAATTCACGCTACATAAGTAGTCATTTTTTACGGAGTGTAGTTTTTACATGCAGCCGAAAGGAATTTCATTCGAAAGTCGGCATCCTGAGGTAACAGAAATATAATAGAATTATGTTGCAGGTTGACTACTTTTACAACCCTACTTAATTAATCTTTTCGAAACGAAAACGCATTTCGGAATTTCGGTTAACATTTCGTGAGTTAGCCACCTATTATATTTGCTGACCGGGTTTCATTGAGTCCTCGTGAAGCCATTACTATTGCCGAAAGTGCACGTAGCACGTTGTAGATGGGGACAGACGTCATGTCATCCATTGCGCCAATGTCGTCATCAGTTTGCTGACAGGCTCGAAAAAAGTCATTGGTGCATAACAGTGGGAAGATGATGTGACGCTTGTAACAAGGTACCCATACATACAATTTCCTCTTACTCCTTACTCCAACTAGCATAACACTACAATTCGGTTGTCAAAAGACGAGATAACACACTACGAGGGTCAAACTAGAATGGACTTATCCTAATTTATGGAAACCCTCCGGGGTCCGTGATACGAAAGATGATTTGGTTCCGATAGAGGGTGAAGTCTAGCCAGGCTTTAATTCCTCACCTAAATCATTAGATATTTTTTCAATATATAAGGACGCGCTTTTTGGCGTGATATGTGCAACTGCCGACTGATGGAGAAGCATTTCCCAACCCTTCCCAACGTGGTATTTAGAACGCTCTCATTTATGTCCTGTCTTGCCACTGAAACACGGTGGATGTGGAAGGAGAGAGTGACACAGATGCTTCAATAAGATGAATTCATAAGTGAAGAAGAATAGTCGAGCAGCGGAACACTTCGTTTATTGTCCTGAGCTTTCAGACTCGTACAGTAGTCCATCGTCAGTGGTAGTGGCAGCAACAGAACAAGCGACAGTTATAAAGCATGTGGGCCAATCATCTACAGACGACGCAAGACTGGAGGTGACTACGCAGGGCTCCGTATGCCGGCGCCAGATCGATAAATCGATTAGCCAAGTTCTCATCCGAGGCCCAGGCTTCAATCATTTCTCGGCCTGTTTGGTTTCCGGCGTGGGCGACTATTTTGGTGGCTGCGAAGTTAAACTCGTGACCCATTTCGCAGGTGTGGACGACCACTTGTGATAATGCACCGCCTCGTCGCACAGCCAGCTTGCGCTCGTGTATGCGCCATCCGAGCATGCGCCCAGTCTGTCCTGTGTAGTTACAAGGACAATTTTGACACGAAATGCGGTATACTACTACCGATTGCTCGCCTAGATCGCAGTTGGTAGCCAGGAATGGAGAATCGGACGGCGACCTTAACCCTAATCCTAATCTTAACCCTAACCTCAACCTTAAACGTTAACCGTTAACCTTAACGGCAACCCTAACCTTAACCCTAACCGAAATCGTAAACGTAACCGTAGCTCTTAGAGACAGCCGTAACTGGAAAACCTAGCCGTAATACTGAAACCTAATCGTACGCTCAAACCCTAACCGTAACCCGAAAACCTAAGCTTAAAGGCATAACCCTAACCCGAAAATCGGAAACTATTAACCGGTACCCTAATCCTTACCTCAAACGTAAAACGGAAGCCAAATGGGTCAGATCTGATTATGGAACCCCACAAAATAGCCCAGTAAACAAACCCCCCCGCCACCTGTAATCCGGGGCCTGGCTACCAACTGCGATCTAGCCGATGGCTCTTCAGGCTTTAACCGGTCTTTGATTTTCATGACACTACTGCGCATGGTGGCTTTGGGGCGGTGTGCAATTCCAACACCTAACTCCACAGCAATGCTCTCGGTAGCTTCTGCAACGCCCTTGATGTATGGCACAGAATGTTATATTGTTGGTGGCGTTAATTTTTGAGTCCTCTGGAGTCGACCGCGAGGCAGCGGCTTATGAATGCCCTCGGATAGCCATTTTGCACAAATTGGTCGCGGAGATAACGGGCCTCACGTGCTCTTTTCTCCGGTTTGCTGCAATGCGTTTGGATCCGTTTGAAGAGCCTCTTCATTCAGCTTCGTTTGTGAGCCATCGGATGGCTGATGTGAAAAATGAGAAGCCGTGTGGGTAGTGGGGGTGACTGGCTGAGCGCTGGTCATGCGATTGGACGGATTAGGAGAGGATTAGGAGGACACATAATCACAGGGGCTCACGGGTCGTCCGACTCGCGTGAGGTGATGAAAGTTTGTGGGGGCAGCCGGGAGTCATTTCAGTTGGACCGGAGGTGTCCCAGATCGAGCCGGCGGGGGTGGCAGTGTGTCAACAGCTGTCGCGGCCGTCGTTCGTCAAAACGGAGCCGGAGAAAAGGGGGACTGGAGCGGCTGCAACAAGCGCATTTTGTAATAATGGCGGACATATAAAGTAACAGCTCTAGAAAGACGGGTTCGTTACAAACATTCGCTTGGTTCCAGTAGGGCTTGATATATCGAGGGATTACTTACTAGGCTCATCAGCATGACTAGTAATGTCGCACGGATTGAGGACTCGGCTTTTGGTGATCAGGGCACTATCTTATTACACACAAGCGTCCTGTGATGGGCGTGGTGGCTGCCAAATGCAGCAATGGAATCCTACAAGTAATGAACCGCAGGCGAGCCCGTCACTTCCACATTCTGTTGCTTCTCGTGATGAGCTTGAGAGTAAATGCCAGATGTCAGACGAATGAAGTCCTTGTTACGACGATCGCTCCTTCTCCTACTTGCTGGGATTCACCCCTTCCATTATAAGATCAGTTTATTTGGCGCGTCGTACTCCGATTGGCTTTATGATGGGTATGTTTTGCTTTTCGAGCAGCGTCGGGTAATGTGCAATTTCGGTTTCTACGCAGGTACAGTAGAGCTACTATAGCATGAATCGTTAAATGAAACTTTGGGATTTTTTGAGCAGAAAGAAACACTGAAGTAGGATTGTGAGATTAAATTATCGTACAAAATAACAACAAGATATTTTAGTGAAATCAGGATGCGAACTGTCGAACGAACCTGTTTTCGTCCGCCTGCAAAACTACACTCCGTAAAGAATGACTGCCTAGGTAACAGGAATTTGCCCCGCTACTTTTAGATGCCCTTATAAATTCGGATATATTTTATAGAAAATATGCAAAAAATATTATTTTCTGCATATATTTATCCTCAAGTTACTTTTCTTTTAATGTTACGCTGGAGAATAGGTACCTTTCGGCTTAAAAACTTTTTCAATTCACAAATAATTTTGAGCCCCACCCCCCGTTACACTTGCGTTCATGGTTCCAAGAATGCAACTTGCATATTTTCCCTGTAAGTAAAAACATACTTTCCTATATCTTGTTAAGACGATTCCATATAGGCCTCATAAAATGTAACAATGAATGTTGACCGCGTTGAATACTTTGTAAACAGCATCAATAAATATACAGGTAAGTTGTTTCATGGGTAGGCCTTTTAAGGTCTTAAAAATCTCATGACTAAGAAATTTTCTAAAACCGAAAAATACACTTATTTCGAGTATATAATGTCACGAAGACGTAACTTTCTATCAAGCGAGTACATGAAAAATATTTTTATGCATGTTTTCTGTGAAATATATTTAAATATATGAAGAAATCGAAAAGTCAGTATAGAAGTACATACAAATCGTGTTGCCTTGCCGAACACAGTTTTTTTCTAGTGCCCGATAGGAAGCCTCTTTAATAGCAGGCATCCCGGTGCTGCATGATGATTAATGCTACCACCCTAATAAAGTAATCATTTTTAGTCGAAAACACATTGTAGGCAAACATTTCATGAGATGACGTAGTAAAGCATCTCAGGTCCCACAAACCTGGGGTTGGGTATGGCTAACTGACAGCAGCTGATAGGTCGAAAGAGCCATTTCACTCTCTCCCGTATCACTCAGTACCTCTTTTCTACATATAATTGCAGTCACCATGCTTTTGCCTACGATGCTGCTAGACTGAGTTTCAAGGCGCAATGGGACGAGCACATACAGTAACCCGGTCGATAAACGTCCTCCCCGCGATAAAATGCAGGTTTCATTAGTGCCTTCAGCAAACGCGGAATTGGTAACATTACAACACACAGGCGAAGAATTTTGGAGCTGCTTTACTTCCACTAGGGGGGAAACAGTGTTTTGGGATGGAATAACACAACAAGCCTGTGAACAGACAGCGATGCGTGCGGGGGTAGTAGAGCTTACATTTCGTAAGTTGTATCTTTCATGGATGGACGATTGTATACGGATGTCATGACATAAAGTGTCATTAAACTCAGATGACGCCAAGCCTCCTCACATGCTCTGTCAGAAGGTGTCCGTCGACGCGAAGACCCTTATCCAACATAAACTGTTGCCTTTCTGTTTTGACATGAGAAAAAGAGCCGCCTGCAATACGGATGGCTTTGAACCAACTACCTGTGAAATTAAGGTTAGGTTCAAGGTTACAGTTAGGGTTAGGTGAAGGGTTCGGTTCAAGGTTAGATTTAGAAACATTGGTAAAGTAAGTCAGGATCAACTGTGGGGTGTAGTTAGGGGTTAGTGTAAAAGGCAGAGTTATGATTAAGAGTAGGGTTAGAGTTAAGACTAAGCCATTATTTAGTTTTATACCAGGGTTATTGTTGGGGTTAAAACACGGAAATATTTTGCCCCTCCAGAATTATGCGCAGGTACACCTTTATTACTTGCGTGGCGTTCCTATTCGCATCTCCTGTTTAAGGGGCTATACATACAGTAGGTGGGCCAACTCATGAAATGTCAATTGAAATTCCGAAATGCGCTTTCGTTTCGAAAAGATTAATTAGGTAGGGTTTTAAACTAGTTAGCCTACAACACAACTCTATAATAATTCAGTTACCTTAGGATGCCAGCTTTCTAACAAAATTCCCCCTAGCTGCATACAGTAACTAAACTCTGCAAAACATTACTACATGCGTGGCATGTATGTTTCTCGTTGATTTTTGATGCGCCTAAAAATTCAATTATATTTCATGGAAAGCATGCATAACAATATCCATTCTTTCACTAATTCGGTAGAAAATTACGTCTTCCAATTTGATACTCAAACGAAGTGTAATAATTGGTTTACGAAAACTTTTATAATTCCCGAATAATTTTGAACCCGACCTGCCGTCACACTTGCATTCAGGCTTTTAAAACTATAAGCCATCTATTTTCCACGAACGGAAAACCACACATTTCTCCACAGTATTAAGAGGAGACTATAGGGGTTCATAAAGTTCAGTATTGGACTTGACCGATACTGTTGACTTTACAAGCAGCATTGGTAAATGCAGAAACATGACGTTTTATAAACGGCCATTTCACGGCATGAAAAAGTCGCGCAATTAGAAATTTTTTAAAACCGCATTATATCCCTCCTTCGAGTATAAAATTGGAAGATTTAATTTTCTACTGAATGAGTAAAAGAATTAATATTGTTATGCATGTCTTCCCTGAAGTGTAATTGGACTTTTCGGGACATCGAACATTAAAGAGGAAATGCGTGCTACTTAAGTAGTCATTTTTACAAAATATAATTTTTGCACACAGCCAGACGGAAGTTCGTTCGGAAGCCGGTATCCTGAGGTAACTGAATTATTATAGAATTGTACCGATGCCTGATTATTTTTACAACCCTTCTTAAGTAACTTTTTCGAAGCGAAAATGCATTTCGGAATTTCATTTGATATTTCATTAGTTAGCCCACCTACTGTAAGTCAGTCCCACCCTGGTTAGATCACCCATCATGCCAAGTGTTCATGTAGTCAAACTGGATGAACTGAGGAAACTCAAAGCTATCATTTGGTCATCAGACAAGCGACGTCCGATCGTCGTATTGAAGGTAAAAGACTGCCCCTAGGGAACCATAGGCTAATTAAAATATCGCCAATCCCATGCGCCATGTAAATTCGAACTCTCAAAACTACTTCACCAGATGGTAAAGTGGCGTTGTAAGCTATGCTAAGCGTGGGGTACAATATTGCTGACCAATCGAAGTATGGCTAAAAGTCCGTGAACATCACTATTCATATTTTCACGAGAAGGATCCCATGACCATTGCATCACTCAAAGACACTGGTAAAGTTGTTTGGTCCTTGCCTTACTTGCAAAGTGGGAAGTTTTCCGCCAAACTTCTATGACGCCGTAACGCTGTGTCACAGCGTTCGTTGTCGCCAGTACCAAGCTGACGGTCGGACAGAATGGGATCGAGTGAGATCATAACCACAACAGTGAGGGTCAAACGCTCACTTGACATGCATATATATATACTGCTATTGATGTGTACTACTGTTTCTAAGAGCGAATTTGCAACCTCAGACGGATACAATTCTTGTTCCTGCAGTTGAATCTATTTCTTCATACATGTCCAAGACTTTTTTAAGTTTACACATTATTGCACATGAGGTGGCCGATCGCATTTCCAAAGGAATCCGTTGTCCAGTAACTAACAAATGGTCCTCGCCTATAAAGTCGTCAGTTGAAAGTCTCGTTTAACGAACCTGGGGGATTCAGTCATTTGAAGTTTATTGCTGTTGGGTTAAACTAGTGAGCCATGCGGATTTCTGGGTCTGACAAATGGACATATTTTCAACCAAGCGGAAGCCGAAAATTAAGTGCAGACAAGCACGCAAAACACCATTTGGACTCAGAAAGGGAGACTTTCATCAAGGAGGCAATGGGACGGATTTTAACAGTCTCATAGAAGAGTATCATTTCTAATGACTTCTTTCCTTTTCTGGCAGCCTACAACACTTGTATGAGTGTTTTCTTCGCCTGTGGGGATCAGAGAACATGGAATAATTTTTTTTAATCAAAAACTTTAATTCGTTTGTTTTCAATTGCCGTAAGTTCTGTTCTGTGAACTCTTCCCGTCCATGCCCGAGTGTCACAATCGATGCAGTAAATATTTATGAACGGTTAAAACGTCCTAATTACGTTCTTATTTATTCCACACTTAGGATCATTTCGCTCGTCGAACAGAGAGTGAATCTGCTGATCGTCGGACTTCTTGTCATGTGCACGGTCGCGCTCGGTGATGTCCTACGCTTTATTCCCATCGCAGCCCTCTATGGCATGTTCCTGTTCGTCGGCATGTCTGGCCTCCGTGGCCTTGACCTGACCAATAGCATCTACGCTTTGCTCAGCAGACGAAAGTACTGGGGACGCTGGGAGTTCCTCTCAAATCTTCCCAAACAACAGTTGGCGGTCTTCACGCTGATTCGGTTTTGCGAGCTCTCCCTGCTCATTACAATAATGATAATTGCGGAATTTAGCAGTGCAGGTTGGATTAGCTTCGCTTTTCCCCTGATAATTATAATCTCTGCTCTCATCCGCGAATTCATCCTGCCGCGGTGGCGTTGGCTGGCAGTGTACCTAGAAATCGTAAGATTTATTTATTGATTTTTAGATACTGCACGCCATTATTTACTTGATTTTGTATGGGTTTCATAAATTCAGGTCTATTTAGGAAGTCACTTACAGTATAATGTTGGAGAAAATTACTTCGTTTATCGTCGGGATAGACTTCAAAAAGCTGAGCTTGTTTAGACTTGACGTCAAAGTTCAAACTGATTCCGGTGATTAGACGCAAACCGAAATCCAAGTTTCCTTTATCGCAAATGACAACAGCAATTTAAATTGAACCTTGTTGATCTGCACTTCAGGCAAAAATGCCTTTATGCGACCGCAATGAAAACGGTAAAAGCAAAAGTTAGATTCATAGATATTTTGGCAGATTTTGAATAATTCATATTGACTCAACTGTGAAAAACTCGGCGCCTCGATGGGATTCGAACCCACGCAGTAAGGGGAAGGCTTTAGTACAGCCAACGCGCTAACCACTTGAGCTAGGAGGCTCCGCCGGACGACGCGAGTTTAATCACATTTGGGTCAAGTTACCCGCCCAACCTGCTGCAACGTCAGGAATCCGCCAAATCTGATAGAGTAAGCTGACTGCCCAGGCAAGATTTCCTTAGTAATTCACCTAGAATCCACCAGGTGACTACTAGGCTCACGTAATTCAAAGTCAAATTCCTAATGTCCCGTGTGCAGAGAAACAAAAACATGATTTATACAACAAATCTTTGTTTAGCTCACGTCATTCAACATAGCGATTATCATCTTGGAGCCTCACAGGACGTGAAGTCCGTCAAATATTTTTGATCTACACGACTCGATCACTTTCTGTTTTTTCGCACGGATCGTCGGCTTATTGGCTGCTATAAATTGTGCGGTTATATTCGTTATGCTTTTAGGCACGTGCCGTAGCAGCTCTAGAGGTCGCATCGTTTGCTGACGTTAAATTTAACTCAGAGTGGGCACCGGGTATGAGAATTAACTACCTTGGTCTGTACTGTAATTACACACATCCATTCTTACCTGTTATCAGGCCATTTTGGGGTTCGCCACAATACGCTGTTCACTGTTAAGCTCCCTTTTGGTTCTTGAAATTGAGATTTAAGTTTTAAAGGATATTGGCGGAATAAAACCAAACCCCCAGACCTATATGGCGTGGCAGTCGACTTTCCCGACTATATGCACTCCAATTCCTGCGAGGACCTACGAGGATGCAGAGCGGTGTTAAAAAGTCCGCGACATATGATGGAAGCAACGATAGGTAGCACGAGACAAAATGCTTGTAGGAACAGGTTTTACGTGCAAGTTTGATTGGGACTGAAGTGACCACCTCTGGTTTAATTATCATTAGACGTCAGTCATACCCCAATCACAGATCAGGAGTATCCGAAATATGAGTGCTGATTATCAGCCCAAATTGTCAGTGTTCAAACGGACCGTGGTCCAAATAGCAGGTTGACCTGTCCTGAATTGTGTGTACAGTTGACTAATGAGGACTAATTCGCCGGTCCGAAGCATTTAAACCTCACTTGCCCTAATTCTTCTTCTTCATTAAATGCTCTATGAGGAAATTTTAGGCGCCGCCAACACTTTGAAGTTCAGTAAAATGTACTATTTGGAGGAACTACGGATTCCCGCAGTTTTTTTGGTGGCAAGTCTGTCTCATGTGACCGTAAGTGAGAATAATTTCGTGCCACTTGACAGTGACATAGGAAGGTTTCATAGACGGGGGTAGGTTGAATTTCACATTTTTAGAATTGTGTTGGCTCCGAACAATTAGCTCTCTCATTACACTGTCACCGATCCGCCCTATTAGTCTTGCGCTCCCGAAATCAAATTCATAGTCTGTCTAGAGAGCGCCGACAGTGACTTTTATCGGGTCACTCTGGTGCCGCCAGATTTGCATCCTGTCAACAGTAGCTCGGCTCAAGTCCAGTCTGACCCGGGCGCCTCCAAGGGCAATTACGGACTGACCTCGTGACTTGTCTACTAGAATGGATTTTGTAAAAAAACGATACTGAAGCATTTTACCCAATCACCACGGTGAGTCTGACAAAAATTATTGGCTTCCTTCTTCTACCGAAAAGCGTAGGTGCACACCTCGGCCGGCTCTACGGTAAATATTTAATTTGATGTCACTGGTTCCCGAAACTTTCCTTGTTTCTGAGCACGTCGTTTGCCTGACAGTTCGACCATCGGTTTCGATGATGTCCACCGTGTGCCCCACAGTTGCAGCAGCAATGGGAGCAGGGACGGTGACTTACGCAGGGGTTTATAGTGCCGGTAGACTTGCGTAGCATCTACCTACACTCTCTCCTCCTCCCTCGCCCGAGCCCGGTGTCAAGACAGAGTCAAGAAGACCTTAGACGAGGGAGGCCGCAGGTAGATGGCTCGGACGGATCCTCACCTTGGCGTTCCACCACACCCCCTGGTCCACACAACAAATAACCAGGATTTCAACCAATCACAACAGGGATTTGGAGGCTGGCACGGCCGAAGCCGCACCTGGGCGTGCCGCCAACGCCTGGCTCGGATCCCACACTGTGATGGGAGTGCCATAAAGGTCACATTAAAAAGGAGCCATTGCAGCCTGACTCTCAGACCGCCTCCGGTCAAGGAGAAGGTCCAAGTTACCCCGTCAGTTGGCAACCTTCCAAGCCACAGCTTTTAGCTCACCGTGATAGCTTCAAGCGCGTCAGATTGTTTATAGTGACGAGAAAGTGCGCTGGGTCGTCGACCTCACTCTCCCTTCCCACTCCCACAGCTCAACCGCTGTCCGAGTCGGTCGTTTGCCTACTGGTGGTGATTTAGTCACCAAGAGAATCCTAGGACGTTTGCTTGAGTAGAAAGCATAAGGTGTGCAGACGACGGGACCTAATATCAACATCTGAATACCAAATGTGAATAAATTCTCGTAAAGGTTATTCAGGCCAGACGTTATAACTTTCATTTTCCTGTTACCTGTTGTCCTTTTGTGCATCAAACTACCATGCAAGAATTTTTTTTTAGCTGGACAGGCGCTGTATTCAGGTTGCTACGAGGAAGTCAACCGCTGCATCACTAGCCGCTCAAAGCAGGCGATGAGGTCGCTTCAAGCAATTCGAAAAACATATAATTTATTCAGACGGATTAAATTCGATTTTTGTATGCACTGAACTACGTTGCTCTGGACTCCTTTGCGTGCCAACGGTTTCCTCGATTAATTTCGGATACTGTTTCCTACACTTCGTCCATTCTGTAAATTCGAAAAAAAGGCTACTTCGATTGCTACCTATTTGCATAATTTTCAGTCCAGGACTTCTTCATATATTTATAAATAAGCTTTGCCAAACAGAAATAGGGAGGGATCTGGGTATTTTTCAGTTAGGAAAATCTGACTGCAGTGAGGCGAGGGAAAACAATTGCTTAGACTCAATTCCCAACACTAAGAACATCTGCTTCCACGTTTATACGTAGGCTGGAGGGAGGAAAGGACTGTTGACGTGTGGTCTTTCTAAATTTTCTCCACTCAACGGTGATCCTAAAGGAGTATCGTCATGGTGAAACAGTATTAGCTGAGACTTCAGTTTCCTGGGATAAATTATAACAGTCTGAATTTTGACCGAAGCTTGACCTGAAGATGTACATCTATTTTGAAAGCTCTAATTCAGTTAGCAACTCTCTTTGCACAGTTATACAGCGTGTGGCATAAGAAGGATTAACTTGAGTTGTCCTGGGGCGCGAGTAAATGTGTTACTTATTGGAGCGCACAAAAGGCGGGCGGACGCGTGATACAGTGTAAGACCCGGGATCAGAACCTCTTTGAGAAATCATGCAGGCGGCCAGCTCACAGAAAGACTGCTAGGACGGCATGTTTATCACACGCTCGGATTCGCCAAATACCAAAAAAACGGAACAGTAGTTTCTTGGGGTTACTTGCAAAGTGACTTGCGTATGTGATACACTTTGGACGGAGGCTTCATGTCCCATCTGCAGCAGTGACTTATTTGATATTTGGTCAGTAGTGGGGTCTAGACAGGTCACCAATGCAAGAGCTAGTGAATGTAGGGTGAGTACTATTCCTGGGTACTTATCGTCATGTCATTTCAACATCCGCGGGGTTATATTGCGTTGGATGCTTCGAATAGCCTTTGTGCGATCTCAGTCCATGTGGAACACACTTTAGATGACAAAGCCTTCCTACGTGCGACACTCTGCCCAAGCAAATCCTCAGTGACTTCCTTCCACCTTTTCAGGCTCCATGTTATCTTTAATGCTTGTATGATGCCAATGGGGATTAGAACAAATGAACCAGCATAACCTCTCTCAAAGACCAACAGCCGATGCATGCACAGGAACTAGCCTATTCGCCCTTTAAATGTCGTGCGCCGTCTCCTATATCGCATTATTTAGCAAACCTACGCAGGATTTGGATGCCGCAGCCGCACGTCTTTCAATTTCCGTGAAGAATCTTGACCCGAAATATACGGAAGAAAACATGAACATGGCCCAGTTGTCAGGTAGAAAATACTCGGTGGAGAAAAGAATTAGAAACTTGCCCACGCTACACAGGTGGCCTTCACATCTATTTCAGGTTGATCAGGATTAGAGCCAAGGTCAAGGTTATTGTTAGGTTCAGGGTTAGGTCGCGGGAACAGCTACTAATGCGGCTCACCTTATTCATATTCAGGAAACTGCGGCTGCGATATCAACGAGTACGTGACAATGACACTTAGCTAGAATACTTGTTTCCCGATCTAATATCTGATCGGAGTGTTTAAAGTGCTTAATTTCTTGTATCGGACAGAAGTCGGATTACCACACACGATAAGGGCTTGACATACTGGTCCTCATCAAGTGTAGCCTTATGTGGCAGCCATATGCTCTACAAACTCTAACCTATCAAACATAACATGTCAGTAGGCCGCATACGGTCACCACCTTAATTGAAAACAAAGTCATGTTTTTATCTGACGACCCCCAACATTGGGTATATTATCAGGCATCTTTCAAAAAACAGGAAGGACTGTAGCGTCTCTTTTAAGAGGCAAAATGCACTGCAGTACGTGTGTAGACGAGTGAGCTGCAATAAATTGCCTTTTACATCGTTTCAAATGAAAAAAGATCATTACAGTTTTGCTCTAAATGACATATCCAACCGTTGAGGAAACAGATTTTGACATATGATGAAGTTACCGGAACCCTAACGAGACTTTCCTTTGTAATTCCGTCTCGGAATCGATCGGAGAACTCGTTAATTCTCGGAAAGCGTCCCTTTTTACGGCATACCATGGCTAGTATTGGCGTCGGTGAGCTCTTGAGTATGGATTGGAATCTCCACTTAGAAATCCAATGATTTAATCCAACGAGTTCATTCTCAGCGTCTGTAGCGCATGCTGTGGTTGAACCTACCGCATTGTCAACAGAGACTGCATAAGGAAAAGTCGAGGATGAGGCGAACGCAGGTTCACATACCGGAAGTATTTTATGGCGCAAAAATCCGAATATCCCAGTTGGCAATCCCGAGATTCCCGAAATTCATAGGCCTGCACGTGGGTGCTCGTGGGGATGAACATTCAGTCTTTCCTCTGCAGTGGGCTTGACCCTCAAGGTTCACGTAGGAAAGCTGGCACACTAACTTCCAAACAATTTACGGATGCCAGCTCAGACCTGACTCCTAAGGCATAGCCAGTCCGAACGGACGATAGGAGAGCGAGGCAACTAGCTGTCCCCCTGTAACCCTTCGTCCATCAGGTGAAAAAGAGCCCGATGACGATGTATGATACTAACTCTAACTGTGCTGCACATGTCTGTCATTGGCACCACAGGCCATGTTAAATTGCCTTCTTGGAACTTCTAACTATGTGTTGGCGAAGTACAGTGGTCATTTAAGATGGGATTTTCTTAGTGCTTCCTATAGCATCTGTCCGATATGTTAGCTACCGCATACGTCGCAAACGCCATTAGAATATCATGGGCGTGCGCGGGTATATTCGGGTCGTTAATGTGTAAGTCTCCCTCGCTATCTTCCTACTAACGCGCTAGTCGTCGTTTCTACATCCACGCAAACTGTTTTGTCGAGTTAAAACAAAAAATTACGATCGGCAGTTGTGCGTCCTGGCTTTGAATGTGAACGATCGTGAGAGGTGGAATATCGGAATCAATAAACGTCTGCCATGCTGCATGGATTATTTTCGTTTGACGAATATATTTTCAGTTATACTTGCGACGCAAACCTCCAGTCATCGCGTTGCCAAAATTATCTAGTATTGGAAGTAACAATTACAAGTCATATTACGTTTACTGAATTCACAAGAGTAGAGATGACTTTATTCCGTCGATTTTCTGATTATCCCTGTGCCCCAAGGTTACAAATGCCCCAAAATGTCTTATTCTAGCCTCCGTCGACAACATCTAGTTTTTTCCTATCCATTGAAGTCCCCAAACATTTTTTAAGTTTCGCAACGGCTAATTTCCTGTCGGCTTCTAAATGCAGTTTCATAGATTGCACCAAAAGTCTTAGTACAGATTTAGGTGCATGAGTAGGCTTTAAAACAGAAAATAATGTCAAAACTGGGGGATCGGTACTGACTGCCACGGAAGATGGCTGCAAGTTACTTTTCCGATAAGATGGGCATTGACTTTTAAGTGGATCTCTTTCCAAGCCTCCGCGTTAATCCCATCGAGTAGGAAGGATCACTTAAGCAGTAAAAGCTTTCCGTTAATTCCCAATTCTATTATTAATCCAATCTTACATCCCAGAAGGTACATACAAAAAAGGATTGGTTTTGCAACACATATAAGAAAACGTGCCTTCTTCGGATTACAGGTTTTGAGAACGACGCTTCTAATGTCGAGATTTACTAATTCATGTGACTAGTTAATCATAGCCATCGCTTTCTGAAACATTTTGGGTTTCCATACTAATGTGCAGGAACTTTCTCCGAAAGCAAAAAAACATCGTGCCTTCGTGTTTTTCACAAAAATGCAATTCAATATGCAACTAATTTTGAATAATATACTAGTCACGTTGTACGATCTGCAAGCAGCAATAATAGACTTTGCATTCTAGAGCACAAATATAATTATGCGGATGCCCGAAAGACGGTATAATCATGATTTCTAAATCAAAGGCACAGGTTCTTAAAATGTAATAATCAAGAAACAATAATCGCTGCAGTTTACTAACTTTCCGGCATCCTTTCTAGTCGATGTGATTTCATCAGCGCTAGTCTGAAACTTCAATGGTGAAATACATATTTCTAAACATCAATTGTTTTCGCAGGGTTTTATATAGTGAACTGTTAGAAGGCTTTAACTCAGACTAGAATGCTCTTATGTATGAATAAAATTGTGGCCTTTGGAACCGACTGCGCCATGACAGTTCGACCATCGGTTTCGATGATGTTCACCGTGTGCCCCACAGTTGCAGCAGCAGTGGGAGCAGGGACGGTGACTTACGCAGGGGTTTATAGTGCCGGTAGACTTGCGTAGCATCTACCTACACTCTCTCCTTCTCCCGAGCCCGAGCCCGGTGTCAAGACAGAGTCCAGAAGACCGGAGACGAGGGGGCCGCAGGTGGATGGCTCGGACGGATCCTCACCTTGGCGTTCCACCACACCCTCTGGTCCACACAACAATAACCAGGACTTCAACCAACAACAGAGATTTGGAGGCTGGCACGACCGAAGCCGCACCTAGGCGTACCGCCAACGCCTGGCTCGGATCCCACACTGCGCCATAGAGGTGTTGGACACAAACGAAGTCAAAGCAGCCCACTGCATGCGTTAATCAGACTGCGTCTTCGTACGTAAGCGCACATTCGTTACAGCCAGCCGGTGTTATGTACGGACGTGTGGCCGTGCCGTTCAACTTCCATAGCAAAAACCCATCTTTTGTTGCCCTGGCGGATGTCATATGCTGTACCATGATAACTGACGAAATGAACTGCCTCAGTCATACATCATCTCAGTGGGGCCCCCTACCATCTTCCAGCCCTCTCCCATGAATATGCGGTTTACACCCCGAAAAGAAAAGTGTTCGACTGTTGATACGGAAACCTTGTTTGCTTGCCCTTTCGCATTGTCGCTCCAACCACCATCAGA